ATGCAGACTTTTAGCTGCAAATCGAAAAAATAGAATCATTTATGAAACTATTTTCAAAAGTAAGCCTTACATATAAATATACATGCTGTTTTGTTCAGATATTCAATTACTATAAGTCTCAGTGTCTCCTTTTTTTTCTTTCTTTCTTTTTTTAAGATGAAACAATAGCGTCATGCTATTGTCACCAGGTCTAAACCTCAATGCGTAAAACATCTGAAGGAAACTTTGAATTGCATGGCCGAATAAGAGGGGGAAGGACGAAATGATTTAAGGTAGAAGAGCAACACTCCGTGAGAAAGGTGCGGTTAGGCAACAAGATTTTACTCCGCGAAAGCTTTCTTTATCATTTTACATTTAGGCCACCAGCAGAAAGCGCGATAAGTGAAGGAGGTGTGGGCTTTGTAGTATGTGCGCGTGCGTGATCGGTAGAATGAGGAGGGCGCTATTATTGGATCTAGCCTCACCAGGTGAACTGAGAAGCCGACATCTCCCCTGCTCCTCTGGCTCTCCTGCCCTGCCAAGCGCTGCCAAGGTGACCTTCAAGAGAGACAGAGAGAGAGAGAGAGAGAGAGGGAGAGCAAGAAGGGGAGAAGGGGGTGGGATTTGGGGGTGCTGACAGAAACATCTCTGGTTGTGAACCAGCCGCGGTCTCCGCTGGAAAGGTGTGCTGCCAGCGGCGTCTCCCTCTCTGCAGCTGGAGCAGCTTGTAGGGAAATCACCGAGGCCAAGAACATGTTATCCCATGCACCGGATGTCTCCGGTCATAAGCTGGGGGGTAAAGAAACACCCCACGCGCCCACAAAATATTCCGGGTTGGGGATCCCTGCGCGTAATTTCTCCATTAACCAGTCTCCAGGGTGTTTACCTGTTATTACCTGCGAGTACCTTTCTGAGCCAGGCTCTCTGTCACTGCCTGCGTCTGGCTCACACGAGTACGCATGTCTCCAGTCTCTGGCTCTCATATCCACATTCATACCTGCTGACAGGCCCCCCGTGCGCGCCATGACGCGCAGCGTGTTCCCCTGCAAGATTGCGGGACGCCAACCAGCAGCCGCAACCATCATCTCTCCAATAGAAACCAAGTGAGGAGGTTTACACCGCCTCACAACTGCCAGAAGAGTTCAAGTGCTGAAGAGAGGCTTCTGAAGTCTTTAGTGAGAGTGAGGCACTGTGAATCCCAGATCTGAGAACCAATTCAATTATCATCTCTTTTGTAAATTTAATACTGAACAAAGTAGAGACAAACATTAAAACAGAATATCCCTCCTGCTTGACAGTCTAATGGTTTTTATTTTACATGTTTATTTGTTTTGGGTCCTTTAGGCACCATTTCTGCCTATTTGGGGGCTCAACCTTTTAATTTGAGATGTGGGTCGAAGACAAAACTACACAAAAGGAGATTATTTCAAACAGCATAATAGCCTCTTTATATCAACGGTGAATTTGATTCTCTGCCTCCGTGTACTTTTTATTGATAGTGAGAGAGGCTCCTGCGGTCAAAGATGTGTTTGCTGTGTGGGAGCACTTGAAGTTACTTACGTCACAGTAATTACCTTCCTTGTGGTCGTTTGGAGAGCGAGAGTATCGCATTTTGTTTGACGCGGGGCCTCAGTTGGGCTCTGAAACTGGATCTCATGACTTCATACCCCCCACAACACGAGCCTCGCCAAACAGCATCATCTGGCCTAAACGTTTCATATCTCAGACCCCTAAAAAGGCACCAGTACATTTCTCAAATGATAACAAAAAAAATAGCAAGATATTTCCCTCCAGTTGTTTCTCTTCTTACACGCACGGGGTCAACATGAGCGCGTTAACCACGAGGGTATAGTATTATAGATATGTTTAATCATCACAGGTTATGTGACCACTACAAGACGGATGCCCGAGAGCCCAAAGCAGTGCGCTTTAATTCAGAATCTCGTTTTTCAGACTTAGTGGAACTAATAACACAACACTTAATCACGTTACTTTCACTCGCTTCTCCCTCCTTTGCATTTCTAATTTTTTATCTGCAGTGGCTTGGGGTTAAACAAATGAAACGAGCTTCCTCCCTTCTCTCTTCCTCCCCTCGTCCTCTCTTCTCTGTGAAAGCTCAGAGGAGAGCAGACCAAACGTTACTTAGCCTGGACGCAGAGAGGCTGCAGATAATGAGAGCCTGGTTGCATTAAACGGACAAACAGCAATCCGACATCTCCTGACCCCTCAATGCTCCTCTCGGCTCCATTGATCATCCCCCCTTATGAGATAATGCAATTACAAACATCAATAAGGAGCTGCGAGGGGAATCATTATGTGGTGACAGTGATAAATGATGCTGCGCAAAATAGCGGGCTCCTCTCAAACAATCCGTGCGCCCAAGGGGCTTTTGAGGGCCGGGGCCCCGTCGCCAAGGAGACAGATGACATCCAAAATGGCCCCCGCTCAACAGTCCTCCTCTCTTCTCTCCCTCTCTTTCACCTCACCAATAGATTTTTGTTTTCTCTCGCTCTTTTCCCCCTTCTTTTGTTTCCAAACCAGCTGCTGCGCGATCTCTCGAAGGTGTTTTTTTCAGGGATATGGAAAGTTTGTCCTGTGAGGCGTTTGGAGGCCTCTGTTTTGTCTCCATATTGATTTCATAAAGTAGCCAAGGTATTGACATGTCATCTCCGCAATATGCTTGTTTCCTGTGTAACGATTTTTGCTTTGGAAATTAAAGGAAACGCGTCGGTTGTGAATCGCTCTTGAACTCATTCTTCCTAAATCCACATTATTTATTTTGACTTTTTTTTTCCTGCAAACTTAACCTCACACAGGCCAGTTCACTTTACTCTACCTATTTTATGACAAACATTAAACTTTTGACTCCTTGGCTAAGAAGAAATTAAAATAGAAACGCTTGTCTGCTCGTGTTCATTTAGTTTTTGTCATGTTAAGTTTAGACCCAAACTGCATTAAAAAATAGATTTAATTTAACTTACTTCAGTTGGTGTTTAAGGTCTGTAAAAACGCAGAACCCATAATATATATATGTTATATATATATATATATATATATATATATATATATATATATATATATATATATACACACACACACACACATCCGTAGCGGACGCCAATTCATCCAGCAACCAGTGACCAGTGTTTTTAATTAATAAATCTGCACACATAATTACCTCCAAGATTTGTCATGGCTTGTTCTGCAAATACAGAGCACGAGTCGCACGGTTTCTCGTCCAAGATCCCTGTTTCCACCATAAAGACGCATAAATATGCGTTGTTGTGGGAGGAAGACAGGCCTGTCCGGGCACCTTCACTGCTCTGGAACACATTTCTGCTCTATTCATTACTCTGACAGTTCACTCCTCGGTCACACTGAGTACGTATGTGTGTGTTTTTGTGTGCAGGGCAGGCAGGGGAGGAGAAAGGCCTAAAATCATTATTCACTTCAAAACACGTTTTGCTGTCAAATTTTCAATTCAGACAAAGTCAAACTCTTCATGTTTTAAAAATGTTGTTAACATAAGAATATACAAAAAACCACAAGCTGCATTCACATATCAGCAGGAGCGGGTCAAGTGTAACCAAAATGTCCCTGCACACGTATAAACATCAAAATCTTCTACGTTTTTAGACATAAAAAAAATCTAGAAAAAGAAATGAGAAAAAGAAAAACACTGAAGCAGTGTCTCTTTGTCTGAAATCATCTGTCCGTTATTTTCTCTAAACTGGAAATTAAGAAATAAAAACAGTGAACTTACATAAATTTAAAATTTTGAATAAAATAAAACACAACACAACAACAGATTTGAAATAATTCTCATACAGTTCTTGTGTGTGAAAGTGACTTTTTCATGTTCTAAAACTTGGTCAAACCAAACTGTGTAAATGTAGATGTAGGGAAATGAAAATTATTACCTCAATAGTGTCCTTTAATCTTCTTTTTTAACTTTCAAAAGGAATATTTAATCTCATTTTATATTATTATCACTCGTTTTAAACTTAATTGTATCTCTTTCCCTGTCTTCTGAGCCTTTGGACTTCTACAAAACTCCTAAGTGCGTTTTTGGGTCGTGTACGTCCGTGCGTAAAAGGCGAGGTGGTGTCGTGCGCCATCTCCAAACGTCCCTGCCCGGACAGTTACCAGGCCTCCCTAAAGAGGGCAGTCAAGCATGGGCTTTCTCCTCCACAGTCTCCACAGCTCCCAGCGGCCACAGGCTCAGGAATTCACATTTCACAGCCTCGGATTTTCCAGCTATGGTGGAGAGGCGAAGCAATTAAAACGTCGCCGGGGTTTTTTAAGAGCGTGTCTTTTTTCCCTTCTTCTTCTTCTTCAGTGTAAATAGCATTCACTTGGGCGAAGGCAGTAAAAAACACAATAGCCGCGCGGTGGAGAGATCGAGAGGGACAGGGGAGAGTATTGATTTACACGCGCATATTGTTTTGGATGAAACAGACTCTCACTTGTTCGCTGGTGTTAGAAAAGAAAACTCTGAGAACCGGGGCTGCTCTTCGAAATGTATCAATTAGACAAAACTCGCTCGACTCCCCCTCTCTCGTCTCCTCAGTCGACTCAGACTCCGTCTCCTCAAGTGCAGTATAACCCAGAGAAAACATCGGCTTCTGAGCGCCGAGCCCTTTGACTGCGGGCAACAAGGCGTGAGGGAGAACTAATCTTCCTTTTTACTCGTTTGTAGTAATTTTAGCTAAATGAATTTTAATGCTAAATGAAGGATAATTCGTTTTCTTGCCGAGCTCTTCTTTCCTCGCCTCCCCTTCTCCATGTGTGAGAAAATGACAGCAGAACGCATGCATTAGCTGCACATAATCCACAGCAATGGCATAAAGGTTGACTTAAGTGCATGTTTCTTTAAGAATAAATGGCCTCATGCTTTCTTCAATGGACATAATTGTCTACATGAAAGCAAGCTTGTGTCTAATTGAGCTTCACTTGCAGCATCATGTATAGTTTATATTTCATATCTGTGCATGGGAAGATAATGTGAGACTAGTTCTGAGTTCTGTTATTTGAACAAAAAGTATTTATTTACAACACAGATGTACATATACACCCTTCAAAGTAAAAGCATAAGAAACATGACTTGTCTTCAAAAGAATCTTAAAGATGTGCGTTATACATGATTGAAGCTATGGCTAATGGATGCATTGATAACCCACTCAAGCTCAGCTCACATATGCACACACACACACACACACACACACACTCTCTCTCTCTCTCTCTCTCTCTCTCTCTCTCTCTCTCTCTCTCTCACTCTCTCTCTCTCTCATTCCCCTTCTCCCTCTCACACACACAGTGACTTTTACATTCTCTCCTGTCTGTGGACCAGCATATCATCATCTGGGTATATGAAAGAATGAATGGACTGGGGTATCAACGGTGTTCTCCCATTACCTCTGCCTCTTCCTTCTATAAAGCTCCACCAAACACCTAAGGGGTGGGGGGGGGGGTCATCTGCCATGCGTGTGCGTGGCCTTGTGACATGAAACACATCAGTAGGACACTTGAATAGACTCTCAGAGGCCCTTATAGACACACATGGAGAAAACAGAAAAGTTTGTCAGACACACTGTAGTAGTTTCCCATCTAGGGTCATTTTTGCTCTGTATTATGTTTTTTTTTTATGTTAGCGATGTTGACCTACATTATTCTGCATGTCAGTCCTCATGATCAAATGGATAAATGTGATATTAGATGATTGGATTAAAAATAGACCTTGACATCCCAAAGGTTAGCTTCTTAGACCAGGTGTAAAGTCTTGAGTTCAACATGTTTGATGAGTTCTTTGTCTATTGAAAGAAAAAACTTCCCACCACATAAATGAAGATGTATTCATCACCGGGTACTAAGATATTTCACCACATTGGAGTAACAAGATGACAGTATAGCCGCTGTACCTTGTATGTATGTATGTGGATGAACTGTGTACTTACTGCAGGGAATATAAACTCCTGTCACACTCCTACCATCCCAATAAAACCCTGTGAAAAATGACAGACTAATCCAATTGTCCATTTATTCACTTTTTTACTTTTTAAAAATGCATCGTGATTCAATGGAGGGAGGGGGAGACGGTCAGATCTGATGGAGGGACTGCACACACATAGTGTGGAAAGAAATGAGAAAACAAAGAGAAAAAAGTTCACATCCTTTTTTTAAAAAATCTATTAGAAACAACATAATATGCAGAACAATACAATAGCATTTACAATACTTAAATTCCCAGTTCTTGTGAGAGTCCAGCGTAATTTTACAACAGTATACAGTATATTTTCTTTCTCCACTCGCTTGCCAAACCAGGGGTTGATATAGTTATACTTTTAATTTCTTTTCTCTTGCTTTCCCTCCTTTCACGTTTCAATCCACTACACTTTTTAAAGGGCACCTCTTTTGCTTTGTGAGTGTCCTGTCAGATACAGACATTGGCTTCTCCTTGGTCCAATTCCATCATCCCAAAGAGAGGAGTGCTCTTCACAGGAAGTCTCTTATTCACCAAAGAGTCTAGAATATATCACCAGGTGCTGCATTCACCCAAGGTACAGGCAAAGGACACAGTGTGTCTCTTGTGTCATCAATGCTCCCAATCACAATCACTTTTTTTATGGAGGACTCTGTGTGAACCGAGTAGGCAGAGGCAAGAAGGCAGAGTCTAGTGCCCACCAAAGAAGAAACAGGTCTGTCAGGAGAGGGGGGTCATCTGAATTGGATGAGGTTGAATCTTCTGTGCATCACTGGATACATACAAAAGTCAAGTAGAGAGTCGTGAAGGCTTCCACTTTGCAGATATCAGCCGAATAAAACATTGTTGGGTCTTGTAGGCAGTTGGGAAGAGGAGCTGCTGTTGTCATGAGTTCAAGGAGCCCGTTCTCATGCCGTATAGGCCTCTGCGAGACCTCTGATCCTCTGGTTTGCTGTCCAGTACTGAGGAGAGAGGAGGGAGATCCAAATGGTTAATTTTGCATGTTTAAATTTGGTGAATACATTAGGATCTGCTGTGAATGACAGATCAGAGAAAGGATGTAATTAGACTATTTAACATGTCTGTGAAAGCCAGTGCTGTTGCTGTTCAGACAACAAGGTTCTATGAAATCAACACATGGTCTCTATTTAAAGCCTAGCAAATTAAAATCTCTGGAGTATTTGCTAAATCACTCAAATATTGATAACCACCACTGGGGCAGACGGCATTTAACTGCAAAATGAACCTGTTGAAAGTCTTTGATATCATTATTAATTCATTGAATACAACAATGGATCACACTCCACTTCTGAAAGTAGACTCTCATGTTTCATCTCTAGACCAATGGGACCTTATGATGAGACCACAGAGGGGGAGTGCAGTATGTGGCAACGACTGCAAACCCAACAGGGTGCTAATCTGGGTCAGGATACCAACCCAAACCTGCCCTTGACTCATACTTTGTGGATGTGACAGAAAAGGAGAAAAAAAGGAGTGAGGGAGGGAGGGAGGGAGAGAGAGAGAGAGAGAGAGAGAGAGAGAGAGAGAGAGAGAGTATAGCAGGGTTTAGTGAGTTAATCCTACACCCTTGGTAATGCTACTTTAACAGGAGGAGAGGACTTAGTGACCAAACACACACACGTTGGACTTGAAGTGATATCAAGTTTCAGTGCTAAACATTTTCTGGATAATCAGGTCGACTCGATGACAAGGAAACTTGTTATTGGACTTGAATTTATCCTGTGATCATTTCTAGTCTTGACTCCACTCGAAATCTCTTCCATATCAGCATCAAGAAGATGTGCAGTTCAATCTAGCTATACAAAACTCTGCTCCTATTTTTAGCATCCTGCGCATGACAAATCTACAGAGCCCAGGAGGTGACATTAACTTTTTCTTTCTTAATTCCCAGGTACGTATTATTCTATTGCAGGTGCAATTTAACTGTTCTGTAATAAACAAAATCACTTCCTGCAAGTCCGAATATTACCTACAACAAAGTCGCTGTGCTTTAAGGATCCTGATGAGGTGTCTTCTACTCAAAGCAATACTAAATGTGGCTAAGCTATAAAGTATCTCTTTGTGGATCGTACCTAAATGAAAGAAAATATTGATAATATGCTCTCTGTCCATGACACTGACCTTCTTGTCTCACAAATGAGGCGCACAGAGGATTATTTAAAAAAACGCAAAAGCAACATAGGAGATACGTGTAAAACACACGTTCAAGATACTAAATTGCACGTGTGAGATAATAAAACGCTTGTGCAAATTAAGAAGTTCATGTCACCTCCCGGGCTCCATAGAAATCAACCAAAACACTCAAAACTGATTCAACCTGCTGTGTGTCATCGATCTCTTCCACACAATGACAAATAGTGTAAAGAAATCTATTTTCACCCTCTTCTCTGCCGTTGTTTCCCTTTTTAAAGCCAACAATAGCTGCTATCCATCTCTGCAGGTAGAAAGTCACCACTAAGGAACCACAGCCATTGTTGTCAACACCAAAGAGAAGTGGCGAAGCTTGCGGCCGCCCGTCACCTGAGAGAGCCCCAGGCCTCTCCACGTGTTCACCATATACACAAGAGAGTGACTATAGATGACACAAAAGGCCAAGCAGGGAAAAGGACAATGAGGTGGGGAAGCAGGAGGAGGGCAGCAGAGGAGCTAACACATTTGTTATACCCCTCATCTGTCAGATTTCAGCTGGGCTCCTGGAAAGAATTGTTTCGACTTGCATGAGAGGAGGGTGAGCAGTTACACGAGCTGCACAAGCTGAAGTTAGTTTTCTTTCATTGAGTCAGGCAATAGGATTTTTTTTTCCTGAATCTAATGGCATCAAACTTAAGACACTCCTTTTTGGGATATTACCTGTGGTGCTAGAGCAAGGCAAACTGAAGGCAATGCTAAATTAAAGGCTGGCCAGATGATACCTGTGCTTAGAGCAATCATCCATGGAGTTGTCCAAGTCAAGAAATGTTTTCAAAGTCTGATCAGTCGTTGGCTTTTTGTGTCTGTTTATTGCATATTTGAGCCTGATTAACAGAAATGTTCTGTAGACATCCCGATAAACACTATGCATGCTTCAAAGAACATGTTGCTAATAAGGTTTTTCACTTAATAAGCCAATCAATACATTGAGCTCTCCTTTCTTAAACTCCAAGGGGGATTCCAAAGAGGCCAAATCAACACGGACACACATTCACAGGGACAATACGAGAGGGCACGAAATCCCCGTCGGACCCTGTTTTTTCCAGTGTTCGTTAATAGTAAAAGTTCATCCACCAGAAAAAGAAGTTGAGGGTGGGGGGTGATGGTGGGAGGGTGTGTGGTAGTGGGGGGCTATAGGGAGGGATCTTGACCCCTACGCAGAGGGTTAACAAATTTACGCTTAATGATTGGAGCAGGGAATCCTGGGACAAAGGGTCTCCAGCAGAGATTGGCAGCAAAGGGGTTACAGGCAGCATTCACTCGAGCGTTCTACCCGACATTTCGGGTAAAAGGCTGAGAGCAGGGAGGGCCAGAGAAAAATTCCATACGCTCTGCGACATAATTAATTCTTCCACCCTGTGATAACTATTGTCCTAAATCTGGAAATTACAGTTTCAGTGGGCCACCCCTGGCTAATTCCATGTAAGAAGGGAAAGCAGGGAAAGAGAGGAAGAAGGGGAAAGGGGGTAAGGGTCATCCAAGAGTCATTCTGGTCCTCTTTCAAAGGCTCGGCTCGCTTCTGCTTCACTTGCTGGGCTTCATCTTTGCTGACAGGTGTATTGTTTCACAAGGAGATCTAAGCTGTGTAATTATCATTGGGTGGAAAGCATAACGCTTTTCACTAAGCACGACTAATTGGCTTTAGTTTTAACTAATGTTGCAGTGTGACTGCTAGGCACACCTTCTGTATCAAGGCTCAGCACTCCTCAGCACAATAACCGCTCAATTTAGCCCCGCGGTAACAAAACCTCAACTCTGCTAATGAAAATTGCTTATAAAATATAATGAACCTGTGCTCTCTTAATCAAATAGGATAACCACCCCCTCCCCCCGCCCGTAATAACCTATTAATTTAATTGGTCATGAAAGAATATAACACATCACTTACATTTAATTGACCTAGAAAAGAAAGTAGCAATTTTTGACAGAGACAAGCTAGCAGCTAGCAACTGCTAACTAATGAAGCTGTACAGCAGAACAGCCTGTTGAGAAGAGTCGACGTATTTCTGTCACTATCTCTCAAAGCTTCTATCCTCTTCTTCTTCTTCCCTTCCTCCTTTTACTCGTCTCACCCCTCCCTCCTGTCCTTTACACTTCTCTCACTCGCCATCTCTTCACTTGCCCCTCCCTCTTTCTGTTTCTCTCTCTCTCTCGCTCTCCTCTTCCTCTGCTGTCTGCTCATCTTCTCTGTGCTTCGCTCGTCTCACAGAGGATTCCTCTGGTGGCCCAATTACGAGATTCAGCAGGCAAATTGAGGCTGTTTAAAGCAAGGTCTGCTGGGAAGGCTAGCAGCTGCTGGAAAGAGGCAGCTTGGACACGGAGAACCAGCCCTTATGTTTACACACTCGCACACATAAACACAGACACAAACACACACACACACACACACACACACACACACACACACACACACACACACACACACACATCTCATTCTGAGAGCACAGCTCTTCTATTACCATGTCTCCCTGCATTTCAGACCTGAAAGTTGCCACTGGACGTTAGATTTTCTGTCTTTGCTTTGGCTGTTGTCGACATTTGTGATAGAAACAAGGACGGCATATTTTATCATGGCATGCACACACATGCACACGCTTTCTGTGGAGGGTTAATGGTCCCTATTTTTGTAAACTGAATAAGTCAAATCCATTGGTCACACCTCTGGTGATGGCATATTTAATTTGGATCTAGTCAATTAGGCCCAGCTAAGCTCCATACCCTGCTGGCTACCTCCTCCATTTTGCACTAGTTTGTGTCCCCTCCCTGTGCCAGGAGTAATCCTATTACCATACACACACATGCACATATACACACACACACACACTATTTTATCTGTGCACACACCCACACATGGGCAAACACATGTATTTCACATATAAATCTTTGTATACTGTGCACTCACACATACACACGTATGGTGTACAAACACACAACAATTCACACAAACACAAATACTAAACAATGATATCTCTCAACAATTGGACCCCTAGCCACTTTATATACACACTGTGCACTGTGACAACACCAAGCTAGTATACATCCAGAATTATGTGGGAGTCTATTTGGCCCTGGGGCAAGGGGGTGGGGGTGGGGGGGTGAGAGAAAGAGAGAGAGGCAGAGAATTAAAGAGAGGCAAAAAAAAAAAAGGTGTTTGTGTGAGACAGAGGAGGAACATTGACAGTGAGGAAAACCATAAAGAGGGAGTGAGAGGGAGAGTTAGCAATAGACATGGGGCATGGGTCATGGGGCATGGGGGGGGCGGGGGGCTCTTCTAACTGGTTAGTGTGTGTATTAATGTGGCTCATGCATCAACAGCAACCCCGCAGATTTATGACACTTAAGGGGCGCTCACTTGCCTCTCTCTCTGCAGCGAATGCTTCTTACATTTTCGCCAATCAGTTTGTTGCTATAGTAACGTACTACCTGCCCCCCACCCGGTCTCATCACACAGCGCCCCCCCTCTCTGTCCCAGCCCATCTCCGCCTTCCTCCACCCTCATCATCAACCCTATCTTTCTTTTCCCTCCACTTTGCCACATTTGACCTCTTTCTCCCTATCTACTGGCACACACACACACAAACACACACATACCCAAATCTGGAATGATGATTTAATTGAGAGCATTTGTATCAAACTAGTAAAAAAAACACTTAAAACCCACTTTTTTTCAATTAGTATGTTCACAAACATTCAGTGCAGACTGTATCAGTGGCTACAATAAGTCCTACTGTGTCTTTTTTATAGTGTAAAACTATGCATGTTTAACACATGCATGTTTTTCTCTTTCCTTGTCTTTCCACACTGGAAATGTCTCTTCTACACACACACACACACACACACACACACACACACACACACACACACACATTTCATACACTGAGTTACAAGGTTGTGATCAAAGGCTCTTATCACCAGAGCGAGGGCGGGACAGTTACAGAGAGACGAACAGAGAAAGAAGAACAACAGCCTTGGAAGAGCAACACTAGTGTGTTTGAAACTAAATTAAAAAAACACTTGGAGAAGAGCCATTTGAAAAACACAGGCCTCAATCAAGCAGTGATTTACATTTGAATGATAATTTTTTTATTAATGGTCCCATTTCTAACAGCTCTATCTCTCCAATAAATGCAAATATAATACAGTTGACTCTTGGTAAAAAGTGGGAAAGTAAAGATCTACAGGTGTAGGTTAGTCTCTGTCCATGTTTACTTACGTCCTCCTTTGTGATGTGATTGGTTGGACAGGGGCAGGGCTACATGTAGTGCCACTGACCTTCCATGCCCATGTTCATCCCCATGCCACCCATGGGTCCTAAAAAAGCAGATATGGTAGATTTCAATCAGTTAACACATTTGGGGATGAAGTGTGTCTTTGCAATGTCAAAAAAGTGAATGAAGACATTTTTGAGTCCAAGTTTAGGGAGGAACATGATTGCAAAATGAAACTGAGCTGAATACCACAGATGTTTTTTTTTTTTTTTTTTCTCTGAGAAACTAAACTTGACAGACGACATAGCAGAGGAGTGAACTGGCTTTAATCTGGCAGGGCGGGTTAGATGTGAGGAGGGGTTAAGTAGCCTGGCAGTTTATCCAAACCTGCTGACTTTGAGTGGAGGGTGAGATAGGGTTAGAGACTTGAGAGAATCCCAGAAAACAGGGGATAGAGGAGAGGAGGAGAGGAGCTTAAGGACAAACTCTGGGATTAGACCTGATGGCGTGAGAGAGAGGAACCGAGAGCTGAGAGGGACTGGGAGTAAGGAAGAGGGGAGATGCTTGTGTAATGTGATTGACCACACCTGTTCTGGTTCGTGTGTGGTGGGGGCGGGGCGGGGCGGGTGCGTGTGTACAGTATGTGTGTATCTTTGTCACTAGGTTTGAGAGTGAATGTACAATCCATATTACACTTGAACCATCAACATGGCAGATACTGTGAAACATTTAGGAACACTGAGCAAAGCTATAGAAGGGGAGAAAAAAGGGGGATGAAGGAGAGAAGACAGGAGCAGAACTACAAGACTGATGAGGCAGGATTCAGTAAAGAGGAAAAAGGAGGACAGTGAGGAAAGAAACCACAGAGATGGAGGAGGAAAGAAAGGGACAGACACGCAGAGAAAGCCTTACCAGGTGGTCTGATTCCCATGTGCTGCTGGCCGTCCATGACGAAGCCCCCCATCGGCTGGCCATCTGGATTGTAGGGAGCTCCTTGACTTACTGTGGATGGAGGGAGGAGACAGAGAGAGGGAGGGAAGGAGGGTGGGAGGGGACGGAGTGGTCAATTAGTACTTTTAATTAAGGCTCAGTGGCCGAAGCGGGATCATCTGTCGGCCGGTGCACGCACAGGGAGCCACCGTTGTTCTTTCAACGTCACTGCTCCGTGTCTGTGCAGCCAGCTCGGCTTTTTAAGCCCCTGGTAGACTTTAATACGTCTAAACGCTCTAATAGGGATCAGACAACACACACTATGGTGCACCTCAGACTCACATGAGGAGGAGAATCAGGCAAAAACTCGACCTATCTTTATAATAGTGCTTTTATTTTGGACTGACCACACAGACCTGGTCCACATTTCTGCTGTTGTTTTAAGAACAGACTTATTTCTGCTCTTTATTTTTGTCTTATTTACCTTTTTCACAAGTTTTTCATCATAGCTTTCTTACATTATACATGACTTCTGCATTGTCTGTGTTTTTCAATGTTGTCTGTCTTTCAGACTAAGTAGACCTTAGATTTATTGAACAATTTAACACAAGTTTTTTTTATCATTTTGAAATTATTAAAATAATCTCATACAGTACATCTGAGTACTGCTATGTACAGTGGCCCTGAGGTGCAAAACACAATGGCAAAAGAGAAAACACAACGACATTTAATGTTGTGTTTTCTGATTTGCTGTTGTGTTTTGCACCTCAGGGCCACCGTAGCTATGTTATACAAATGCAAAATCAAGTTTTAAACCTCTCTCTTGCATCTTTATAAATACTCATGACTCCTTAAAATGGCTCTAAAACACTGTTACACTGTCACTCCTGAAATATATGATCCAAAACATGATCAAACGAATAAACTGAGCTGCAGGCTGACGCTCTGAAAGGTCAGCTCTTTCTTCCTAAGTGGCCTCAGAATATGCTCCAATCCCAACAGTAAATGCTTTATCTAATAAATGCTGCCTTAAACTGAGCAGCTCAGCTAAGTGAAACCTGATAGACTTCTTAGTTTTCGCTGCCCTCCATTGTTCTGTGCTCATAGAAATCCACTTACCTTCGATTCAGGCTGTTTGGGGGTCAGTCAAGCAAAAGCAAGAACTCAGCCCCGCTGAATGCCTTTGAACTTTACTGCGCCCCTAATGCCACCCTGACCTCTGACCCCTATTACAGGTAATAAAGTTTACGGCAGTCCAAACCAAGCCATGCACCAGGGGGACCGCTCACTCACTCACTCCCCTCAAGCCCCTTGCTTACTGAAACAGCCACAAATAGGGTTGAGGAAGGGGTGGGGGTTTAAAGGGGTGAGGGATTGGGGGGTAAAAACAGGTCTGGAGCCAAGAAGCCAAACAACGGTCACCCAAAAAAAGACATGGGTGTAGTTGATTTTATGTTTTGTTTTGGTCTGAGCCTACAGGGAGAGGTTGTTTTTCTTTTTTTCCTCCGACTGTCTGTCTAAAGGGGAGAGGAAGGGGTTAAATAAAAAAACAACTTCACTGAGAAAAAGGCTAGAATCAACAAATCCACTCATCACAAACTCAGTCTGAGCCATACTATTATATTTCATCATTAATGGTTTCTCACCCCACTTCAAAGTTGATTAATGGTTGTTGTTAATGTTGAAACATTTTGTTGTTGTTGTTGTTTTTAATTTTAGTGGTCAGTTTAGAGGAAAACCCCCTACAGGATTTGGACATTCCAGAATGGGGGGGCATCAGTCCTGTATTTACCAGCAGAGGGGCCTCCTGGTGCATGGAGTGTGGATGGCTTTCGCCTGCGAGACTTGAATACAGTAACTAGAGGAGACTTGCCTGCACGGTTTGACTGGTCGATCATGGGCTGGACTATTCTCCTCCTGGCGTTAATGAACCTGCAGAGGAACAGGGAAGAGAGGACAGAAGGGTTAGTTAGTGTTTTTATCAAGGCAAGATGAGGCTGAAAAATACAAAAATATTTGAAATCTTGGCGCACAGCTCAAAAAAGTAATACACTGCCAAACCCGAGTCTTTCTCTTATTGAGCCATAATTGTAATGTGGGGAAATGATTCCTCTCTTAGCAACTCTGAGCCCTGCAAAAGCCTAAAACAGCTCACTGCAGAGGTTACATCTTAACAGCCCTGGCAACCAAGGTAGTTGTCTCTTAAAATTCAGAAGTTCCCGACTTGTACAAACTCGCAGAGTGTTGGCTTACACACAGTCACATCAGCCTGAAAACACTGGGGTCTTTGTGGGGCGAGGCTCAACTAGGATTTTCCTCTCTGCCTGTTTGAAACATGTCGACCCATCTCGCTTTGTTGGAGACGTTCCACCTCACGGCGGGCTGAGATTGCTGACTATTTAACACACTTGGCTTCGAGTTCGGCGGTGGTGTAGGAAGTGTTTGCTGACAGAAACATGTCATGTTGCCACTGGTGAGAGGTATTGTTTTTGGGTGATAGTCTGCTAAAACAGGTGAGCATGTGTTACTCTGTGACAGCAGGAGCTTTTTTTAGTTTCCACAGGAGCCGGATTTGCTCGATTCAGGCAGGGACAACCTTCTCTTTACCCTGTGACCGCCTATAAAAGCACACCATTTCATGTGCGCAGTTACTCATATTTAAATCCCCCTCTCCCTCTTCTCTTAGGTCTATTCACACATATATCCACGCCCTCACACAGGCAGCGCTCTGCTCTGCTCTTGCTCAGCCTAACCCCTTGTGAAATGACCCTCTGACCTGTAATGACCCCAGGGAGAGAGGGCTCTTGGGGCTTCTGACTTGATTTATGTGTTCCTGCTGTTGCCCCACTGGACACTTCCATTTCATCTCTGAATAAGAGGAACAGCATTAGGCAAAACAATAGCCATGCTACGCTTCTGAGGGTGGAGGAAGGAGTGTTTAAGAGATCTGGAGGAGGAGGAGAAACAAAAGGACACTAGTTAGTGCTTCTGTTTGACCTCCAATTAGTGGATGGGACCCTCTTGCTTTTATCTCTTTAATATTTGTCCTCTAACTGCTTTATGGTGCGATTGTCTCTTTCTCTCTGGCACTATCTGTCCTGCTTGAACTTCTGAGGACAGAGCTGGAGGGGAAATGAGACGGACACTCATAGCAACAGAAAAGAAATATTATCAGCCACAAGATGCATGATTTCTGTTTTTGTTGTTGTTTATTTTGCAACTGCCATGTTCATAATCTTATAAATACTAAAAATGTTTTATTTGTGGTTGTTTTTTTTTTTGTTTGCTTGTTTGTTTTGTGACGACAAATAAAGAATGAGAACGACCCCATCTTTGCGTGCCACGCTTTTTTTCCCCAATTTGTTCACATTTTCTTACACTTTTTTGTATGTTTGAGTGGAATTTAAGGGGGAGACAGAAACAGAATGAGCTCGGTAGGAATGCAAGAATGCACTGACATGGCAGAGCACCATCAAATGAGAGAATGTCTGGAGTTTTATCACCGACACCCTCTCCTCCTTCCCTCCCTTCCTCCACCCGGTTTTGCTGGGGGAGATATGGAAGGAGGAGCAAGGAGAGAGACAGGGCAAGGAGGGTTGAGGGGGGCCTTAGCATTCCTCTCCTCTCCTCTCCTCCTCTTCTTCTTTCCTTTCCTTTAATCGCTGGACACTTTATAGAGGGACAAGGTCAACTCGAGGCCAGTGCCTGCTAACAGTTGACCTCTCCTTCTCTTCACCTCCTCTGTCACTGCTGTCTCCTTTCCTCTGTTCCTTCACTTTTGTACCTTCCTCTTTATTCGTCTCTTCCTCATGCAAAAAAAAATAAAAAATAAAAGTACTGATGCAACAAAAGAGGTTGTTTTGGCAATAGGTGTGCACTGCTTGAAAAGTCAGGCATTTGTTCTTGGTACAGTTGGCTCAAGGAGGAATGTAACAGACTCATAACTCAAAGTGACCTCCCAGAAGGATGGCACCAGTGCTTATTTACTCTGAGGATTAAAGAGACTATGTATCAGAGAAATAATAATCCTACTATCACCGCTGCTACTGCTGCTACAAGTGCTGCCAACATTACCACCGGAGCAACTTCAGCAACTCGGCCTCTCTCCTTCTCGTCCCTCTCTGTATCTGTTTCCTTCTCCCGCTCGCTCTCTCCTTATCAATCCTCGCCTGTACGGTGGAAACTGGCGGTCCACCTTCAGAGACAAACCCACACTCTAACCCCTCCCCATGAAAAAACTCTTGCTGGTTTCCTGTCCCTGTCGTCCCCATATCTGAGGCCAGATGCACCATGGGGGCAGGAACAAAGGATAAAATGCCTCTCATAATAGCAGCCAAGGGAACAGAGCGATGGAGAGCGGGAGAGCGGGGGGGAAGGAGGAGTGAGAGAGTGGGGAAAAAAAGCCAAGGGGCTCTGGTCTGCAAACCAGACACTCTTGCTGTGTCCGTTAATAAGCTGACAGAGGGAAAGACTGTGACATAGGAAGAGAAGAGAAAAATGCTGGGAATCAAGAGGAAGCAAATGAGAATTTTTTTTCTGGTAGATAAAAAGTGAGAGAAAAACAGGGAAGAAAAAAAAGGGAAGGGGGAGTCCCTCTATTAGGGGGAGTGAGGCTTCACCTTTGCACGACCCCTGGGTGCCATAGGGCCAGTGTTTATGGCCTGTTCATTCCCCTGCCTCCCATCACAACACAATGAGCTGTACTATTCAGCTCCGCTCAGGGCAACAATAGCTGGGCTATTTTGGCGTGACACACCACCGATGGTACGTCTAAATTTGGGCGAAAAGAAGAAGAAGAAGCAGGAGGAAAGAAAATGACTTGGCATAAAAATTTGGCCTTGTGAAATTTTTTGGAAAACACACACATGCTTGACATTTACATGTAACCCTGGGTAAAAAAACTTATGTGATGTCCAAAGTGAAGTCTTATGTAAGTCATATGAGGAAACTGACTGGAAGAATTTCTCTTTGTTGTTGTCGTACCTTCAATCTGTTTTTCCTTCTGAGATTGCTAATGTCTGGATTACCCCTCCCACCCTTCTCCCTCCTTCTCTGGAAGGAGTGGAACTGATTGCGACGGCGTCTGCCAAGCCCTTGCTAATGTCCTATTCTCATTACACCCGAGACACACACACACATACTTAAACGCACACAGGCACAGCGAGTGGAGGCAGTCGCACACAGGTGTACACGAAGCACACGTGAAATGCCCAATTAAAAGCAAGAAATTGTCTTTTTCATCAGCTGCCTTTGTTGCGTGACCAATTAGGGGATAATTTAATAACGAGCAGTGGAAAGATGCAGATTGGATATACAAAAGGTTACTGTGCAAGCTCGTTCATTTAAATTCATGTGGAGTTCTCAGATTCTGTGGCACACATACCCACACAAACACACACTCATCTCCGGAGCCCACTACCAATATTATATTAGTAATATGAGACACACTCAAACACACAAATGTGCACATGCACATATATACAAACGCCCTCTACACTCACTACCAATATTACATTAGTAATCTGAGAGAATATGCACACACACAAACACACGCACACGCCTGCAAACACCTCACATTTGAACACACACCTAGATTTTTCCAGCATAACAAGCGCACATGTCTACTCCAGGACATGCTGGTAGACAGATCAGTGCACGCTGACAAGGGTTTACATGCATATTCAAATGTGAGAGCCGCTTAAAATAACACTGAAACCACACACTTCTCCTAGCTGCCAATCAATGTGATTTAAAGGCACTAAAAAGAAAGCGAGCTCTGACGGGTTGAGTCCTGTAGCTTATTATCAGGTTGTCACAGCGCGGCTACCATTGATTGTCTGCTGCTCAACCACAATTAACACCTATTCCAAATATCCTATCCTCAAATACCACCACAGCCATTCATGCAAACAAAGAGATTTTTTCTATCCATCGATAGTTTCCTTTAACTGATTACCTGACTCTTGTTTTTATAAAGAGAGATTCATACAAATTAGCACCACCAGACAGTGTTTTTTTAGAACACACAAACAGTGAGGGGGTGTAATTTACATTTACACAAAACATTAGAGTTAAACAAGCACATGTAACATTCCATTCCAATACTGCAGTCGAAACTTATACCCTTGCAGAACTTTATAATTTCTTCACATGTGCCACAAGCATATGCCCATCCTCTGAAGAAATCTTTTTTTTTCTGCACTGCCAAGAGGTTACACTGTCTTTGTGTGCACGTACCTACATTCTACATGTGTTTATATGCATACGAGTGCCACTGCATGTGGGTGTGTGAGAGAATTACGAGCTTCTCCCCTTGTTTCCCTCAGTTGCTGAGTTGACTCATAAATTGCCTCCCTCTATTTCCCAAACATATCTCCCTCCCTCCTCTCTTCCCCGTCTCTATCCCCACCTTAGAGTCTCTACAAACTCCATGTAACACAAACACACATGCATACTGTTCATGTACTTCTCCCTGTTCTCCACAATACTGCTCAGATGAAACAAACAGCTACAGATGTCATGGGTCTGTAAGGTTTGAACACACATAAACACACATAGGTTAAGTCCCATGATCCTCTCTGCTTCTCAACCTCCTATAGAAGAAAAGCTGTGTGCAGCAGTGAGGGAAGGTGTGGTGCCCTATTACCTGAAGGTAAACTGTTACACTCTAACAGACATTAACAGACATGCAAATATACATCAAATCTATATGCATCAAACACACGCACAAACATAAGCACGCTGGACATGGAAGGTTGAAGTGAGGTCATGCAGGAGTCACATGACCAAGAGTGTGTGCACTGAAACCTGGCTGTGATGGGACAGGAGGCTTGTGTTTCGAGTCAGCAATACATGTAAGTCTTTATTGGCAGGGAAAATATCCTGAACCATCTCCAAACATACATACAGCCATGCACACACACGCGCGCACACACACACACACACACACACACACGTATCCAATACATGCAGGTCTGCTGATCCAGCTCCTAATAACACGAGGTGGATTAGCTGGATCTAATGCCACATATGGAGGGAAACATAAGAAAAACAGTGTGAAATTTAAAAGGAGCTTTAGACTGAGAGCAGCCATGGGGTCACTTAATCCCCATTACTGCACACACATAAAATACAAGCACGTAGAAACACACACACATACAGGCACACACACACACACACTGTTGCGCCACCACCCAAGAGCCCGGTGTCCATTAAGAGAGCCATGAATCCAGCACTAAAGCTGGTTTTACAGAGTGAAGTGACAGGATTGGTAACCACACACACACTCTCTCTCTCTCTGTCTGTCTGTCTCTCTCTCTCTCTTTCTCTCTCTCACATACACAAACTGGAGAAGAGCTCTGTGTGTACCTGTGTGTTTAGTGTGTACATTTGTGTCCATGACGACCAGGTGCCTCCCAAAGTTAAAGAGAGGAAATGTTAAACACTTAAAACACACACATGAACTCATTGGCTCTGACTTTGCTGGCTTTGCAACCCTCACTGACTTCTAAGCAGGACTCGCCAAAAGGCCAAACACAAACAGAGGGTGAGAAAGAAAGAAAGAAAGAAAGAAAGAAAGAAAGAAAGAAAGAAAGAAAGAAAGAAAGAAAGAAAGAAAGAAAGAAAGAAAGAAAGAAAGAAAGAAAGAAAGAAGGGGAGGGAGGGAGAATAAGTTTGGAAAGTAAAACTCAAAGAAGAAGAAAGACAAAGAAATAATGGCAAGAGAAGGAGAACATCGGAAGGGAGCATGTAGCTGCAGCATGTGACCTCCGTCGCTCTCTTTATCTCTGTTCCTGCTTCCCTTCACACACATTCAGCCTGTCCTGGGTTCTGTTAGCCGCTCATCCATCAATGCCAGAGAGAGGCTATGGCTGAAAGCCTGGTTTTACCAAGAAACAACATGGCCGTCCTGTGCTGCCCACTCAATAAACACAACATTGGAAGAAGTCTGTGTCTCCTTAGCCTATATGGGTCGGATCAAAATGTGTGTGTGTACAGTATGTGTGTGTATGGGCTCATGGTAAGACTCTGTTAGCAGAGGGTCTTTTCCTGTGTGTGTTTCTTAGGCTTTTTGGAGCATTTTGCATATGCATTTGCATGCAAATATATACAGTGTGGGTTTGTGTTTACCACACACACACACACACACACACACACACACACAAACACAAACACAAATAAACACAGTTCAAGTCACCAAAAAAGCAAATTTCAGTGTACACACACACAAAAACAAACACACACAGATGACCGGTGTCACACTGAGCTAGTATTGCTGACAGGGCTTGCAGTGTGGGACTGCCGCAAACACACAGCGGTTGACCTAAATCCCCCCATACTGCCCGTGTCATATCCTGTGTGTGTGCATGTCACTTCCCCCCGCTGGCTCGCAGCAGCCATCGCTATGGGGATCCCTCTGACTGCCCAGAAACTAACAGAGGTGGTTTTAAGCAGACGAAATCCACTGTCAGCAAGCACCACAAAAAAAGAGTCAGGGGGGCAACACCTCAAAGAGGAAAGGATGGACTGTGTTTTTGGAAAAGTAGAATCTTTGATTTTTACAGGTCCACATGCTAATATTTAAGAATCACACTCGTTGGAGCTGATCAGCTTCAATCTCTTGATTAAGTCGATTCATCCTTCTTTATTCATAAAGTGGACAAACATGATGAAAGTTTTCTGATGGTTCCTTTGATAGAGAACAGCTTTAGGTCAAACTCTTTGGTATGACAGAGACCCAGTGTAGGTACCAGATGTGTTCGGGGCTCAGTGGCCATTGAAGACGTCACACTACGGCAAGTCCATTCGGACAAACTACATTGCGCTCCATTTAATAAGTCAAATGTGCTTGGTTAAAAGCCCCTCGCGGTTTTCTTTATTTTAGTTTGTTCATTCAATTCACCTCAAAATTTTCTATCCATATAATACAGACAATTACAACTTACTGTTCTGTAATTTTTTGCTGGCTCTACTTGCATATGTTAACTTTTCTAAAAGAAAAAAAAATGTATGCAGGATCTCTGTTTATTGGTAGATAGTTTTGCTTTTATTCCACATTTCCTTTGGCAACCTAAAAGAGGCGGTTGTCTGGCTGTCATAAGTCCCTTTTGATAAGTAGCAGTAAATTGCTTCATAAAATTCGTCCATGTTATCTGCGAAGAACTACAATCCCATGAAACCTAATCCAGCGAAAACCACTTGTGTCATGTCCAGACCAACCACAATCATCTACGTCATCTGGGCAAAATTTCAACCAATCACATAGCGTGATGTCATCAATAAGCACCAGACCCCAAGCAGATCTAGCAGCCCGGATCTGGTACCTACACCGGCATTTACCCCCAAGTGTAGGCATTCGACAACAGTGGCAAAAAAGCAACAACATTTGAACAGGAAGAAACCCCAAGCAATAGCAGACTCATTGGTAAGTAACCATCTGCCATGATCAAACAGGCTGAGAAATGAACTAACGAGGCAAATAATCATTTTTAAATCTTAATCAAAGACTTTTATAGTAGGTCTACAGGATTTCCAGTCATTCTGTGATCCAGTTCATTGATCTACACTAGTTGTAATATGTAATATGTAATATATTCATAGTTTCCAAGAGAAAGCATCATTAGGTCTTATTATTCAATGGTTTGTTTACAAATTCTTTACAAAGAACCATCACTTATCTTAATTGCATAGAGCTAATGTCTTTAGGCTGTTAATTGTAGGGGAAGGTGTCCTACTTTTGGCACATCATGCCCAGCATCCCTGCTGCTTCACTTCAAACCAGCATTTGATCAGCACAGAAAAACATGAGCACGGGAACAACAACTGACTGATGAGGACGAGCACGACAACGACCATGTGCGCTTTGACGCAGACCCTGGCATTCATGGTCTGCCACTGCTTTCATGTTTTGGACCCCCCCTCTGCTGCTACAAAAGAAGGTTGAAAAGCAGGAGTGGGGAGAAAAGAGGAGGGAATAAAAAAAATTGAGAGGGAGGCGAGCGGAGAGAAATGCAGGTTTGGCCCCGGGCAGCGTGCTGTGATGTAAGAGAAACACAGAGAGTGAGAGGAAGAAAAGGGGGGAGGAGAGATGGTGTTCGGATCAGAGTGTGTCTTTGCACATGGACACCTTTATGTGTGTGAGAACACACACTTCTCTGCACACACTGATGTTGACATAATACAGTTTAGACTGGGTCGTGTCTGCACAGGTGAGAGATTCCTGTAAAAGCTAACTGACTTCAAACTGAAGGACGAAAATATTGCTTTAGAAATTATTTTAACATTTGAACACGGCGTTGAAATCTAAGGGGGTGAGGTCATATCTAGAGAAATGTGTGTGTGTTCATGTATGTGCGTGTGTGTGTGGTGTGTGGTATTTGCTGTAATGTCAGGGAGTTTCAGGCTGAAGCAACTTGACAGAAGTGCAGTGTATGAAACAGGCTCTAGGGCATGGACTGAAACTGGGCCTGCTAATTCCAAAGCACACACATACTTACACACACACACACCTCAAAAGACTTTCTGCGAACAAGTTCCAGCATCTCTCTTTCCAGCGTGTCAATATACTGAACCATGCAGCTCATCTCACTCTACCTGTTTGTCTCTGGCATTTCTTTTAAAGGCTTGTTGTTGTTGTTTTTGTTGTTGTTGTTGTTCGTTAACTATTTAAGTCTCATTTATGCGCTCTTTGCTTTTTTGCAATTTATTTTTTTGTCATCGTAAAATCATACACAACGTAACTCAGGGGATCAATTAGGACGACATGTTTAGAGCCATGTTTTATGAAGAAGATTCCATAAACTTTGAACGAATGGGTTTAAACTTGAGCCAAAGTTGATGCTAAACTCCAAGTGTATATGTGCCAGAAGTGTCTCATTGCACAGGGGAACTCTGCATGCTCATTTATAGAAAGTTTTGTAACCCCAAACTGAACCAAATTCAGTTCCATAAACTAAGAGTGGATCATTTATAACTCATCAGTCAGGCAGCATTTCCCTGTTAGCTGGTCTTTTCTTTCATATATTTGGCTTGGCTCATTCCAAGCTGTCTGATCATTTGGTTGTCTTTCTTCTGCTGCCACAGCAATATTCCCAGAACAACACTGACACAAGCGCAATGGCCAAACCAAAGCAGGAGAGACTTGAGTTTATCTCTTGGTTTTGGTTTATTTTGTTTTAACTGCATGGACATATTTGTCAAAGTACCTTATTACTTGTTAATAATCTGAATATTTTTTTGTTCTCAGTGACAGACTTCTACTCATTTATGCTTCCCCTCTTTACCCCTTCCCTCACCTCTCCCTCTTGTCCTTTCTGAAACCTGATAAGTGGCATCTATGCACGTGTCACGCCGCTCCTTCCTAAGTAGCCCCCGCGTCCGTCCACTATGCCCCTCTTAAACACTACCTTTCTTTCCCTCCCTGGCTCTCTGATTCGCTCACTCTCTCCCAGCCTATGCTTTTAAGACGTTCGTAAAAGGAGGTCTTATTGACAAAACAATCGCTCGGTGAGGCTTAAACACTGCCTTTAAAGGGGCATTATTAAATTGCAGGCAGGAAGGGGAGGGGCAGCCAACAAGGGAAACCTGATGACCTCGCCATCGATTTTTACATCAGCGGAGCGTTAGGAGAACTTAGCACAGAGATACTGACTACAACCAGAGAGAGAGAGAGAGAAAGTAAAGGGAGCAGGACCTACAATCTATGTTACACTTTGAGCTTTTAGCTATTTCAGAGTGGTTTACAATGTGTGGGCAGGGAGACCTGTATTGTTCAGGGACACCGAGATGCTTTGATGGTAAGTAGACCTGGACATGGAAAATGAGCTTCCTTTTCTAGACTCTACTGAAACATATCCTTCATTTTTTTACTACAAATCTAAGTTCAATTAGTCTCCAGTGTCAAATCCTATATTTCTTTGTTTAAAAGTAGGTAGGATTTATTTTCAGCTTCACTTTTGTGTCACTGAGGATCCCTCTCATAGCTGTTAATAAATGTATTTTGACTTTGTGTATTTTTATTTATAAGTTGTCACTTTTTATGTTTTGTATCAGAGTAGGTTTAGTTTCCCTGGCATCTGCTCCTCTGCTGCTCCACTTTACCAACATGTGATTATGTGATCTAGTTTGACATCATGTTAAAGAAAAATGAAGGCTGAGAGCCAGAATGATCAAACACAAAGGGGCTTTTGTCCAGAGTATGTCAAGACGTCAGGTGACAAAGTCTCTGACTGAGACAAAAACAGTGAACATGTGGTCATCATCTCCTCTCTTTATCACCTTCAAAATAAACACTCCGGAGTCCCAAAGATCCAGGCCTTTCTCAGCCTGACAGAGACGCTTTTTAAAAGTGACCTATGGGCCATTTTTACCTTAGTGACAGGACAGCTGAAGAAAGAGCAAATATTGGAAAAGGAGCGAGTGGAGAGTGACATGCAGCCAAAGGCCAAGGCTGGACTGGGACCTGAGGTTGCTGTGATGAGGACTACTGGCCTCCTTATGAAGGGGGCTTTAACAATTGGGCCAAACTGGCAGCCCACTACAGAAACTCTTAAGACCAGAAGATTAGTTAACCAGGGTAGGGAGTGTATTTATTAAAGGTTTCTTTTGTGGTAAATTGTCTTATGATGTTAAAATCATGATTGCACTGAAAATAAACACTGATAAGATTCAAGGCCTTGAACAGTGCACTAATGTTATGATACATATCACTTGTTAAAGAAGGAAGTGAGCTTGTATACCAGTGCTTCAGAGCTCAATCAAATTTAATTCAAATTAAATTTGACCAATGGAAATACCACTGATTCTTTTCAATTTGTCACTCATCTTTCTGGGACCTTTCTCTCTTTAAGCCTCACAGGACTGGTTCGCTTTAAACTCGGATCTTATTTGCTTTTTTCCACTGAAAACCACAATGGAATTATGACCACCCTTATCAAATGTTCAATATTAAACTTGAAATATGAATATGAAATGCAGACAAGGTGTCCCAATACCAGTTTTCTTTGTTGATCATTTTTTATATACTAATGAATAATTTCATCACATGGGTAATAGGTTCATCAGTGTAGCTTTAGCCTGCTTACTGTAATCCTGTAGTAAAAGTATAGTTAACTGTCAGAGCATTATTGTCATACTTAAGTGTGTGCTCATGATGACTTATCCCTGTGTTCTTAAAACATGGGTGTGTGGGAACTATACATACACGCACACACACACACACACACACACATACACTCGCACGCACGCACACACACACTGTGTACATACCTTACCTGTCTGGAAAGTGTATTCTTTACAAGCCACTATGGAGGGATGTGTCTAACTATTTGCCTTTGGGTGTGTACATTCTCAATATATGATCCTGCTGTGTAACTGCACACACCTGAACTATCTCTTTCGCTCTTCTTCCTTTTCTCTGACGCGCGCGCACACACACACACACACACACAGACACACACACACACACACACACACACACACACAGGAACACTTTCTCCATTCAAATTGAGATTCCCTAGTGCAGCGTATTTCTGCCAATAATTCATGAGTGATCTGCGCCCCTTGCCGGCCTTTAGCATTTTTATTTAATCTGCTGAGCCCTACTGCGTGCTAGCTCATCAATAATACACACCAACATGTGTGTTAACACATCTTTGGTGTGCAAGAGAGAGAGAGAGAGAGAGGGAGAGAGAGAGAGAGAGAGAGAGAGAGAGAGTATGAGATGGACTATATCTATAGTAGTACATAAATGGAGGAAAACACATTGCACACGTGGTAAAAAAAAGGGAGAGTGTATGTTTGGCTCTGTGTGGATCAGACAGTGATTTTATGCTGTAATTTATCACAAGACTGTGTTTTATTTGTCAGTTGATCCTGTTAGTGATCATTAGGTCATATCCTGTTGGGACCACGAATATAGGTGACCCTCAATTTGTATGTCTGCAGTCATTTGACATGAACCTAGTGTGCATGGAGGGTATGACTGTGACACATACACTCTTGGACTGAGTGTTTTATGCCTACTGAAGTTGACTTAGACTTGATGTCACAGTGTCACAGTTGTAGAGCAGATTTGATGCATGTGAATGCATGGGAAAATGTGTGTAACTGTGAGAGAGTTTACACATGCACGTATTTTGGTGTTCGTGTGTTCACTGACAAACAAAATCACAGCTAGGGAAAATTGACTTCACCAAATCAGTGGGTCAGGAGGTAACATCACCGGGGGTTGCTATGGAGACACCCAATGACGGGGCTTCCCGTCCAGCACAACAACGCGCCTGTGAAGCAGTTCCCCTAACATAACCTCTCTGACTGATTGTCTCTCTTACTCGCTTCCTCCCTTTTCATCTTTTTTTCTTTCCTCTATCTCTATCTCCATCTCTCCTCTTCCTCTTTTCCTTATTCTCTTTTTCTGCCGTTTTTCTCAACATCACTTCATCTTTTCACTTTATTGTTTCCTCCTCGTTCACAGTCCCATGCTACAATGAACTGCTCGCTCACTCAAACAACCATGCGTGGAAATATGCCTCTGGACAAGTGCGCAGACACACACAAGCGCACACACACTTGTATAAAACAAAATGTGAGGGGGCAGCGGGATCCCAGCATGCAGGGTTTAACAGCTAATACCCCTTAGATTAACCACCCCCGGTTCCCCTCTCAAACTCACTCACACACACATACACCATCTTCCACAAACCAAGATTAACCTCCCACGATTTACACAGTGTGTGTTGGTCATGCACAAAAACACACACACACACACACACACACACACACACCTTCAGGGTGTGTTGCTATCCCCCCTACCAATAAAAAAACAACAAACAGAATGAGAGCACACAGTCAGCCTTAAGTGACCAAGCTACTGTTCATGTGACTGTCTGTCTGACACACACACGCACCTACATACACAAACACACACACACACTGCTCCACATTATCTCTGCTGTAAGAATTGATCCCCCATGGATTTTAGAGAGGTCACGTGATTTGATAACCTCTACAGGATTCCCTCTGGTCAGACGGCCTTTTTCTGCTGTAGCGTGTGCGTATAAGTGAGCGTGTGTGTGTGTGTGTGTGTGTGTGTGTAGTATTTTTGGCCTGGTATTAAATGAATTCTCCATAGACTGATACACCATCCCCTAATCTAACGTCTGTCTGTCTCTGAGGTCTGTGATTGAACAATGGCAGGGAATAATGTTAACATCATTAGTCTGCTGGTAATGGGGATTTATCATGTCTCATCTCTTTCTCTCCCCCTCTCCTTATCATCCCTCTCTTTCTCTTCATCTATTTTTCACTCGTCTGGCTCTTTAACCCTCTCTCTCTCTCTCTCTCTCTCTCTCTCTTTCACTCTGCTGCTCTTTGCCTCTCCTCCTCCTCTCCACTTTCAAACCCTTACCTTACTAACTGACTGATACTTTCAAGGATTATTTTAAGGGCCGCTCACATCAAACACCCTCTTGCCTGGACCTGGCCTCTGTTCACCAGACTCCAGCCCCTTTAATTAGACACGGCTAATAACACTAAGCATGTGCTGATAGCCATCTCTCTGATAAGAGTAGCCGCACAAGGACACAGGGCCCCTTTCTACCTTTTTTACTGTGATACCTGGGGTTAAAATCACTAGTTAGCGAGCTGATTTTATGGCACCGGCTGCAGTCACGCTCGTGCCAAATTAGCAGGCTAGTTTTCACTTACAAAGCAATAACCTGAATGGGATGTAAAGCTTTTAAGCTAGGCTGCAAGCTAACAAGAACAACTGGTTATGCTATAACAATCATAACATTTTGGCTGTGTCTGAAATGAATCACTCAGTCCCTAACCCCTAACCCCTATATGGGGTTTCACTATATAGTTGACTATGTAGTGAACTCAATTACCAAACTCTACATGGCAAGACGCAATGCATGACGGGATGCCCACCACCGGTGAGTGACCATCGGATGGTCACTACATTTTGCAATGCTCTATGGGAAATTTTGAGTCACCTATATGGGGCATTTGAATGGATCACTCAGGTTTCGGACACCCCTCAAAATGGCGCTAACCCCCATATAGTCGCCTATATAAGGGTTAGGGATCCATTTTGGACACGTTCTTAGAAACAGGTGAAATGGTAAAGGAAGCCAATTTAAAGTTTCTTTTGTAACAGGATTTTAAGCAAATAATTATGAGCATTTGCTGTTATAAAGCCTTGTTTGAAGAAAACAGCTCTGTTTTAGTATTTTTTGTTTCTTGAATAACCTTTTTAAAGTAATTTTGAGCACAAATCTGCCATTGTGTCTATAAAAGTTTCAAAATAGCACAAGAACTGAATGAGGTTTGAGCTAGCTTCAAGGTTGGCATAGAGTCTAAACAGGGATGGGTGTTATAAAGTTTTACCAAGAGAGATAAATGTTAAATGAGATATTCACCGACTTGCTTAAACAAATGTTAATCAAAGTTAAAGGTACTTCAGAAAACCACTAAGCCCAGAATAAGTGAGTCAAAGTAAAAACCCTATAATTAGTCTCAGAGCTAACACTCTTTTGGTGAGCATTCTTGTTTAACTGGAAAAACATCCAATAAAATCACCCAGCTTACATTTTGGATGATTTTATTGGATGTTTGCAGATAGTAGTTTGACTCTTAATTAACATGGATGCTCATGTTTTGGGCTGAGTTAGGCTCTTGGTTTGGAAAATCACTCCAGGCCATATCTCTTTAGTTGGATTGATCTAGGTGAGGATGATTTGGTAAGTGGTGTGTGTATGTGTGTGTGTTTCTGTGTGTGTAGGATGAAAAATAGGGGTGGAGTGGAGGCATTAATTCCGATCATTAAGAACTTGGATCGCCTCGGGGTGCAAACCCTTGAAATCGACTGCATGAAAACTCTGAAACGACTCACCAGTTGTTCACTTGTAGGATGGTGAGGCCTGTGTCTTGTGCCAGCTGTTTCTTCTGTTCTTCTGATGGGTAGGGATGCTGCAGATGAGAGAGTAAACAGACAGGTATGAGCAAAGGCTGACCACAAATTGTTTAATGAAGCTTTTTGTTTTTGAAAAATGAAACTGATGTGCCTTTCCATGAAGAAAGAGTTGTTGTACATTATTACAGAATACACGCACACATAGAAGCGTTCACCGTAATGAGGAGCAGAAAATGAGCTGTGTGCTAATGCTCATTGGTGCGTAGGTGTCAGTATGTATCCTGTAAATCAAGTGTGTGTGTGAGTGTGTGCACGTTAACATTCCTCTCTCCCCCATGATCATTAATGGAATATGAAATCTTGTAATTAATGGCAGCCAAAAAGGCAAGCCAATTAGAAAGTTAAGTGAAGTGGAGAACCAGCTCTGGTAATTAGGCAGCCTCTTACACAAATATATTCGCGTCGATGGCCCCCCTTTCACCCCGCTGCATATGTAATCAGAGAGAAGGGAATATGTAATGTTAACCCCATGGAATACAGACAAGAGGAGCTAAAATGTCTCATCTTTACTGCTGCTGTTTGCTTTTGTTCTTATTAAAGTTAGCGCAATAACATGACTCAGTGAAGTTTGCCACTTTGCTGTTATCCTTTCTAAATCAGAATCTGGATTCAAAATCCGGATTACTTGTTCAAAATTGATTGACTACAGTAGAAAAGGATAAATTATGTTGTTCTGGTATTATTTTATATCAAAATAATCCCAAGAACTATAAATATAATCGATGAACGATAGATAACAGAGCTGTGAGGCAGATGACCCCAACTGACTTCAAGCCAGTTGTTTAAAAGTCACTCCCAGCCTGCAGCTCCTCCTCCAGAGGCCAGCTGAGAACAGTTAAAGTCGGGCCACCTGTTTAAATATATAGAATGAATAAATTGGATAAATGTGAACTCGGAGAGTGTGTTGATTTATATTAGAGCAGGGGGTGTCACAGTTAGACGGCGCCTTGTTGGCAGAGGACAATGTGCTGTTCATGACTGGGACAAGACATGGACTGTGCTGAACGCCATGGGCGAGCCGTAAAACAGGAGGAGAGGGAGGTGAAGGAAAAGAAGATTGTTGAAGCGATGGCGCTATCTAGAAATGTTGCATTTACAACATTTATGACAACATAATGTAGATGTTTGAGGATTGAAAACAGAGATATCAAAGAGAACTAGTGAGAGATTAGTGATAAAACATCTTACTTCAACATCACTAAAAAACAAAAATAAGACAACTGTTCTAATTCAATAAAATGTCAAAGATGAAATATCTGGATGTGTTGAAGAGAATTGATTTATTTGTATGATTTGAATTCAAAAACTCCTCGACCTGTCATATCCCTGGTATTTGTCTCATCCCATGTTGTGTCGACTCACAAAAGGCGCCACACACATGGCCAGAGTCTAGTACTATGTCTAACAAGAACACACACACTTAATAGTTAATCAGACGTGCAAAATCAGTGCGGCGCCAGAGTTTTCATTTTTTCATTACAGTTTTTCCAGCGCATAATGAACAGGATTGTGTTTAACTCTGCGACGAGCCAGCAGAGAGAGGGGAGTCTCATTTTTTCCCAGCCTGCCCTTGTCCATGTGATTGGTTGTGGGGAATGGGAACACAAGGAGGCTAATTTCATGCGCTAAGTTATAATTGCATTGTCGCCTCTGGCCAAATTGGTGTCCACTTCTCTTTGCGCAACCATGTTATGTGTGTGTGTGTGTGGGCCTTTGTGTGTGCGTATCAATGCATGTGAACTGTCAGTTCATTCATAGTGTGCGTGTGTACAATCATTCTTCATACTATAAACAAGATAACATCAGAATCTGAAAATCAGGGCGCCAATCAGCTGCCTGTGTGAGCATAAAGTGAGAAAACATTATTCTTTAGGGCCTATGTCATCTGATGTGTTGACGCACTTCACATATAGACACAGCACACACACTCACACATTACAGCTCATCATGTGAACACATCTTTTAAGTTTGCCGTTCCAATAAACACAGCTGATGGAACAGGAGAGGATCAATGTGTCCATTCTGCGGGCCGCAGATTTGTGGAAGCAGGAGTGTCTGCCTCGTGATATTGGGGCGCCGCGGCCACGCCAGGGGCCACAGTGCAGCACAAACACACCCTGTATCAGTGCGGCTCGAACTCTGGCAAACAAGGAAAGACAGACAGCTATACAGAACCAGATACACACAGACAGACAGACAGACGTGCGATCACACACGCAATCTGAATGCCAGACTGTGTTCATCCAACATCCTGCCAGCACTGGAATCAAACCAAGTAGATTTACCCAAGGCTGAAAGTCAGTTGTACTTATGATTTGATAAACAGATTAAAGCGCCCAAAGGTACAGGTGTTACAAATATTAGTTTCACATACAGTATTAAACTAAATAAACAGGTTTTAAATGTTTTACCATTATTAATTCTGATTAAATTACCACAAAAGGATCAGGAAACTTCTCCCATCTCTACATCCTCCTTATATACAACCCTTGATACTTTTGTTTTTAGCTCTTTTTATGACTTTTTTTAATTCTTAATGGAAGAATTAACTGAAAAAAAATGTCCAGAAAGCCAGTTCTCTCAAACTGTTTTTGTCTGCTCTTTTCTTAAAACCACCAAATTAGCCCCTTGATGTCAAAACACTCTGATTTAGTTCCTCAGTGCAGCAACAAGTCACCCAGTTTTAATATTGTCTGTGAGTGATTCTGGGGCCTTAATGGTCTTTGGCTGAGATTCAGCGGGTTAAGAGAAAGAAAGAAGGGAGAGAGAGAGAGAGAAAGGGCTTTAGTGAAAAAAAGCAATAACATGTTCTTTAAAAGAGCAGATGGAAAGTTTCTCCGCGCATCCTTCCCTCCCTTCCCTCTTCCCTCCGCCTATCTTAATGATATGTCTTCTCCAAATATACAACTCCTTTCATGAGAATTTCCACCCTGCTCACTAGCCACGCTGAGCATGTGGGTGCCAGGAGGGGTGTGTGTTTGCTCCTCTCCCCTCTGTACATCTTATCAATCTGAGTGTGCATGCGTGGGTGTGTTCCTGTCTGTAGGTTTGGTTTATTGAGTGTATTTGTATTTGTAAGTTGTGGATAAGAAATGAATGTTTATTTGTGTGTGTGTTGATTTTCATTTCAGCTGTAAATAAATTCCACTGTGCATGGTCATATTTGTATGTGTGTGTCTGTGTGTGTTTGCATGCAGATGTCTGTGTGGGTGAGTAACAGAGCATCAGTAACATCCCCTCCCTGTCTGACTGCCTTCCTCTCTGACCCTTCAGACGAGAACAAGGAGGGGATAGACAGATGGAGCGAGGAAGGAAAGAGAGACAGAGGGAAGAAGGAGGCAGGGGAGGAGACAAGGAAATGGATATGTGGAGCCCCAGGGGTTTAACCAAGAGATAAGAGCAGAAATATTCTGCAAGACCCCTTTTTACTCCCCTTGTCCCATTCTTAACCCAGGACAAAACTATTTCAGGCAACTAAATTATGTGAACCGTCTCAGCGTCCAGTGTAATAAAAAAATGGAATGCAGTTAAAAATAATATAAAAAGGGATAGATTATTTTTTTTATTACCTGCAATAAGCTCTAGATGCTCATAAGACATCCAAAAGTGATTATGACTCATGTATCAGTGGAAAAAAAAAACAAAGTGAAAAATGTGAGTTTAACTTCGTATTGAAGCGTCATTTTGATTCTTGTTTCCTCTTATTACAGTTTGTGATTTATTAGTGTTCTTCTCAAGGTCAGCCTGAAGAAACTCAGGGTGCTGTTTCCAACAATTTAACCTTTGACCCATAAAGAACACAATGTTCAAACCAATCCCTCATAATTTTTACAAGAGACATAAGGCACTGGATCCACATTCACACATGCATGAAACTCCAGGAAACTGGATTTGGATGGGATATGAAGGAGGGAGTTGGGGATAGATGAGAATGCGTAGCTGGGTAGTTATATCTGGGTTAATATGTTTTGCTTTACTATCGGCATCTCACATAATACCTGGCAAATTGTAAACCAGAACAAGTGACATGATGTACTATTGTTCATTGTTGACTGCTCTGACTTGAAAACAATAAAAAAGATTTGTAGTCAGAAATGTTCAGACATCAGGCTGAAAACTTTTAAACAACATTGACCAACATGGCGTCCTTCTCTTGTTTTGCAACTTCTCAATCATATTAAGCCTCACTTTGCCAAAATTAGTGAAAAGAAAAAGAAAAAGTCCCAGTCAAAATTTTATTAGTGACGCTCTGCTTCAAAATGTGGGTAAGGCTATTTTAGAAATGTCTGTTATCTTGCTTGACTCCTCTCCATGTTGCTTCTTCAGCAAAACCAGCTCTCTTTGCAGTCCTCTCTGTCTTTCTGTCTCAAATAACTTAGTGTTTGATTTCTTAAAAACTATTGATGACATTTTATAATGGCATATCCTATGTGATCCCTTGCTCTTTTACAGATTCACTGCAGCCTGCAATCTCCTCTGTCTTTCTTTAGCCATAAGCACAACAGTGTTATCATTGCATGTTTTTCTATTTAAAGCCGTGCTTCCCAAGCCTCTGAGAATCCCATTAAAAAAACTCGACACGCTACATTAGTTTTATAAAAAACTGTAACCATGAAACGTGATGGAGGGAGAAGTAAAGGAGAGGAAAATCATATGTTGTCACAGTCATGTGATGTCCCTCAAAAAAGAGGCCATGACACTGCACAATCTGTGGATAACACACACATGGGTCAATAGTATTTTAAGCTAGCTTGCTTTAACACCAGATGGTTGGGGTTTGCCACAAGGCACAAGGAGGCCATAAAATGCAGTGAATCACAGTAAACAACTTGTTAACAGGCAACAGTTAACTTTCATGCACTTTTTGTTGTTAGTACCGTACTTTTTATGACTTTTTTTGGCAACTTGTGAGGACTCTAACTGTTCTAACGGAGTTAACACACACACACACGCACACAATGAGCCAGTTACAGTATGCCTGGTTACTGACTTGCATGCAGTGACTGAGGTGAAAGTGAAAAGCCTTGACTTTGCCAGGACTGTTCCCCAAACTTTTCCTAGGTCAAATCACCTTGGAAACCGAGCTGCCCATCAGGAATGCCTGACGGCTAATCCGGGGGCCTTTTTGGCTAAGGGCATCAGAGTATCATACCAAACTGTTACACACATACATACATGCACACACACACTCACAGGAGCACGCAGTTTACTGGAAGTGCAGCCTTGCTGCTGCCAGACGTGTATGAGATTACCTTAAATATTTGGGGAGGCGAGCACATTGTTATGCTAACAACAAATGGCCAGAGCCCTGAGCACAAGCAGACCTCAAAACAAGCGCTCCAAACTGTAAGCCTGTTGTATCTCATACAAGCTTCCAATTTCAAAAATGTCTAGCACATTCAGTGGAAGTTTCATCCTCTGTGTGTGTGTGTGTGTGTGTGTGTGTGTGTGTGTGTGTGTGTGTGTGTGTGTGTGTGTGTGTGTGTGTGTGTGTGCGCACGCGTATCTGCGTGCATGTGTGTGTTCATGCTGTGTAGCAAAAGCTATGCCATTTCAAATTCCTTTCTGTGTAGGTGGCATCGACTGACATCCCTTTGACTTCATTAGGGAGCAGGGACCCAGCTACAAAGCTGGCTCTGGGAGAAAAGGGGGGATTAAAGGAAAAGAAAAGGGAGTGAGAGCGAACAAAACAACAACAGAAAAAAAAAATAAAAAAAACAAAGCACCGCTAACCTAATTTCCTCTGATTTTGGGCTGCTCTGGTGCAAAATAGGAAAACAGAGCAAAAACAGCTCTTTAGAAAGATTCAAAATTAACCAACTAAGAGATGTGAGTCCTCTATGCAAAATAAATGTCCCCGTCTTCATCTGGTATGCCAAAATAAAGGCAGAGATAACCTTTTCATGGCTCTTAACCAGCTCTGTGCTTGAAGCTGATGTTGAATAATTCAACATCATTTTAAAAAACCTCAATATATGTACCAGAGATGGCAAAGGAACCCCCTTTCAAACTGTTTTTGTCATCAAATCTCTCCATCTCTCATGGAGATAAGGAACATGCAGGAAAAACAGATGTTCTTGGGCCTTTCATTCATTAATGAGCGTTTTGCCCCTTAAAAAACAGCCTTTGTTGGTTTAAGGAATCTCTCAGCGCTCTTGCCTATGGGAATGAGATAAATCTAGTTAGCTGGTGAGGCAAAGGGTGAAAAGTATGTCATTAAAGTGCTGCTACAAAGTGGATTAGACAATGTACAGCATAACCAGCCTCTCCACTATGATAATTGATGATTAGCATCATTCATGGATTTTTTAAAACTCCGGGGGCACAGAACATTGAGGGCAGCAGCCACTAATGTGGCCTGTTCCTGCAGGGTGTGAACTATGATCCGTGTGCTTTACACATGGGTGGGTCTCCAGCCTACACTGTATGTATACTGAAGCTTAGAGCATGTGTGCACATGAACACGTCTTAAGTCTGAACAAAGCAGTATACTGTTGTGTTAAGCAGTGAATGTAAAGGGTAGGGTATGTGAAAACTGAAGAGCATCTTACTCTGTGTGCACTGTATGTGTCGAGTCTTTACTCTGCTTGCTTTCACTGAGAGCGAGGGCGGGCTTCATTAGTCCTCCCCATTCCAGCTCAGGGGAGGCTAAATTTATTAAGGGGGCCGGATGTTGCACAACACCTGCTGCTGTGCTTCCCTCTGTGCAATAAAGGAAAGGGGGTGCAGCATGCTAGCTAGTGCTAGCGTTAAGCGCTGCTCGTTGGACTGAGGCTGATGAGCTGGGGCTAATTCAGGGGGTGATTATGTAGTTTGCTGGACCACTAAACCTCTTTAAGCCCGTAATTACTGCCTATTTGAGCGAGGGGAGGCACTCCAAAGCAATCGGTACTCGCACCAAGCGGCGCAGTGAACGGCAGCCACAGCTGGAGGTGGGCTGCCTCAGGGCTGCCTGGGATGGAGGGGGTTTAAATGGGGGAGTAGGAGGGATCCACAAAGCACCATCCCAGTCAGGTAGCACAGAAAGCTGGGAGAAAACAGCAGGACACCCCTCTGAGCAGCAGCATGCTCGCTAGCTCGGAGCTACAGCGCTTGGAGCTAGCAGTCTAGCAGTGATCTCCGAATTTCAAAACAAATGTTCTCTTGTTACACACAGCTACAATACACAGAGCTCATTACACAGACTGCAGAGAGACTAAGTGCTGCAACGAGAGAGTTTAGAGAAACAAAACTGAAAGAATTAAACAAATGATTAGACTTCCAAACCACATAAACTCCTCCGATTAAAATAAAAGTCAGCAAGGAGGAGGGGTTGGAGATGTCATTGTGGAGGAGGGGAAACTAAAGTTCTTTTTTAGACTCTGTGTCTGTGAGATACAAGAGGGGATTAGATTCTCAGATTACACCAGGACCATGGGGGAATCCATTTCATTTCACCTGACTTTCAAGGAAATTTGACTTTATGTAATGCCACTGAAATCTGATCTCTCTGAGGAAGCAATTTGGGGACCACATAACATTCTAATAACCCCAGCGATATTATTATGTTATTATCATAATTACCCTTTTGCCCCCGACGTTTTAATTAGAAACTCACCGTCAGGAGGGGGTCGGGGGTTGGGTGGTGGTGGGGGGACCTGGGTAGGGGAATGCTGAAACTAGGTAAGGGTAATTCACAATTGCTCCCTTATGCTCTTTGGAGCAGCAAGTTTAAGAGAGAAGAGGGACGCAGCCGGTGCCTTTGAAAGATGAAGCTTCCTCACTCTACCTCCTCAGTCTTTTTTGACATCTCTGTCATTCAAAGTACACCTCCCACCCTCCTGCTACTCACTCCTTTATCTCCCTGTCTTCCTCACCCGTCTCCGCCCCCTCCATCGCGTCTGTTCTATATTTAGCATTTTGCTTAACTATCTCATGCTGCCTCCTTTTTCTCCCCCTTTCTTTTCTCCCACCTCTGCTCCACTCCCCTCTTTACCGTTACCTCTCATCTTCGATTTTAATATCCTCACCTCTTCCTCCCCTGCAAAATGCGTCCTTCCACCTCCCTACTTTTCCTCCCTCTCCCTCCCTGGCCTTAGCAGTGGAGGGCCTTCTCCATCAGTGCACCGCTTTTTACAAATCAATGACTTAATCTGTCGTAACAAACAAGTGAGCAGCACCATCAGCCCTGTTCGCTTCCCCCACCAGTGCTAATGCCACAAAAATGCACCAAAGAGAGAGTGGAAGGAAAGAGAAAAGTGGGGAAAATCTGAAATACATATAGAGGGAGTGTGATGGCAAATGGGAGAAAAAAGACAGGGAGCAACATGGAGGTTAGAGGAATGTAAACAAGTCTGAAAGAGATCTTATTGGGGAAGGAAGAGAGGAGGAGAATAGATGAGCGTATGTGCGATGGTTCTCCCACCAAATTTCCTCCAGTAGCTCTCCAACTCCTCTACCATGCAATAAGCCTGTCTGTATTCACCACCTGGTTCACTAGCTAGGATTTCTCCTGCTCCACTGAGCACAAACACACAAATATGCACAACACTGACAAACACACACATGCACAAAAACACACTAAACACAGGTGCACTTTGGGTCAGCTGGCCTTGTGAAAATACATCATCAACTTGTGAGGATACCTTCCACGCCACCTGCCTTCAGTGCATGTCGAACAGTGTTTTACAAAGGCAACTTCAATCACAACATTATGAGACAAGGAGGTGTAAAACGATGAGTTATGGGTGGATATCACAGGGTTTCTCATATATAAATCATAGCACTCTCCCCAATGCCTTTGAAACAGAGCACCAATATTGCTATGATATCATGGTTCAAGGCCATTAAAGCGCATGGCAACGCAAGTGTGCATTATAGAGAGAACTTTGTGTGAGGGAGTCATAGCAGAAAAAGAGGAGAGCAGCAGAGAGGCAGGAGGCATGCATAAAAGATAGGAAACCCTTATGGTTTGTCAGAAAGAAGAGTTTTGTCAGAGAGAGAGAGAGAGAGAGAGAGCATTCACGCATGGGAGAGAATACAAGTGGGAGGAACTGAATTGATAAATTAGTTCAGCCAACGCGCAAACTGATTACCACGTCTGCAAAGCCACAGGATCCATCGAGCACACGCATGAAATGAGACACAAAGACACGCACACACACACTCAAGCACAGCCTTTGCTAAAGAAACATGAGGGTGACACATAGAAACAGCAACACAACTGCATACACGCAATAACACAATCACATATACAGAGCCAATGTATCTAGGGCAGGCTGCTGCAGCCGTTGTAAGTGAAAGGTATCGAGCTGCCAGGAAAGATCCCACAATCCTCTGGTTCACAGAACACAGCCTAATGGACAACCGCTAACTGCTTAAGCTAGTTTGATTCACAAATGGCAGACTATCACGGCACAAAACCACCCTACACAAACAGTAATGTTAGGGTCTGTTTCTTTAAGGGTGGTCACCATTTTACTGCTCAAGTTTTATAGATGTTTTAAAGACAACAGACTTTTGTGAACGTAACACCAAAGGGCTAAACTGCTACAATCGCTAATCTGTTAGTGCTAGTTAACCTCATCTGTCAAGCTAACGACAAGTTTATGACAATATTTTTCCCTGGCTCTTTCACACGTCAATATGCCACTCACTCTCCAATAAATACCACAATGATGGTGGGGAACTCCACACCCCACCCAGGCAATGACGTCACTGCTGTGTCTTTCTATGTGTGTGTGTGTGTGTGTGTGTGTGTGTGTGTGTGTGTGTGTGTGTGTGTGTGTGTGTGTGTGTGTGTGTTTGTGTCTAAGCGCAACGAGTGGGCCCCTTCTTTGGATTTGCAAATCATCGTAAACTGATTAGTGGGTACCAAACCAAGAATGATTTCACACATCCGAGTTATTGGGCCTCTGTCCGCCCTGGAGACTCTCTCTCTCTTTCACTCTCTCTCATCTCTCTCTCTCTCTCTCACACACACACACACACACACACACACACACACACACACACACACACACACACACACACACACATATGTGCACACACACACACACACACACAATTATGACATACAGCTGATAATGAAAAATGGAACTAGTGTGAAACACAGCTTCAGCATGTGGCCATCAATCAAGCAGACATACAACAATGAAACCACACACTGAACTGTTTCATAGTTTCCCAAGGATTAAATTGTTTGAGTGATGGAGGGAGGGAGAAAGGAAAAAAGGAAGACAAATGGAAAAGCGAAAAGATGGGAGAGTCATTATGATGGTGACAATTTAATTTAGAGTTAATGATTGGGAATAAATTTTCCTGCACCATGATGCGTGAGCATTTGAACATGGTTGATCTTTGAAGAAAGGCTCAAGTTGAGAATCTGTCTCTGTGTGTTTCTGTGTGTTTGACGATCTCTTGTGAGTGGTGATCCCCTTCAATGCTGCTGACCGACCTTGAGGGTCTGTAAAGTTCTCACGTTCTCAAGGAAACCCCTCTGCCCCCCCACCTCCCGACTAAGGCAAGACTGAGCTTGGACCTGTGGCAGGCATTTTTGCAAAAGTTCAGAGGTGACATGAATTAAAAGTTAACTGCCCTTGAGGGCTTTTAAACAGAGAAGGGGAAATGATACGAGACGGAGAGAAGGAGAAAAAGCTTCAGAACAGGTTGGGAGTCATGTTGAAACTTCCAACATATCTGACCTGTTCTCATTACTGTGCACAATTTTTATTGTGATGCACTTAGTGAACTGCTTGAAAAATCTTATCTTACTAACAACTAAATGTTTTGTTTTCTTTGAGCATGAGGAGCATGAATACCTCTAAACAAGCACAGAACACCCACCCTCCAAGTGTCTTAAGCTATTTCCCTCTCTGGTATCTAAACTCTTCTTTCTAAAAGTTCTTCTTTCGTTGTTTATGCTTCATGGCAATTTCATTTTGACATTTCAGTGTGTGTTTGGACACTGGATTGGCCTAATGCAATAAAAGCCAATGAAGTTAAGAGAAATTATGTCCAATGAGCATGTGACTAAAATTAAAGCAATATGACTTTTATAGAGACAGAGCTTACAGTGAAATTTAATAAACTTTCAAAATTTATACAAAAATTACCATAAAAAAATTTCAAGTATGTAATAATAGAAAAAAACGCCAAAGAAACCGCCATTAAATGAGGGAAATAATTATAAACAGCAAAAAGGTCTAAGTTTGCTTGTTTTAACAAAATACTGTCAAAAAAATCAACAACAATATATGACCAACCATTTTCACAGCTTGAAAAAAGTCACTATTCAGCTAGATCTTTGCCAACTAGAACACATATTCCAAAGTAGCAACATCTGCTATTTATCAGTCTTTCTATTCACCCACTGTACCCCTTCATCCATCTCCTCATCCATCCATCATTCTATCCATCAATCATGAAACAGATGGCCTTTCAGGAGTGAGGTCTGATGGCTTCCCACTGCCCTGGTCATACCATCACCCCCTTCTACTACCACCACCAGAACACACACACACACACACACACACACACACACACACACACACACACACGCATGCAGACACACCTCCTGCCCCCAACACCTCCACCACATGGCCTGGCCTCCCTATCTACCATCCACTCCCATGCACCACTATCTTCCCACTCTGGAAAAGATAGGCCATCTTGCTATCAGCTTTTAATACACACTTAAAAAAACAACATGGACGCCCATTGAAATTTGTCTAAAGAGTGTGTTGGAGGCAGGTCTGTGTATCTGTGAGGGTCAGTCCACAAAGAGAAGCCCCCAAAGAGAGCTGTCTGCCTTGGGTCCCTGGGGTCTGTCAAGAGGGATAATTGATGATGTTTTCATTACAAGGTGTGGGGTAATGTGGGGGTTGGGGCACAGTATGAGTGTGTGTGTGCATGTGTGTACGTGTGTGTATGTTGTGGGGGTAGGCAGGTTGACTCAGCTGCCTCCTCTTTGACACCACCAGATCCTAAGATTGGTATGGGCAAGTCATTTTTCTTACAAACACACACAAAAGAAATCACAAACACACAAAGGTTCACAAACATGAAGCCAAAAGTGAAATCCATTCCAAGAGATAAACTCCTGACAGCAAATAAAACTGCTGAAAATCTGAATAACTCATTCTCTTGTTTTCCTGTGCTGCTCTGTCTCATCATAGTGTCACGCCAGGCCTTTGGCAGATCTGTCCGTCTGTCTGTCTTCTCTTAGGACCTCTTTGAAATCCCTAATGCAGTGGCGCCTCAGATTCTGACTGCCACTTAGATTGAATTAAGACCTAATCGGAGACACCAGGCCACATAGGCCTCTATATTGCTTTACAGTATCAGGAGGGCCATCATGCCTTTGTTGTCATTTGTGGATAAATGAATGAAAAACCCATAGAAAAGTCTGCAGAAGTTTCTATATTAATCTGGCTTCCTGACGTATCTTCAGAGTTATTTAGGAGGCGCCTTAGGACTCACACGCTCTATTGTAATGACTTTTCGTGAGAAATCGTTTTTGTGGAGCAGACAACAACGGCTTGGTAGACTAACAGCAATCACATGACAATCACAAAAAGCAAACTTTGACCATTTCTGCTCTCTGGATTCTTTTCAAACATTATATCAGGGTTTACCCAACACAAAAAGTTCAGAAACAGCCATTTAAAACACCACAAATATGAGGTTTCTTGAGGAAAGATGATAGAAGTCATTTTTGTCTGATTGGTGATAAAAACATATCTGTCAAGCCCTCTTCTTTCTTATGTCTTTCTACTTCACATAAATGCCAAAGACTAAATTTGAGATTAGAAATAAAAGCAGCTGTTCCTCAAACAACGTTGGACCAGTAGGATAGCGCTCTCCCACACCTGGGTTGCTGGAGCAGTTTTGCCACAGGTGAGCTGGGTGTTGACATGTACAGGCTCCAGAAATAAACAGCCGAAGACTAATGGCATCCAAGGCAACGTTGAATTCTGACAAACTCAAAAGTTTGTACCTCTACCTTCTGTTGTTTGGATGAAGCTTTACATATCTGCTTTGCCTCTGGCTAAGAAGTTTGGGGACTTACAACTCTTCAATTCACACCACAGATTCATATCATTTTACAGATGAACAACACAGAAGTTAATCCATTTTTTAAACCATCAAACCAAAGAAATCACAACAGAATTTAAATAATTTCTTAGGAATAAACCCTTCAAACCGATGTGGTTAGAAACACCACATAGTTGCTAGAAAAGAAAAGAAAAATTGAACCTGGACCTTCAAGACACTGCCCTCTCTATGGAAGATATTAAGCCACTTTAAAATGATCTTGCTGTCAATGATTAGAGCACCCATCCATTTCTCCATACATCCATACATCCATCCATCCATCACCTCCTTTTACTCCCCTGCAACCCTGGATTCTTCCACCACCCAACAACAGCTTGGCTCCTGGCCTCCTTTGCCAGTGTAGAAATGAATTATATTGCTTTTCACACCTGTTTCTGTTCAAAACCCTGCTGCACACTGCTGCGTAGAAAAAAAGAAAAGAAAAACATTTCCAAGGGGGGTAACTGTGCTCCCCTAGCTCGGCTACATCTGCGTACACGAGCGGTTAAATTAGCCTCTAATTGTATTAACGGGGGATTATGCCTTCCAGTTGGATTTTTTATACTCTCTCTCTCTCTCTCTCTCTCTCGCTCTCTCTCTCTCTCTCTCTCTCTCTCTCTGTGCATTTTACACATTTTAAGTGGAGAAAGGAGGAGGGGGAAGAAAAAAGCAGCTCATTGAGGCTTTGCGGGTTGGCTTCTTTTATGAGCTGCGATCACGGCTGCCCCTCGTTACACCAAGTCTGTGTACAAATAGGAGGGGAGGAGAGCCAGAATGAGAGTGTTAGTGATAATGTGTATGAGAGAGTGTGTGAGTTTGTGTGTGTGTGTGTCCCAGTCTGCCAGGCTAATATACTGATGCTAACACTCTGAATGCCAACCCCCTCTTGTTCTTTCTTTCCACACACACACACACACACACACACACACACACACACACACACACACACACACACACACACACACACACACACACCTACTTCAGTTTAGTGAAGCAACAATCTAACTGGGGATACGGGTGGTGGTGTGTGTAGCTGGGAGGTGGGGGTGAATTCCATCTAATTACTCTATCACATAATTTCACAAATTGCCTTTTCATAGGGGAGTGGAGAGCAGAGCACAGGGTGCGTTGGGGATTTGAGGCCTGAGCGTTCATTTACTACTCATTTCTTGTTAAATTAAACAAGAAAATACCATTTGTGAGGAGGGAGGGGCTCAGAGGTGGGGGGTAAGTGGAGTCTAACTGCAAACTAGGAAGGTTGAAGGGAACACTGATGGGTAACAGCTATTTCTTTATCTCAGAGGCTTTTATCTTTACATAGCAGCAAGCTAGGTGAGCCATTTATGCAATACATAAATAATTAGTTTTACATCAGTGAAATAATAAAACATTATTTTGACTTATTTACAGTCATATATTTGTTTAGTAAATTAATAACTGAATAATTCATTCCTTTGTATGGTGTTGTCATACTTTATCTAGACCTTGAGTCTAAATGAAATCCTGAAACAACCTCTGGAACAAGATCAATCAACTCAATCATATCCTCACTGATATAAACAGGCTTAAAAGTGTTTGTGTCAATTGGACAAAAGCATATTTGCTTATCTCTCATCAAAAGTCACTTTCAGTCAAATTACTGCTGGTAGTCACACCAGCTGTTTAATTAAGAATGTCAATGAGAAGGCAAACATAAAAATTGAGATGAGGACACGAGTGGAAAAGCACTCCCCGCTCTCCTTTATTTTGGTGCTCTACCAAGTTCACAGCTGCATGTCAAGCTGGCAGTGAGCTGTGTGGGTCAGCCTTTAGTGACAGGCGGTAAAAGCTAATGTTTTGTAGTCACTCCAAGTCAGGGCAGCCAAATTTCTTCCGATGAACTTGTCCCACAAGCCTTGCTCACAACATATGAGCTCATAGGGTGTGTTGGAGAAAAGTCAGCAAGCTGCGACTGTCGTCATCATCAAAAATTCAAAACCACTGCTCGATCTGTCACTCTAGGTACTGTATATCACAGAGAGGAGCATGTTTTACTACAGTTCTCTCTCTGATTTGATGGGGATAACGATTACAGAAGAACTACGACTTTTTTAACAATCCGTGTCCATGCTGAGAGCAAGCGGGACACCTTTTACTTAAAGACCCACTCCAATAAAAATCATGTTTTTCTTGTTGTCTACATGTTCATGTGGCATTTTTCTGATGCTACAGGACATATCACGAGAAAAATAAGTGCAAAATTGCATTTTTGAGTATTTCTGCATTCAAATCGCTGTAAATCTCTGGCAGACCCAAACAGCAGGTTCAGACACAGTGAGATTTCTAACGTAATAAATCAAAGGGAGCCCAACTATGCAGGCCAGACTCCTAAAAGTAGATAGGACAATCGCGGAACAAGCCTGTGTGTTAGCGGATCGCAATATTCGTAAGAAAGCTAATTATGATATTAACTTGACTTAACTTGAAATTATGATATTAACTTTTATCATGTCCCCAAAGACATTAGTGTCTGAGAGCTGAATAGTTCCTATGTTACCTGCTACTTCTCCTACACCGGCAATGTTAGGCTGCAAGCTAGCATGAAGAGGAGTGTGCAGAGCAGCGCTGTCTCTGCCCACGACTTAGAGGTGAATTGCTAATGATCTACTGGAGCTCTGCAGAAGAAAAGCCCTTGAAGATCACACAGCTAATGTGACTTTAGCTAAAAAACTTCATAAACACAATTTAAAGACCACTGATAACACTTTAAGTGGATAAAAAATGATTGGAGTTGAACTTTAAAACCTTTCCCTTTTTGTTCTGCAATAAGATACTTGATTTTAGCATCCTTGATGGATACATGAAAACAGATAAGGGAATAGCTTCAAAAACAACCCCTTAAAAAAAGACAGCCATAAGTACTCCACCTACTACCTACCCTGCTGAGTTGCTACTGGTGCAGCCTGAGTTTGCCACCCACTTTCCCCCTCTGCTCCGGCACAACAGGAACTCCCCCGGGAGGGAGCAAGTGTGAGGGCGAAAAAAAACAGGAAATACACAAAGGTGGGTATGCAGACTTCTATCCTATTCTGTTTGCTGTGCTGCAGTGCTGCGTCCCATTGTCTCCAAAATTCCTGCATGTTTATCATACTTGAGAAATAACATTTTATCCTATACAGGAATGTGTCACCCCCACAGTCCTCTTTCATCATTATGTGTGTGAATACGTGTGTCTAATTGGCATTGTGTCTATCTCTGAGAAGCCAGACTCACATCCTCTGTGAAACAAAGACAGGCCAGCTGATGATGATGCTGTTGTTGCTGTTCCTGGATCAGCTGTCCATGTTTAGAAAAGACTTAGTGCCAGTGAAAGGGATACTGCAAATATTTCTCCAATGAAAGTGGTACATGTAGCATTTATAAACACAAGCACATGGTGACTGAATAAACGGTGACACTGTTAGACAACGTTTGGTGTAAACAAATGAGACCACCCAAAGCATTGATCTGGTTTTGCTAATTTCAGCAGTTTTTAGGATTAAGACCACATTTCCCCAACAGTCAGGATCTTCCTCCTGTGTCTCATTTCAGTTTGGCTTCACTGAAAAGGATAAACACTGGAAGTCATTTTTCATCCATTTTTTTATGCAGTTAGTTATGAAGCAACATGCCATTGTGTGCCCATATGTGTGTCTGTTGTGGATCCCAGTTCTCTCACACCTGGGAGAAAGATAAAGTTTAAGGATCCTCCACAACCCTCTCTCCTTCTCCTCTTCTTCTTCTCTTTCCCCTCGCTCCCTTAAAACTCACACAAATCCATCGCTCTGTTTAAGATCTATCCCAGCAGCATCCCCTATAAGTGTGTGTGTGTGTGTGTGTGTGTGTGTGTGTGTGTGTGTGTGTGTGTGTGTGTGTGTGTGTGTGTGTGTGTGTGTGTGTGTGTGTGTGTGTGTGTGTGCATTGGTTGAATACGTGCGTGTGTGCTCATCTGTATTTCCACAAATGTGTGTATGTTTCAAACACCTTTCCTCTGTAGCCCTGAAGGTTTCAGGGAGGTGTATGGGTTGAGGTCAGGGAGTTAGAGAGGAGGTGAGTTTGTATGTGTGATGATGGTGATGATGATGATGATGTGTGCGTATGTTTGTGTTTTGTATGTGTGTGTGAGTTGATGGAGGGCCTGGTGATTTCTGTAGGAGGTGTTGAGGGTCAGATGGAAAAGGTAGAGCAGAAAATAAAACAAAGGTATACAACTTGTAAGATGCATTGTGGGATGTGTGTTTATGTGTGTGTATTCTTTACTCTAATATATACACTATATTTCTACTGATAACCCATGCTGTAACAATGGAGGAAGCCAAGATTTGGCAGAAACTCAGTTGAAAACATTGAAGGATACATAAAATTAAACCAAAAATATCATGAAATCTAAATAATGGAATAGAAAGAAGATGCAGTCTTTATAATCCAATAACAGACTCAACAAGACTGTATCTTGTTCAGCAGAAACTCCTGATATACAGACAGGAGATGTTTGAGGCGAGGCAAAATCAATTTGAAAAAAAATGGCAAAATATCCAAAGTAGATGAGAAATCTGACATAGAGTAGCCACAACACAAACACCTTCAAGTTTCTCTCCACTGATGCGCTTTTTTTATTTGTGCAGTTGTTTCTGTCTCCACACACCAAGTGCAAGTAAAGTAATTTGCATAAATGAATTGTATGTTAAGTCAATGCAAAGACGCGATAAGACACTCGTACTACTCTGGTGGCGCGAATGACGCAAATTGGGCGGGAGCTGAAAATGTCTCAACTTAAGCAGATATCCGCGTTGCAATAACCAACCAGCATGGAGGTTGCCAAGTGACGTATGAAAACAGACGGTTGTTCACTGGTATTTAAAATGGAGGACAAACTGATCATGTCAGTGTGTCGGTGCCCCAAAATATATGATACCATTTCTTTCAGTTACCGAAACCAGTATAAAAAGGAGCTCGCCATGGCAGCACCAACATCTCTGACGATTGTGGGTTTTCCACAACAAATAAATAGTAGCAACCTTCACGACAGTGTTCATTTCTACCATGCTTGGATCTCTCGTATCCAAGGAATGATGAAATTATTTGGATGTGACACACGAATGAAGTAAGTAAATACTATTCATTCGTGTGTCTAGATTTGCACGAATTTAGCGAGGAGATGATTTTACTCGAGCTTGGTGTGAACGCCTCATGAGATGAAATGTTTCACTTTAAATACCTCCTCATAAATGTAAACTTTTTAGAGCCTTCGTTCACTAATGAACAGAGATTTTGGTTTAGCTTTCGGATTATTTATTCTTTTTTTTTTTTTTGGCATAATTGACAATACACAAACAACTCCAGAAAAGTTAGTATGATATCAATATGCTTACAATGAGTGCATTTCTGTGTGGCTGCTTTCTTTCCTTGTGAAGAGATACTGGTGTAATGCTGAATTTATTGTTTTTCAATTTGAAGAAACTGTCAAAATTATATTCTCTTAATCACCATTGACTGTTTAGTATATTGCAGTCTAAATACATTGTTTCCACACTCCGCTGTACTCTTCACACACTATTCCCCCCTCCAACCATGCCTGATGCTGTCAGCTGCAGTCAGGGCATCGGTATCTATCCCTATAATTCTGAAAAAATGGTGCCAAACCACAAGCTTCTGCAGCATCTTAGGCTCGTACGTTAAATAATGACAGATTTGTTCTTAATAAGGTTCATCTTTGGCTGGGGGGCGTCTCTCCTCAGTTTCAACCCTATTTAGTTTCAGCCGTTGAGGAGCTGGAGCGCAGGCAGCAGAGATCGCCGGCAGATTACACCGGCCTCTCTCTTTGAAGTGTTCGCCCTACAAACTGGGATACAACCAGGAGTATGCAGGGTTTCTTGGGATGCTTGTGTGCGAGTGTCAATGAGTGTTTTAATGTCAGGGGCTTTGTGCGCAGTGTATACATTTGTGTGTTAGTGTCTTTGTGGCAAACAAGGGTTAAAATAATAGGAAATACGTGTCTACATGTGTGCAGAAGAATAGGAAAGCTTGTGGCTGCAAAGAGAAGAGAAGTTCAGTGTGCAGGTGTGAAATGAAACCAGTGCTACATCACTCACTGTTAGGTGCTGGAAAAGCCACGCTCTCATGATATTGGTGGCCACCTTAGGGAAGATTCCTCTCTTCTTGTTGCGTCTCTTTTCTTTATCCGGGTCATCATCGTCCCCTGTGCTTGGTGAGGCTACACTGTTGTCCAGGCCATCACCTGCCACATGACAACAAACAGGAAGAGACAGCGCAGATCAGACACACAGTTTGTTTACTTCCAGCATTCGTTGCGCCTCTGCGTTCAAAAAGAATAAATACGATTTCGGAGGAATTCTGGAGGGCTTTGTATGCACAAACGGAGGGGTATAGAGACACAACAATGGCAAGCGGAGAATGGCTGGAAAACAGCACCTCATAAATGCATTCATTTTTAATACATTTATAAATAACCCTGCCTTTCATTTTCTCCCCCATCACTTGAAAACACAGCGAGCGCTCGCATCTTTCCACGAGAAAGAGAGGGAAAAGGGTAGCACAAAGGACTTGTAAGGTCGCATTTCCCCACTCTACCATCCAAGCCTGCGCAGAATTGAAAATGACAGAGAGATTTAGTCTTTATTATCCTGAGGGGAAAATAGTTATTGAAGCATCGCCCCGGCGCATTCTGCCATTTTACCTGAGGTGGAAAGAGTAACACGGCACTACAAAAGGGGAGGTTGCGAAGAGGGGGAAGCGGGAAAATAAAAGAAAAATAGGTGGAAAAAAGAGAGTCAGAGGCACAAACAGCACTAACAAAGCTAGCTGCTTTTCATAACAATGGTGTCATGGCTGCTTACAGCAACCTGTAGGGCTTCGATAAGGCTCCATTAAGGCCAGTTAACCTCACCTAAGGGGAGACAGCTTAGAGTATTTGAACACTGAGAGGAAAAGTGAAAGAGAGGCGCTCTGTGGGCCTTTACTCCGCATTCAGACTCAACACACACACATACACACACACACACTCTCTCTCACACACACATATTCATAACTACCCAATTACTGTATGCTTTCTATACAGCTCTAGTGCAGAGAAAGAGGCTCTTCCCATCGGTGTCTGTGAAAAGCCTAATTGTTATCATTATTCAAAAATGTGAGCCCCCCTCATTGAAGCCGATAATCATAAAAGAAACATGAGGCGAGGTAAACAAGTGGCACCCTCGCTGCTGGAAATTTCAGCAGCAGATAAGTGACTTTTGTCCCACACTCCCTCTCTCTATCCACTCGAAGTGAAGAGGAAGAAAAAATAAGAGACGCTGAAGCAGTGCTCAGAATTGGATCCAGTTATTTATTGATTACACACAAAGCACTTCTAAAGCTTCTCGGTCTATTCACTGTGGCAAGAGGAGATAACTGCATCCTGAGCGGGCCTGTACTCCGCTAACTTGCAGAGGGCGACACCCAGCACCTAGCTAAACCCTAAGCTCCCGATTCATCGATAATTAATGGGGATGTTGGCGCTAATCCGGTTGGAGATGACTTTTTTCCAGCCTGCCACATCAATGGAATAATCAAGGGCCTAAAACCCAGGCCTTTGCTCCCCATTACCTCAGGCAAAAGAATTCCTGAAAGCATGCCTGGAGGGCACCTGAATTATATACACCATTAGGAGAGAGAGACTCTCAGCGATCCATACGAAACAACACTCTTGGCTTGCTCTCACTCTCACTCGCTCTCTCACTCACTCTCTCTCACTCTCACTCTCTCTCCAACTGTTCTGGCAGAAGGAGATACATATGCACACATATTGAAGGCTCTCTAATGAAGCTCGCGTGGAAACGAGGTGATGCTATGGAGGGTGGGGGAGGAATAAAACAAGAGCTTGCCTTTCTGAGAGGGGTTCAATACTGATGCAAACACCACCCATTGCACATTAATAATGCACAAATGCATGTAAAGCAGGTGGCAGGGTAGGGCTACCATAACATCAAGAAAGGGTCAAATTTGGAGATGACAGGCTCAAGTGCCTCTGAGAGAGTCACTTACTTCTTACGGTGTAGAGAGGGTGACTAGCAACTTCTTGAGTTGTGTGTGTTTTTGCGCACGTTCTCAGTGTTTTACATTCAAGAAATAATCCTAATGTTGATCAGTTGAGTTTTTTTCTGATAAAGTTTTTCAAATATTTGTCACTTTAAAATGTTGGACATATGTTGGGGAGTGTGCCAGTATTAAAATATATTAATTTTACAAGAATATGAAAGATCAAAAAACTATTTCTAAAACTAGATGCAAAATATATATTTAAAACCGAGAGACTTTTTGTCCGTAAACTTCTTATACAACTAAAAAAATGTGGTTTATCACTTAAAAACAATTTTTAGGTTGATTGGCAAACCATCTTAGTTCAGTGTTCATTCAAACCAGCCCCACATACTCAAATAATCCTCCCCTTACACCCAGCTCCTAGACCTCTTCCTGTCTGAAAAACATGCTCACATTGCAGGCTTCAGTTACATCATTAGCTGGGGACAAATGCAGCCTGGGCTTAACAAGTCAGTTTTTTCAGCCTACTGTTTCAGGGCTAAAATCCACCCACCCCTCTCTCTCTCTCTCTCCCTCTCTCCTTCCTCTCAACATCCCTCTGCCTGCTGGAAAAAGAAGGGGTGAGCCGAGTCGAGGCCCTGTAATCTTAGACCAGATTTTCATTGGAAGCAAATGCTTTCAATCCGTCGTAAAGACCGGCTCATGTTCAGCAAAGCCTACAATAACAAACCTAGGGGCTCGTCCCATGCGAGTTAGGAAAACAGAAGCGAACGGCCGGAGTACCCACTCGGATCATGAGTGAGTGAGATCGGCAGTGAGCGAGTAAGAGAGAGACAGTGCGGGTGAGCAGGCAAGCTCAGGAAGAGGTGAGAAATCGTGAGAAGCATGGAGAGAGGGGGAAAGAGAGAGAAAAGGAAACAAGTAAGGGAAAGTCTAAGGAGAGCAGGAAAGCACAAAATAAGTAATAAAACTGTGGAGGGAAGAATTGCATGAGACTGAGTGCGGTAATGATACTCCAAAGCTAGCTCTCCCTTATCTTTACAGGTGTGTTGTATTTAGCAGACCTGGTAGAAAAAGAATACAAGTATGTTTAAAGTTGTTAACAGTTGTTTTGTTTTTAACTTGAATAATGTATCCTCCATATCTACAGAACAATATCACTTCCTGGTAGTAGAAGAATGAAATGATACATAAACAGTAAAGACAATTTCTTAGAGTCTCATTTGTGACCCTACAGAATAAATAACAACTCCAAAGACCTCTAGACAATCAATAATTCAATTCATCCCAAAATGATGCATAATGTAAGAGAATCAGGCTGCTTTACATCACCATCATTACAACTCATATGTGTCTTACTGCTTATGTTCATGTCAGACATGGATTAGATCTTCTCCAAACATCTACACAAAATGACCAATTAGAGGGAGGGACATGATCTGCATTTTGCAGAATTTGGAAAGTTTGATCATTTTGGGCCAACAGCCAAGCCAAAAAAGGGGAAACCCAACCCACCTAAATAATCCTTTATTTCCTCTCCCTTTCAGATACTCCCCGTAAGTTTGACCTACAGACACTGACTTTACCTGGAGGGGTAAAAGGAAGGAGTGAAGCTGGAGAAAGGCCGTCAATTTTATTGGCATTTCCATTTTCACTGCAATTTGATACCAATCACCCCTGCAAGGTCTGGGGCTAATTTCTGCTTTGCCTCAGCCCCGGCAAGACGGAGGAGAGTGGGAGGTGGGAGGGTAGGAAAGGGAGACTGCGGGAGTATGGAAAGGTGAAGCAGGGAGGTGTTGAAGCTGTGTCTGGCAGCCATGTTTGGGGAAATGTCAGTGGTGTTACCACAGCTTGCGAGAGAGACATAAGGTGAAGCAAGTTAAGACACAAAACAAAACATAATGAAAGTGGTGGGTAAAAGAGGGACAGGTTGTGTCTAAAGAAAGCACAGGACAGGAGACAAAGTTACTTATTTACCCTAGCAACAGTTAGTGCCTCCCTGAAAGTGACTCTGTGAGTGCTGCTAGTGAGAAATAAACAAAAAAAGCTGTTTGTGAACACGGGCTCTGGTGTAGATTTGTCCTTCAGCCTTAAGGCCTTTTGCCAGTCAGATAGAAAGTTGACCATTCAGTGATCCAGTGGTTCAACTACTAAACCATCCGGAGGCCCACTTGGCCAGCCAGCCAGTCAACAAAGCCACCAAATCAGTCAGCCAATAAGTAAGTCAACCTTAAACCAATCACCCAGTCAGTCAGAAAGCTAGCCAGGACGCTAGAGAGCCAGTCAGCCAATGAACCAGTCAGTCACTCTCCAAACACAGACACCCAGGCTCATTAAGAGCATCAGCTAGGCTAGGCTAGGCTAGCAAGCACCAGTCTCCCCACAAGAAAAAAGCCACAGGCACAACTCCGAGCCTGGCCCACTGATCAGCCATGACAACATCTTTGCAAGAAGTAAGGGGAGGGGGCGGGGAGGTGGTGAGGAAGGAGGATCAATGCAAGACGAAGGGGGTGCATGTCCCTGTGTGAAGAATGAATGCATGCATGCATGGATGTGCATTGGTCTGTATGTGTGTGCCTATCTCAGTTTTTTCTTTATGCATGTGTGTTTCTAGCCACAGAGGCTCGTGTCGTGTGTGTGTGTGTGTGTGTGTGTGTGTGTGTGTGTGTGTGTGTGTGTGAGAGAGAGAGAGAGAGAGAGTGTGTGTATAAGTGTGTGTATGTGGCAATTAGGGAGCAGGCCAGTGACTGGAAGGAGCCAGGGGCAGTTGAAATGCCCCGGGGCCAACCAAGGGAAGGAATATTTTATCAGTCCCCCTCACACGCTCACAAATACACACTCACTCTGGTTCTCCCTCACACACACATACACACACACACACACACACACACACACACACACACACACACACACAAATTGCGAGCAAACAGCGAGCAAACAGATAATGACGTAAAAACTAGGTTAGCTTCCTTCATGCATTTTCACTAGCTTCGTTAGCATTAGCTAAACAGACTCTTGCTTCTGTGTTCATTCAGCTTGGTTGGCTTTTATCTGGGTCTCTCTACCGCTTCATGTTTCATTCCTATCTCCCTGTCTCCCACTTCATTATTTGACTCTTCTCCCTCTGTCTGCTGGAGTGTGGTTGTGTGGAGGAGATTCTGAATTGTTGACTCTCTACACTGCAGGATTGAAGTTGTCTTTCTTTTCGCACCAAACAAACAGCAGGTAATTAAACTGCACCATTTCTACACGGTTGAACCTTTTCTGCTTGTTAGGTTCGAATTGTTGAATTTCCTCAGTTTTGATACTTTCAGTTCATGTCTTCAACTAGTGGCTATTACTGATGTTCCCTCTCTTCTGTCTCTATGTGTCTTTATCAGTCATCTACGTCTCTCTATCTCAAGGCATACCCTGACATTATCAAGCAGTATCTAGGCTAATCTGTTATGATCTGATTATGAACCATATCTCAGTGTAAGACACAGATTGGTACTACCTGCCCCCTCTGCGCGGGCATACGTGCCATTCTGAGGTGTCAGCCATTTTTCTGCTGCCTGGTAAATTAACAGCCATGAATATGCCGCTCAGTCATCTGTGAAGAATGATCTTGTCAGTGACTTCTGGCACAACGTAAAAGAATAATGACATTTAGCTTTCTAATATATATTTTTTCACCCATAAAGGCTCTGCTGAGTGGAGGAATAAAGGGTTATGAATATTAGCTTTGAGCCAGATGTCATGAGCGGGATCCCATGGCAGGAATCACTCACAGATGGCTAAACGTTTTTGGAGGATACTGTGAGATGTTTTTGCAGGCAGGGAATGGTCGAAGAGGGAGAAGGAATGGGGAGAGGTCTTTGTGTGAGTTTATGACAGTGCATTTATTCCACAGGCTGTTTGATGCAAGAGGAAGAAAGAGAGACTTTCCTCCCCTGTGAGTGTGAGTGACCTGGAGCTGATCTCTCATGGGCCACTCCTAGAGTTTCACACCCCAGAAAGCTCACATGACCCTGGGTTGGTTGCACCAGGCAAGGCCCAGACCTGAGGGAGCTGCTATCCTGTTCCACATGGAATACACACATCTCAAACTGGCAGGCGAGATACTCATACACACACAAACACGCACACACACACACTTCTGCACTTAAAGCAAGATGCGTAAACCATACACACACATTTACTAAAGTGCTCTCCTTCTCACTATTTTTTCTCTGATGCTCAAACACACACACCACCACTCATACACACACACATACATTGCATTCCCAGAAATCCTCAGAGAGGTAAAGAAGGGCTCACAAGAGGGAGGGAGTAAAGAAAAAAGTGGCGTTTATTGTATTCAGGCCATTCATAAGCTCTAGGCTGGAGAAGGGGGGAGTCCAGGGGGGGTTCACAGGCAGTAGGGGGTTCCCTTTGCTTGGCTCTTGAGGCCCCTCCCATCTCCAAATATTCTGAACATGCAGGAATTCCTTGCAACACAACTCCAAAACCAGGGGCACATTTCTGAAAGCATCTCCCTCTTAACTGAGACGCTTAAACACACTCTCATGCTGCTGTTTCTGAAGATCTTCCATGAGGCAACTTTCCAATAATGACAAGCAAAGTATCCTAAACCAACACACACACTCACACACACAAACTCCAAGACAAAACACTCTCTGTGACCAATGCTGTTTCGCCTCCCTTTTATTCAGATGGAGAGAAATCCCCTCCACTATTCTGCACATAATGACATGCGCTGTGGACAAGACAATATGACTAGTCTAGACCTCTCTTCCTGCCCGTGCTAGAGAGACACTCCACTATTTTCAACTTCAGCCAACGCATTAGGAACTTCTCACTTCAGACGCAAACACTAAACTCTAAAGAACGTACATTCACTAAGTACAAAATAATGAACCAAAGGATTACAGAAAGTTGTCATTATTACCAAGAAAAAAAGGCTTGCCAGTCAGGAGAGAGCTAAGTAATTACTTCCTGTAATCAAAGACAATTGCATTCAAGTAATTACAGTAAATAACGAGCTCACTGCAATAACAAAGGCAGGTACTTTGAATGATGACAGTTTTGTGGATCAGCGCTGACAGATTCAGTAATGGCAGTTAACTGGTGAGTCATTTACAAGGCTTATTTGTAATTAAAGCACACTGGAGACTTGTTGTTGCGCAAATCCGTGCAAAGTTAAGAGCTATTATTTCATTTGTGGTGTTCTGACGAGAAGGAGGGCGAGCAGGAAGCCGGAGACACAGAATGTGTTAAACCAACAACAAAAGAAGAAGAAAAAAACAGGCCACTCATCACATTGATGAGGTGCTTTATAGCGTTTGTCAAAGACAAAGGTCGATATGAATTATGGCTCTTTTAATGAAGTGATTGTACTCAAAAGGGAATGCAAGTTCATGTGTTTTTTTCTTATGATGAACATACCAGAGTTAGACAGATCCAGACCTACAGTACATACATCTCTGATGTATTTTTAAAATGCAAAATCATTTAATCTTACTTTCAGTCCTACAAAAGCTTCTGAAAATGTGCTGCATTTTTCAGTTCTCTGTGGTTGTGAAGTAAATGAAGTTTATCTTTAAATAGTTAAGAAGCAATTCATGATTTTATCTCAAATCCCGCGGTTTTATTTATGACACTTTTAAGGCAAAATAACTATTACTGTGAAAATTATTGAATGTCAGGCTTGTGATAATGGTCATTGTCTCTCTGAAAGGGGTCCTGTGCTTCTATGTGTTATGTCTGAGGCTCATCCACTCTTGTCTGTGTGAGAAAAAGGGGGTTGGGGGATCAGGCCTGTTGACATAGCCATAGGTGATGGCAAAAATGTCAGTGTAAATGTGACTGCTCTCTCTGTGCCATTTTCCCGCAAAGGGTCATCACCACAGGCTGCCTGACACGCCGAAAACTGCCTCAAGCTCAGGGCACCGACACGACATTAAACTGCAGTATGCCTCCTCGCTCACACACACACATATATACACACACACAGTGACCACCTTTTATTCCCACTTCCAGATCAGTCGAGAGAGGAAGAAGGAGTGAGAAAGAGGCCGACAGTACAAGCTAAAATGAAAGTGTAGGGCGATGAATTCACCCTTTCATGTTGAGCACTTTTGCTGTGTAACTATTGATTTTTCCCCTCTTGCCTTTGTGTTGCTGTTTCCTTTTTTCTTCTAACCTGAAGATAGAGGGCCAGACTGGGTTCAAATGGGAGCACTTGTAAGGGGGGCCCACAGATTCCTCGCCTCAGTCAAGGGAAGTCCTCTCACACACAAATAAAGATGCACAAAACGGCATGATTCCTGAAAATTGCGCCTCTTTAGCTGCTCTCTCACTCTTAGCTTGCACTCTCTTAATTGTTCCACTGCCTTTCAGGTGGATTGTGACACCTTCAAAATCTACAGAGCTTTAGTCTGACTCTGCACAACGAAAGACACACACACAGAGAAAGTGGAATGGACAGTGGAGGAAGAAGGGGGAGGGATGGGAACAAGGACAAGGACTTTAACAAAAGCTAAGAGCACTTAACAGCACAATGGCACGGCGGTCCTTTCCAAAAGTCAGCTGATGTGCTGAAGGGTATTTAAAAGTCCTTCAATTCAAAGAGAGGGGACCTTTAGGTAAACCAAAGGAAAAACATCCTCTTTAAACTTTGTTGAGGACTAACTACACATACTTACAGCTAGCATTCAGAGAAAATTCATATATTTAACAAGAGCAAACTAGAGGCTTTTGAATCAACTATAAAGCTCAATCTATAAACAACTTTTTGAACACAAAGACATTCTGTTTTTTCACCATCATCTTAAGCTGTGAATTAACTCAAAATACATCCTTCAAGTGATCTCATCTTTTCCATTGAGCCAAACTTTGTGAAATTACACCTCTCAGTCGTACCTATTTTAATTTCAACTATCCTACCAAATCCACAAGTTTAATGAACTAACATTAAATGGAAATGTATCATTTCAGTCCCAACAACCAGCCTCTTGTGTCTGTAATCATGCCTTCATGTTTGGGGTGTAGTTCCATTAAGCTAACTCCAGTTTCCCTGTTTATTTCTCAGTGCTGGCGTCTTCATCTCCCTCCTCTGTGTGTGAGCATTTTTCCACATGCTTACTATCTGAGTGACACAGCCTCTGATAAACTCTTTTAATACACAAGGATTTTCCCACTCATGCTAACCTATCAGCACCAGCCAAACTGCAGCATGTAGTTAGATAATGCAGGCACGCTAACCCTGCAGTTGCACAGGCTAATAATAGCGCATTAGCTTCTAGTGAGGTTATTTTTTTTGGTATAACAGCAGGTTTTTGTATATGAAGGAGTGGTATATGGCCTGCACCCACAGGCTCAGGGTAGAAAAACAGCGCAAGTCATTATCAGGAAAACCACCTACTCTGTTTCTCTCTGTTTGGAAGTTGAATTAACATTTTAGCATTTAAGCTTTTCAGCGATATCACCCCAACTTCACTTTTTTTCACTAGTTTCATAAAATTAACCTTAAAGCCCTTCCTCTGAAGTAATGCTGCCTCTTCACTTCCTCCTTCTTGTCAAAGTGTCCTTGATAGCAGCAGGATGTGGTATGGTGGGGATGTGGGGGATTTGTAGTCCTATCAACCTTCCCATATGCAGCCCTGATAAGGCTTCCACAGACACGGGCGGAGGAAGAGGAAGTAAGTGGGTTTGCAGCGGGCCCACTTCCTGTGGAGTATGAACCCATGTGGTCTGGGGGTGATATGCCTCCAATGGATGCTGGCCGCTCTTGCCACGTAGTTCCACAGAGTCACTTCCTGATAGAAGCAGCCCTCTGTGGGGGTGACTTCCTGTAAAAGTATGACCCCTTTGGAGGGAATCTCAGTGGAACAAAGACGGCTGGGAGCCAGTGTGTACAATAACTATACACAGTGTCAGTGTGTGTGTGTATATGTGTGTGTGTATGTGTGTGTGTGTGTGTATGGGTGCGTGCGTGTGTGTGAGTGTGTGTGTATTTAACACTGCCACTCATGCCTTTACTCTAAAGGTTATCGGCAGTGTGAATCTCAGCCCCCTGTCCCTCACTGCTCACCTCTTTGAGTTTCACCAGCTTAAGGCAGAAAAAAAGGACGATCAGGTTTCATCCAAATGTGTGTGTTCATGAGTGTGAGTATGCTAAGTGGCATGCCTTGTGCTGTTCTGCAAACACACAAAATAAACGCAGGGTGCTGCCCTCCGGCCCACCCTGCTGCTCTTTTGTTTACCTACAGGTATTTGTTATCCAGCTTGCTCTTCCCTCTCTCTCTCTCTCTCCCTCCCTCTAAACTTTTAGAAAAGCTTGCTGGGGTCTTTATCTGACAGTAGAATCCCTAAAACAGGTATCCATGTCAAAAGGACCAAGGGGTGGTGGGCCTCAGGGGGCTGCATGTTTGGTCTGGGTCAGCCCTGGGTCATGCTTTGGCCTAGTTGACACCACTCTTTCCCTCCAACCTCCTGTTTCCCAGGTTACTCCAGCTCACACCAAACACATTGTTGTCAAAATTCAAACCTGAGACTTTGAACTTTGCATCCTGAAGTCAGGTCTGATTGTGGGACCATATGGCTGCTTCTTGTGTCCTATCAGGGTAAAGTAGCATGGACCCATATTCAATGATCCTCAGGGATGCAGGTTTTGACAAAAGATGGCGCTTCGGCTGGTGTTTTCCTGGCATGAAATTGGCTTTGTGTGGCTGTCGTTTGGAGAGCCGGCTGGTAAATTCTCCTGTTCTTTTGTTAGAATAGAGAGGGGTGGGGGCTCCATGCATAATGGTCTTAGCCAGGGAGGTCTGGAGCTGTGTCCATAAATTGAATTATTTCAATTTGAGGGAAGAGAGAGCGAGAGAGGGTGAGAGAATAATGGAGAGAGTGGCTGTGTGAGTGTGTGTTGCATTTACATGTGACTGTATGCATGTGTGCTGATGGAGAGGGAGACTCATTTTTATTCCTCCATGGGGCTCACATTTACAACTGAGAATATAAACCGAGTTGCAGGAGATTACAGAAGAGGCCAAATGTTACCTTGCAGCTAGAAGCTATACCCTGGATGGGGCCATAATAACAACTTCCTGTCTGAAAATAGCTGTTTCATCGTGACATTTCTCCCTATTCTTAGAAAGAGACACACTGTGTAGAGGAAAAAGAGCGTGCTTTTTTCTATTTAAGTCTAAAATGTTGTCTTAAATACATTGAATAAATAGAGAACCTGATATCTACCCACCTTCAGGCTCCACAGTGTTGACACAACAGTTATGTGAGTGTGTTTGTATGTACATGTGTGTGAATGTTTGGGTCCATGGGAAGGGGGTGGGGTAAAAATTTTCCTGACACAATATAATCGGCGGGGGACCATATGGCAAACTGGCAGCAAGCTATTTATCCTTATCCTCTTTAGAGGCTAAAATTAGCACTTCACTGTTTGTAGCTTTAAGCTGAACTCCAACCACAGTGATAGGGCTAATAATAAAGAAAAAGCCCTGCTGGCACACTTACTTCACCTCCTCGATGTGTTTCTCTCCTTTTTCTTTCTCTTACTATATCTTAAAAGTCTCTTTTTCTTCAACCTCCTCACCATCTTCCTCAGTCAATCCAATCTGGCCTATCTGCTCTTCATTTTCAGACCTGAGCTTGCTAATCTTTCCATTAGGAATCGTAATAATATCATATAAGTGTTGCTTTAGCCAGGTTTCCCCTATAAGCCTATGTGTCAGGAAAGCCAGGATTTCCTGAACACGGACCCCCTCGGCTAGCTTAAGAGCGTAGGATGATGGGTCTAATCTCTTTATCAAAAGCTTAAATAAACGTTGCTGCTCTGTGCCTGTGTGTGTGCGCACTTGTGTGTGTATGTGTGTGTGGGAGACTTGCTTATTTGTGTGCGTGCCAAGGGGCCAAACAATGCTTCTCCACCAAACAATGTGCTAATACCCTGTCTCTTTGCTCTTCCTTTCCCTCCCCCATTCCTTCTCTCTCTCTCTCTCTTTTCTGCTTCCATTCGAGTGAGTGTGCAAACAGCATGTCTCTTAAATAGCAATCTGAAATACATCGAAAAAAAGGTTAAAACTAGCTTTTTCCTGTATAGTGGGTAGCTTATCAGGTCACTCTGCTGTCAAAGGTTATCATGTGAATTCTCCAGCCTGCTATCAGTGTTTTGCCTGAAAAGTTAACATCTATCTGATCAGAGGACCCCTGGGCTCTGAGCTCAGCTCCTCTTCAGAGGAGGGGGAGGGAGGGAGGGCAGAAGAAAGGAAGTTAGCAGTGAGAGGAAGAGAGAGAGTTTTTGGTTGTTTTGTCGGTCAGATGTAATGTGTTGTGACACGTCAGTGATGAGTCGCCGTGATTCCCTATGAACCTGCTTTGGCCATGATTAAAGCCAGGGCATTTTCTGCTTACGAAAGCCCATGTGTGTGTGTATGTTTCTGTGTGTGTGTGTGTGTGCGTGCGTGCGTGCGTGCGTGCGTGCGTTTGTGCGTGTGTGGGTGGGTGGATGGGTGGGTTTCTCTGTGTGAACTGAGGCAATTTGGAGCTGAATTGAAAACAGACCAAATAAGAAGTGCAAACTTGTGATGAATTCCAAATTTGTCACTAATCTTGGTATGAGAAGTTTCCCATGGTGAGAACACAGACCCTCACTGCCATCATACACAGAAAAGATTTCACTTTATATATGTGCACTCTATAGCTTTGTCATTTTCACGAGGAGTGCAGCATTACCACATTTGAATGTGTTTACATTTGCAAATCAAAGCTAAAGAACTTGCTTACAGAAGATGATATCCAGCAATTTTGACAAAAGTGGCGTCTTCTTTCAGGACATGATTGCACCACAATGGTGCAAATTATGGTGCTTTATACAGAAATCAAGCCCAAAGGATTCCTCTCATTGAACTTTCAAACACCATCTTGAGTCCAGACATATTGAATGAAAACATCGTCAAATGTTAATGTGAGAAAATGTTCTTTTCTTCTGTTATTTTTAACTCCCTGCACACAGAGAGAAATGTTTCAAATAAGAAAGGAGAGAAAAATCATCTTCTGAGTCTTTATACCACGTTTGCACATTTCACTTTTCTCTGTCATAATCTCCCCACCCTAACACACAAGAGACCTCGAGGAGGCAAAAAGTGTGTGTAAATAGTATCTTTTACCAAACACCAGTAATTAGATATAGGCATTTGGCATTCACGCCACTCGCAAATTAAAGAAGAGCACTTCCTGTAAACAGACAGCGAGAATGTGTCTACATCATTAGCGTGCCACAATTATAACATGGGAGCTAAAGATACATTTCCCTCCCGCTTTCTCTCCCTCTCTGAAGCAAATGAAGCAGAACCTCTTTTATATATTTTCCCCTGAACATCTGTTGTACTTTGGAGTGGCAGCGAGCTGCACGGTGTGATTCACACAGGTAGAGTAAGGAAGATAAAAGGCAACTTAATATGAAGTATGACACAATAATGAAAGCAGTGTTTCATTTGAAAGGCTCTCAATCACAACAAATCCAAAGACAGCGAGAAACACTTAGAGAAAGCACAGGGAAGAGAAGGGGAGGAGGAGAGGAGGAGAAGCTATTTTGTGTGCATGCTTGTCATGAATGAATATGTATTTCATGTAAATTGTGCATGCAAGGCAGATTGTAATGGTCGGGGCTAGACTTTGCATTTCTTTGGTCATGCAAACATGCCCACATGTAACCAACAGACAGAGAGAAAGAAGGATTCTGTAAAAGCAGGGGGATTAAATAGCAGAGAAATGGATGTGGACAGTTTATTCACTTTTAAAATACAAACAAATGTTACAGCAAGGGGGAAGAAATGAGACAGCAAAAAAGAGAAAGGGCACAAAGACAAAAAAAAGAGAAGAGACTGTGAGAAATAGTACAGATAAGGAGCCAGTATAATGCTCATTTGATGATGTGTACACATACGAAGCAACAAAAAGTCAATAAATCACAAATTTAAAGAGTGAAACAGCCCCTGAAAGCTTATCAAACACTTTATGACTTTGAAACTCTCATGGACCAATAGTTCACTCTCACCAATAAAACAAGTCAGTGAGCCTGATTGGTAAACAGAGGAGAGGAGAGGAAAGAAGGAAGTCACTTTGTTTGGTTGTATTTTTAACTCTTTCTTCCACATGACCCCCTGCAGCCCGGTGACACCAGCCCTAATCCTAAAAGCAAACCGGCCCCTTGCTGTGGGAACCTGATACAATTTCCTCTTTTTCAAGAGGGGCAAACTCAGGCCACTGAGAGTTTGCTTATTGCCTACGAGGCAATAAAAACTCATTGAGGGCTATCATTTTCTGCCAGGCCAGTCGCTACATGTCAGTGGACATGTTGGCCACCATGATAGAGCAAGGTCGTAAAGATGTGAGTGATTATAGGAGGGAGGGGGGTCATGTTTGGACGCTGACACGCCAAACATCTCTTTTCCCAGGTAACAACAGATAGTAATGTTTGAGAGGCTGTAAATCCAGTTAAGACTGAATCAACATTCCTACTGGAGCTTTAGTGGGACGATATCTCAAGCTTTGACTTGAACACAATCACCCTTCATACATTCGACTATTGATTTTTACAAACAGCATATGAACATCCGGTTATATGCTCTTAAAACATAGACACATGCTTAAACACACTTTATTTAAACCCACTATAAGGGGCACATGGAAGGCTTGAGGTGGCCTGGCTACAACTCTTTCACCTCTGAACCAACAGAAAAAGATATTGCTGTTCACTGGCAGCGAGCATTACGCCTCAATAGACTCCCAAACAACACTCAGCAGCACTTAACACACTCCCTTTTCCTCACTCACTATGGGATTTTCACACAAGCAGACACACTGCTCCATTCAGCATCAAAACGTTTCCACTCAGAGATTTGCTTCTTTCTTCCGTCCTTATCGTTCCCTGTCATTTCACAGTTTCTTTCTTTTTTTCCTTCCACTTTTGTCACCTTCCTCTCCCTTTTTCCCTGTGTTCACACTCTGAGGAAATCAAAGAGAGATTCCTGTTTGTGTCTGCCAGCTACTGTACTTGCACGCACGCACACACACACACACACACACACACACACACACACACACACACAAACACTCACTCACGTACGCACGCACACCTCCAGTAATACAGACTGCAGACTAATCAAGAGAACCACATACCTTTTATCTACCCACACAGCCTCACATTTAAACAGATTACCAGGAAAGCTGGACACCAGAAAGACAATTACTGGCCTGAGGATCTGCCTCAATAATGTCTAGACAAAGTCTAGACAACCTTTGCACAAAAGGAAGTAAATCTTTCTCTCAGTGGCTTCATTTCCACCTGAAGATTTGTGCATCTTTAATGTCTAGCCAGAAATAGTATGAAGCTTGGCATGTGCACAAATTACTTCTTTTCATAAAATCAGCATCAACTACATCACCGCAAAATTTCATGGTTTTTAGAGATTTTCAAAATGCAAGCTGTCAGGTTTGAATTCTGGAAACTCTCCCATATGAGTTCCAAAACAACCAACACACCATATTTTCAGTCTTCAAGCATATCTAATTCTCTTTAACATGAGTCATTCACTTAAACATTGTAACACCAATTTCAAGAAAAGCTCCTGAAGGAGACAGACTGTGTGTATTCTGGCTGTCTGTGTGTATTCAGACAGGCAGAATACACACACCGCACAAACACCAACAGTCCTCTCTTCCAGTCTACTGGACAATCGGACCAATTAATCGGTGACTTTGAGGAGGCCACGTGAAGCCCAGTGATTGGTCAAAACAGAGCTGGCTGCTGATTGCCTGGTACCCCTGTCCATGTCCCCGTTTGCTCGCCACAGCTCTGGAGAGCAGCCAATGAGGAGGCAGAAAGCAGCAGCTCCTCTGTGGCCTGACCTTGTTGGAGGCCACAGAGGTTGGAGGGCGGATGGATGGATGACAACATCAGGAATATTTGTGCCTGATCGATGGGGATTCAAAGCCAGCTAAGGTTAGATACAGTGAGTCAGAATGATGAAGCGCGATTAATCTGTGTACAGATATTCAAATTTATGACAAAACAGGGAAGGGGACTATCCAAATATTCTATGAGCCACATCCTAAAAGAGGGTTGGGTAAGAACCACATCCTTCACCTTCAAACTAGCAACTGGTCAGGTGAACAACACTGACTTCATTTGGCTACATTCACACAGCTCTTATTTTCATCTGAAGCCACTCAAAATGCCACAGTTATTTCAGCATTTCTAAACTGACAAAAGAGACTGGAGAAAACAGTGAACAGATAATACACAAACGGCCACTGAACCATATTGAAAAAGGTAAAAACACCTCATTATTCAGGGACTGGAACAATTACTGATTAGCTACCATTGAGGTTTAGCATTTACTCACACAAATGTTCGCTCAAAATGTAGTTAAATTTTAGCTTTAATAGTTGTCTGACGGTGTAGATACCAGATGTGTTCGGGGCCCAGCACCTGTTGAAGACGTCACACTATGGCAAGTCAACTTGGACAAACTAAAGCATTCCATAGCACTCCATTTAATAAGTCAAAGGTGCTCAGTTAAAAGCCCCTTGCAGTTTCCTTTATTTCCGTTTGTTCATTCAACTGGCTTTCATATTTTCTCTCCATATGAAACAAAGTATTACAACTTCCTGTACTGTAATTTTAGATGGTTTTTATTGTGTATGTTAACTTTTCTAAAGGAAAAAAAAGAAAGTTCCATTTGATAAGTAGCGATAGATTAATTCGTAAAATTTGCCTGTTTTCTCTGAAGAACAACAATCCCATGAAACCAAATCCGGTGAAAACCAGCTCAGTAATGTCCAGACCAACTAGTCTTCTATGTCATCTGAACCAACTCTCAACCAATCATATAGCGTGACATCATCAATTGGCGCTGGACCCTGAGCAGATCTGGCAGCCCGAACACATCTGGTACCTACAACGGTATTGCAGGTTGTTTGTCAAATACTGAACATCGTTTGAACATGATATACTTAAATTTCTGTCTGGTGCCTCTTCAGTTATTGATTTATTGAGAAGTGGTGAAAAGTGAGTGATATTTCACAGCGCATATGTCGTTGAGGCTAACAAAACAGCACTTCCTGCCCTGATGTCAGAGAGAACGACCATCTCACTATGGCAATATGAAGCACTTTATACAGTATTTTTAGTATGCAACACATTTAAGGGCCTATTTGTTTTGACTATTGGTAACAGCATTTTATTCTTTCAGTCATTTATAGACAGATTTTTGTAAATACTCTCATGACTTGATCTGGAATATTACAGCTGAAATATTACGTCAAAAAAAACTTGAAGCGTTGTTGAGACAAACTACAACATTTGATTAAGACCCCTGCATATCAGGCCCAGACTTGCATGTAGTTGAAGTCATTAAAGAGCAAAAATCTTCTTAAATTTCTAATGTAACTATCCCTTAAACAGACCAGCCAAAATAAACAACCTCAATGATGAGCACCACATCAACAACCAGAAATCTCAGTCCACCACACAGACACAAGAGATCAGACACTAACATACAGCCTTACAGGGAGCTATTTGACTTGGCGCACCACACTGTACTCCTTACAAACGGTCTTGGTAATTGGTGATACATATCTAATAACGCCAGTCATCGCCTCACTCCCTGGATGTTTCTGACGTGTAGAGAAGGAAACCCTGTAGCTGTTCAGAAATAAAGCCAACTCTCTGCTCTGCTAGCATCTACACGGCTGCAGCTGCCCGATTCAGCGCCTGAATGTTTTTCTGTGTCCCTCGGAGAAGCCAAGGGGTGTCCTTACAAATTCACATAGGCAAAGAGGAGTACTTTATACTGGGGGAAGAAAAAGAGAGGGCCCAGCTCATGTCCATGAGGGAGACCCCCTACCCCTCCCATCACAACGCATACATGATCTGTTGGCTTTTCCTCTGCCCTTCGAGCATTACTCTTCACAGAGAAGCATGATCCAAGGCAACAACAGCTACAATGAGGCTTCTCCAGAGGGCTTCTGGGTATTAAACAAAGGGTCTGCTGGTAGGAACTAGCTTGCAAACAGCTGGGCTAATAGAGTGGGACTAATTAACTACAGGGCCGCTCTCCCTGCAATGCTCCTTGTCGAAGCTTAGCTGGATGTTTACAAAGATCTCCCGGAGAAAGAGAGGAAAAAAAATAAGAGGCTTTTTTTCTTTGTCTCTCTTTTAGAGAAAGAGGAGACACCCAGGACTGATTTTAATGACATGTGTGAAGCAAATGTGATCCTCCCTCCATTTTTTTATGGCTGCCAATGGAATTCAGTGCTAAAAAAAAAAAGTACCACCGGCATTGTGGTCAGAGCATAAACACATAACTGAGGACTCAGCATGCCAGCATTATCACCACATGCAAAAATAAATCTGCAGTCTTTGTTTAATCGCTCTGATTCCTAATGTGAGACTGACAAATCACAGCGAAACACCTGCTGGTTAAAGAGAGGATCTGAGACCTCCAACCTTATGTAATATTGTGATATCCTCCTCCCTACTCCCGCAGCTCTTAACGTTCAGAGAGTGACTGTTGTGTTTGCGGGTAGAGATGGAGATTTTTACACTAGTGGGCAGTGAACCGTTCAGACAAGAGGGCAGAGCGGAGCATGTGTTTGTGCCTCAGAAAAAAGGCTGATAGAGGAGACCTGAGTTCACTTGTTAAAGGCCCTCAACCATCCAGCATCCTTCCTCTGAGCTATAAGGCTTTGCTCGAGGGGGGCGATGAAGGGTACAAGAGGGCAAGAGGTAGAGCAATGGAATTAGACGGAGAAAGAGCAAGATGAGTTATAAAAGGAAAGTAAAAGGGTGGATCCATATGCTGAGAACAAGGAGTAAAGAGGTGGATTGAAGGAGAGATGATAGAACGGAGAGACGACATGAAGGAGGGAAAGATGGCCATTATGTGTAGCTGGACAGGCAGAGAGGAAGAAATGAAGAGAGTGGAACAGAGTGGCGGGGAGGAAAAGGTCATGGAGAAAGCAATCTGTGGAAGGTAGAGAGGAAAGGAGGATGTTAGGGAAAGTAAGAGAATCAAATGTAAAGGAAAGGGGGGAGGAGATGAGGAAGTGAAACTCAGAGAAGGAAGATGAGAGGGAGCAGAAAAGGTGAGATGAAAAAGGAAAAAATGGACAATAAATAGGAGAAAAAGACTTTAGAGGAAACATCAAAAAGGGAAAGATGAAGAAAATAGATGTCAAGATTAAATGAAATGGAAAAACAGTTATGTGGCAAAGGGAAAGGGAGAGACTGGGAGGAAGGAGAGGAAGCTGAGGGAACAAAGAGGAAAGGAGAGAAGAGTGATAAACAAAGGTAGTGTTTTATTGGGAGTGGGAGGCATAGAAGAAAAAAGGGGGAGGAGAGAGAGAGAAAAGCACGGGGGTTCACAGGGAGAGAGAAACCGACTGAGAGCAAAATGAAAGACGGAGACGTGAGAGTAGGTGGGAGACAAGGGAAAACCGGAGAAGAGAGGGAGGATGCTGAGATGAAAGAGTGAGAGAGAGAGGGAGGAGAAAGACAGCAGGGCAAATCTGTCGGGGAGAGAGAGCAAGCAAAGTGCCAAACAGATAAATAACCAGCTTACTGGGATTACAGAGTGACTGACATACAATTTGCCAGAGCCAAAATGACGTGGCAGTGATAGCGCTTAACCCATATAAACCTGAACACAGTCCAAGATGTCCTCTGGTATTTACTGTTGTCACAGCGTCCTCATGCTCTGCACTCTGTATACCAGTGTGTGTGTGTGTTTGTGTTTGTGTGTGTGTGTGTATTTGTCCCCATATAAACACATAAACAAAACAATCACACACGCACACAAGAAATCAGTGTGTCTTCCGGCCTTAGTGTGATGGTGAGAGGGCTTTTCAATGCTGCCTGAGCTTCATCTCCAAAATTAATAAACTGATATGACATGATGTCATTAAGTATTTGGATGCTTGAACAATATGACTTTGTGAGGGTTTTTTTTTATTTAAGTTTCATATAAAAACTGTGGACTATAACATGCTGCTATGAAAGCTTGAGCAAGAGGATTGCTATAAAGCAATCACAGAATGAAATGTTGACAATTAAGAAATGTGATTATAACTTAATCAACAGTAAAAGATGTATAGCTGAAAAATAGCAATATAAGGGATTTTCCAGTGCTGTCCATGATAAAATGTTAGTTTTAGTATAGTTAAACAACAAACTTCCCTTTAAAGTGTGCTGTTTTGACCCTTTCTGCTCACTGTGGTTTAGGCACCACTGAGTCTTCCTGCTGTCTGCTACTCTAATGTAAAACACTGACCCCACTTTGCTTTTGAATGGCACCTTTCACTTTAAATGTGCATCTTGTGTTTAACAAAATTGATAGATCACTACCTCAGGTTTAAGCTTCTGTCCAGTAGGGATGAGTGATATGGGCTAAAAAATTATCGCACTAAGATTTTCCATTCTGACGATAACAATGAAAGTCCTGATGAAAAATATTGTAATTCCAATCTATATTTTTGACTCATTCTGTCTTGAGAACACAAGACAAATAGTCAAATAAGATACTTAACCACAAGTTTGAGTGGTAGGTTATGGAGAAAACTAATGACATCAAACAAGTCTCAAACATGAAAACATTTTCAACATTTGTTAAAAAAACTCTTATTGTACAGAGCAGCAGATCCACTGTCCGATGTCAGGCATACCTGATTGCACTCATCTAAACCCCAATCTTGAAGGAAATCTCTCATGTGGAGTCTCGTTCAGTAACCAGCTGCTCAGAAATGTCTTCTTCATTACTTTCAGCCATGTTTGTTTGTCATTCTGATCTGTGTGGGCTATAGCTGCGATTCTGTCGCTGGCGCTTACGTCATCAACTTGCATTTTTCGTATTTATAACGAGATGGCAAATATTAATTAAGGAGGATTTTTCTGACGATACATTGCGAATGATAATTTATCGCCCATCCCTACAGTCCATAAGCTAAACATACAGGTGCAGCAAATCAGACTGAAGTCAGCAGGCAACCACATCTCTGCATATTTTTGAATGTGTAACAGTGTTACCCTTTAGTAAATCCTCAGCAGCATTTACATGCAAAATAAAATAAAAGTCAGGAACATTTTTTTGCTCTTATTTGATTGAAAAATTCTGTCATTTAATAGTAAAAAGCCAAACTTGTACTGATACCCACATATACTGTATATTTATGATGTTAAGTTCCAGTTCTGTTGTGCTGACAAATCAAACTGGCCCATTCACTACTACATACACACTCATAATGTGCACATCTCCACTCACACATGAACACAACCCCCCATTCTACCCTTTAATGGACTTCAACAACAAACAAAAACCTACGATAGAGGGAGAGAGATGGAGGGGTGTAAGAGAGGGATATGCAGAGATAGCGAGAGAGATGATGAGAGACAGAAAGAGAAAGGGAGAGTAAGAGGAGGCGGGCCGTCATAAGGAGTGGGCCTATAATTGGAAAGATGTGAAAAATGAAGTGTCAGTTTGGTCAATAGAGGGCAAAGGTCAGAGAAGCAGGAGCCCAAACTCGGCACAGAGCACGCTCATTAGAGCAACCAATCAGATCTTGCCTGGCTGCCCCAGACCATTAGTCATCAGAGGTAGAGGCATATGTACACACACACACACACACACACACACACACACACACACACTCTATTGCTTTGTCTCCCCCTGATTCACTGTAATTTCACTCTTTTTTTCCTGTCCTCTCCTTACACATACTCTGTCCATCTTTTATTTTTGTCTCTCCTCGTGTCTCACCTCTCACTCCCTTAGCTCCTCTCTGCAGCAATAATGACGAACGAGGAAAAAAGACAGTGTGTGTGTGTGTGTGTGTGTGTGTGTGTGTATCTGTTTGTGTGTGTGTTGTAAGTAGGTGTAAGAGAGAGAGAGAGAAGAAGAAGAAGAAGAGAAAGAGTGGATGTGTGTGAAGGACAGAGAAAAAGAGAGGATGAGACTGAATGTGAGACAGATACAGAGACAAAGACAGACACAGTGTGTGTGTGTGTGTGTGTGTGTGTGTGTGTGTGTGTGTGTGTGTGTGTGTGTGTGTGTGTGTGTGACTGTATAAATGGCTGCTCAGTGGAGTGGAAGGCATGGCGGCGCTCTCTGCTCCCACCCAGGCTCTGCCTCCTGGCACTGGCAACCCTGCAAACTGCTCGCCTTGACATCGCCTTCAATAATATATGAAGTTGCTTTTTTGCCTACAGTTTGTTTGCAACACTGCCCCCCCCCTTCCTCCCCCCCACCCCTCACCATCAACACCAACCTCGTCTCCCACCATCGCTTTTTTATGTCTCACCATCTCTCAACACACACAAATATGCCTCAAATGCATACACACATTCAGCCTCAGCACAGCTGTCCAGTCTTGAAGGAATTATAGACGAATGTTTGTAACCATTTAAAGGTGCAGTGTGCAGTTTTTAGTGGCATTCAACACAACATCTAGCAGAACAGAGTAGATATAATACTCAGAACTCTGTCTAAGTTAGTGTTGAGCCTTGAATGCAGGAGCAGGTGGCCTTTTCACTGAGGCCAAAATCTTACCCTGCCATGGTTCCACAGAACAAACAAACTCACAGAGCATTTTAGTTTTAAACTGAGTTTTTGCAAAAAATGCAGAGTTTGGGAGAGGAAGCAGAGAGTTGTTGTTGTTGTACATGAAAAAAATGTACTCATTAAAGTTTCTGATAGTAAACACTTAAAAAATGGTGGTGCATACTTAGTACAGGAGTTCCTTGTCCTCGAGGACCACCATGGCTCACCTCAGCAAGAAGTATTTAAACCTAAAATCTGACCACTAGATCCTGCAAAATATCCCCATTTCTACCCGCTTTATCTTTTATTTCAAGGAAAAACACATAAACGGTAAAAATAAATGAATTAATCATAGATTCTGTGAAAGAACTACAATCTCTTCAGTCATCTGAACATCCACACGTGTTTTACAAGCCTGACTTTCCTTTAACAGGTGTATACAACCTGTCAGTACTGAAACATGACATTTGCCATCAAAACAGAGATGAAAAAAAAAAGAGCACACAGAGAGTGACCTACATGTTCAGTGTCTGCAAGCTAAGGAATCAAACAGTGCATGAACACATAAACTAAAATGAGATGGACAGAAAAAGGACAAACAGACAAACTTGTGCGAACAGAAACCACTTCATCACCTTGACTCTAACAGTGTGACCCTGAGTGAGGCAGCAATGTAAATCAGATCCAGCAGTGATCATGACCTCTGACCTTTCTGTCAGTCATTACCAGCAACTGAATTGTTGTAAACAGTAACACCTCCCCCCAAAAGGCTGACAAAGCCTATCACTCCTCTTCCAGACAGACAGAGACTCTGTGTTTGTGTATAATAATATAGTGGAGCAGATGATAACCCAAGCACCCTTGTCCACATGTGAATTTCATCTCCTCCATCTGATTCATAAGAAGATTCAAGCACTGACCCTGTTCACTGCTGTTGTCACCACTGTGTGATGTGTGTCCACCACTGGATGGGCCCGGCGTTCCTCCAGAGCGTGTGGACGCTGTGTCATCGTGATCTCTGTTCCAGGACGTCTGATTGAAAAAGAAAAAACGAGAGAAAACAAAAGGATCAGTCATTACAATTCTTTTCCTCTTGGCTTTTTTTCTGCCATCATTAGTTTTTATCTCCTTCTATTGCTTTCACACATGCTTAAAACTTCTGTCTCCAGATGTTTTAAATCACAAGAAAAGAAGCAGACATTTAAAAAAAAACACACACACACACAAAAGTGAATTTATAATTTGCCCAGTCATGCAGCGTGTGTGCCCCTGCAACAGTCATACGGCATGTGGATTATTGGGGCTCGATGTAGAGAAAGGCTGACACAAATAGCCAAAGAACATGTTGTATTAGTTCCCAGCTTTCTGAGGCATGCAATCCACGGCTGCCTCCATTTGGCTCAAACCACTAGCAGATGAAAATACAAAACAGCTACAACTTAAGATAGGCCGCAGCCAGCGCCAGGGAGTGATGTCATCCAAGCAAAGCAGACCAGAGAGAGAGAGAGAGAGGGAGAGAGAGAGAGGTAAATAACTCAAAGCATTGCTACATTCATATAAATACTGTGTTTAGTCCAAAAAATATGAAACAAAAATGGATGACCGATCTCACTAATGTGGATTTAAATTTCATTTGGAGCGAGCTGGGCCAGGATGCAGACATATCCAAATAAGCTGAAGTTTTCCCACAGTCTTTTCTCTCTCATATACAAATGAAACAAAAGTATTGCATGACGGACCAACCTGAAGCTTCATAACTTTATATAGACAAAGGAAAGAGTTGTGGCGGATGTTCATGCCTTTCTGTGTGATTTAAAAATAAAACACTAACAAACACAAGCAGCTGATGAGATGAGAGATGCAGGAGACTTTGGTTAATATTAGGCTGTGTTTGTCTATGTGTCTGTGTGTGTGTGGAAGGGGCGAAGAGCCGTAAACGGTCCTGACAGAAGTATAACACACAGGTAAACAGACATCCAATATGAAACAGTCAGAAAAAAAAACACGTTTAGTTCCACATTTTTACAGATATGGAGCTCATACACACATCAAGACACAGAGAAAGCCAAAAACACACACCGATGTTACACACTGCCCCATACGAAGCTGCTACACATTATTGAAACTAAACCAGATGTAACCTCTTATCTCTGCGGGCCTCTAAAAAGCCACATTAGCGCTGAGGACAGGGAGGAAAAAAGACTTGAAAATAGAGGGAAATGGAATCTAATGTCTTATCACACGCAGCTAGCTATCACAAACAAACACACAACAAACAAACACACACACACACACACTTCTACCTGCTCTACTCTGCCACCCGCGCGGGTCTATCTTTACTCTGCTGAATCAAATGAAGCAGATATCAAGGAGCAATGTGGTGTCTGCATCTCACTTTTAGGGCAATGTGATGAAATGAGTGATAGAAACCCACACAGAGGAAGAGGAAGAGGAGAGGAGAGGAGAGAAGAGGAGAGGAGAGGAGAGGAGAGGAGAGGAGAGGAGAGGAGAGGAGAGGAGAGGAGAGGAGAGGAGAGGAGAGGAGAGGAGCACACTGGGGAACAACTGGTTTCAATTGGGAAAGTCAGAGCAGTGCTGCATCTGTGGTGAGGAGGAGGAGGAGGGATGAAGCTGAGTTTGGAATTATGAAAAAGTAAAGTAGGCATTAATTCATGACACAGGGTTTGTTTAAAACAAAATGTAGATGGAGGGAAGTAACAGAAAAAAACACAAGTCAGCAAATTCAACACATTTGGGCTTCATTAGAGCCTGTTTGATGTTCCCTGGCTATGAAATTATAATCCAGTGCTTACATGGACGATATAATCGTTGTTTTCTAAATTAGGCTTTGAGGCTTTGCAATAAAGAGGAAAGCCACAGCACAAAGGCATGACTAGAATGGTGACTGTGTAGATAAACGTTGATTTTAACAGGGATAAGATACCAAGAGACGATCTTTTTTTCTGCCTCTTACAGATTTTTTTTTTTTTTTTACTAAGCGTAAAGCACTAAAAAATGAAACACCCGTGCATGACTGAGAGACTCCAGAGAACATCAGAAGTGAGGTAATCCAGACCACATGCTCAGCAGGCAAACAGTTAACATGGGCTTTTGCCAGCTCCTTCAAATGTGCTTTTAAAATATGAGGAGAACTTGTTTATTCAGAGCTCTGTGAAGAAGAAGAATAGCACAGTACCCCGGGGGATGTGAAAAAAACGGTAAGTATCAAAAAAACCCTTGAGCCCCGGCTCACAAAAAAAGGATTTTTTTTTCATTTTGCTTTAATTCTGAAACAAATTCCACTTCAAAATATAATTAGAAAGTGCAGGGGGAAATGGCAAACTACTGCATTAGCTGTAATTGAACAAAAGAACGCTTTGCCTGTTGGGAGGTGGCCTGCTGAGGCCCCATGGGAAACGGGGCGGAGCTGAGACAGGGCCTGGTGGCATCTCCGCGGGGACGGGGAGTTTATTTATAATCACAGGCTGCCCTTGGACTGAACAGGCTCCGGCACTGATCTAACACGCAATTAATACACACACGGCTGAGATCACACAACGCACATACCAGCACACACAGGTCACACAGCATGCATGCATGCATTCGTGTGTGTATGTGTGCACACACCCATGCATAAACACACTCAAACACTTTTCTTAGCACTTCATGCAAACACTTTTTCATCTACCTTTTGCAAACACACTACAGAACTGTCATATTCACAGTACCTATTTGACAAAAGCACACCTTGGCCACAAGACACACACACACCCTGTGCCAACAAGACTTCAGCACACAATGTCGAGGTCCACCTTCAAAATAAGAGTTGTGTCAATTCAGGAGATGAATGGATGCATAAAGAGCAAACTGGAGGAAACAGAGAGCTACAGAGAGCTGTCTGTAAGCACACACAGCTACAGACTTGATTTACTTCATGTCCCCCTAATGAGCCGCCATGGTCTCTCCACCCTCTCTCTCTCCCTCTCTCTCTCTCCCCTGTGCAGGATGTAGAGTAATTCACTGCTTAATTGTTTAGTAAATTCAATTTTCCACATTCTATTCGACCTAGCTTTAGCTAAAGTTCTTAAATCTGCTGCGCCAAAGCCAAGGGAACCCTATTTGTGAGCCGTGCATACCTTTTTTTTCTCCCTCTTTCTCTTTTTTTATTACCATCTCTCTTCCCTCCACCACCCTAATTCACCATGAAAAGATTTTCCTTGCTGGAAATTCTGATTCCGCTATGATCAGTGAGGCATTCCAATCCGATGCATTCTCATTGTGCCGCGTATAAGATGCAAAGGGGGGGTTCCCTTTCTCGCTGTGCCAGGTCCCCATATCATACAAGCGCTCATGCAAGAAATGTTGCCTTGCCAATTCATTTGCAATAATAAAGAAAAAATGGTTAAGTTGTCGTGCTTTTGCCCCCCACCCTCCTGGCTCCCTTCACTCTGAAATATCTTTTGTGATGATATGGATATTTACTTTTCACTCCATGCCAGCGAGCGTGCAGAAATAATCGTATGTGCATACTTAACAGCACAGACATAAATATCCAAATAACCCCCCCCCCACATGTACACTCTTCAGTGGTGGTACATCTGAATCAAAGATGACAGTCAGGCTACTTCATCCCCCAGAATGCTTTGGTGCATGTGTTCTCTGTGGTTGTTTTCTTTAACACCATTTTTGACCTTTTGCAACAGCTCTGCTTCCTGGAGTTGAAATCGGTGAGAATGCCATGTGTTGCAGCAGCAGCGAGATGGCCTGCAATGAGCGCGGCGGACACATTCTCGCACTCAGCCAAGCGCTGATGGGGAAGCTGTTAGTGAAAGGGGCTGAAAGGCCAGCTATTGTAAACTCTTGTTTACTTTGCTTTGCACTGTGACTAGATAAAGCAGGATCTGCCTCTCTGATAACCGGCCAGGCAAGTGCTCGCCCAAACTACCTCCGCTTTCTCTGTTCTCGCCACCTCTCTCCTCCCCTCGCTGCAATATTAGTGCCTCTGAAATAAAAGGGGGGCTGGTAATGGTATGCGTGGTGCAAAAAAAAAAAAAAGGAGTGAGGGAGCAAAGGACCCCCCTTCCATCCCTCCCTCCCATTCTGTTTTGCACTCCCCTTCCTCCTACTCTCCACAATAGACAAAGAAAGGAGGAATAACCTTATAATTGCTGAAGGGGGTGAGGGAGAAAACTGGATTTGGTCTCTTGAGTCAGTAAAGTATGCTACCCTGAAGAGCCGTCAGGTACTCTTCTGTCGGCTTTTTCAAAAAACGGCGGGTTCAATTCAAAGAGGCGACCAAAGATAATTACATGTTTGAGATAATTACCAACGCTTTCAAAGTCCGTTTAGACGACATTCGTGGAAACTGACAAACTGATTTTCTTTCTCCCTGGCCTTTTCCACTTCAGGCGTCCTTGTTTACTTTCTGTGAGCTCAAATCCAAACAAAAACATTAACTGGAGTGCTCTCCCCCCTCAACGCTATCTAACCCCAAACAAAGCATATTCCGTATTTTACAGCTGTGAATGAAAAGGCAAGCGTAATTTCTTAATGACATGTTTTTGCTGTGGTTTCTTTGTTAGCCTAGCTTAGCTTGCTGCAGAGGGATATTCTCAGAGGATCCCTCGGAGACGGGCTGTTTGTGACGGCGGCCATTGTCAGAGGCTTGCAGGGGGTTAAGGGGGAGAGGAACTTTCCATTAGCTAAGTACACATGTGTTAAGCCCAGGTTATTGTTTACTTAGCCAAAGAAACCACAGCAGGCCTCGGGGACAGACATGGCCACCCATCAGAAGTAACATGAGACACAAGCCAGAAACTTTATTTGCGATTGAGATTTTGTGGATCTCAACAGAGAATGAAAAGCACCAATGAGCACAAGTTCTGGTCTTTTTTTATTATAAAAAATCAACCAATTCATCACCTGAAAAAATCCAGAACCAAGCATAAATGAAAAATGCAGTATAGGTGTCTGAATCTAAATGAAGCTCTTGGCGTTATATCTTTGAAGTCACTCCAGCCTTGATTTGCTTAATCAGAATCACCCCTACTTGCTATTCCAGCACAATAATGAAGAGGCTAAGAAACACACAGGTCACGTGGTCCCCTCTTTGTATCACTTGTTGAATCCTTAACAGCCGCCCCGCATTCACTCCCTGATGGAAAAAAGGGGAGTTCAGGGGAGGGAGGAGTGGGTGTTAAGGAGGGAGGGGGCAAGTGAGGGTCAAACCTCTCCTCTATTCAACGACAAAAGTCGCTATTACCAACAATCACCAGCATGATTCAAAAGTTTGTATTAAGATCAGCGGCATGCCACTGTTGGAGAGGGAGGCAATGAAAAAGGAGGGAGAGAGAGAGAGAGTGTGCACGGCTGTGAAGTCGGGTGTAACTCGATCCATACTTCAACGAGAAGCGGATAGATTAGCGATAGTGGTGTACTGATTAGGAAAATAGAGGCTGACCCCAGCGGTCAGGGTTTCCATTGAGTTAGGAGGGTTGGCAAGAGGTGGGGGGGCCAGGGGTCACTCTTTGACCGCCAGAGTTACCTAAACCAACACTGCTGGGTCTCTCTGACCTGGAAACCAGCACTTGTATGCTATAACAGTGCCAATTGTTGGGAAAAGATACAGTGATAGCACTATCACGAGTAAATTCTTACACAGTGACCACAACACTGAGCTCACACAGGCAGGGTTTGTTTAGGAAAGATTGTGCGGGACGTAAGAAAACAGCCACAGAGCGCCAACGTATAGATGTTCTTTCAGATTGTCAGCTTTTTACATTCTTTTAACATCAATTTAACAGCGAAAACAACAATCACACTCTAAAAATGTCACAGAGCCGCCCTAACCTCTTCACTAAATTAACTCAACAGCTCAACTGCTGAGCGTTCAAAATCATTTAAGCTTCTCTCACATCCACAAAAAGGCAGGCGGAGAAGATTTTTAAGGGAAAATTTCAATTATTTCCAGCCCCACTTCAGCCTGCATGGCTCAATCAAGACGAGGAGCTCTCGAGACTTGGAGTGGAGTCCTCAGCACTATTAGTAGTATTCTGCTCTACAGCGCAGTGCCCAAGCCCACAGAGTTCATTAGCAAATTGCTGCAGCCCTCCCTGTGCTCTCTGTGCAATTAAAGGCAACTGTGCAAATGGCGTACAGTGGCTTGGAAATATACCTCCCCACTTCTTTGGACTGAGGTGAACATGTGCGTAAGGCAAATAGGGACGCAATCAGCGGAGTGACTGCTGCCACATTTCTACAACAACAAGAGGATTGAGACAGACGCAGCTCATACTCAGTGTGGACACAAACCTCTCCATATGAAAGGCCTCTTCAAGATTCCCTCAGATTAGTGGATTTTTACTGACTACTATGTCTATATGCAGCTGAGCGCAGGGCAGGATGTGTTTGTGGAGTGGGGCAACTGGAAATGTGCTGCTGCTCAAGTGAAGATATTAAGGGGGAAGCTCTCAAGGGAGTGGCAGGGAAAGGGTTAAGAAAGTCCAACTGGTGCTAACCAGTCACTCCACTCACATAGCACCTGAGGGGGGTGCTGCATTTATCAGGCCAGTCTGAACACACACACACACACACACACACATATATGCATGCATACACTTAAAGACATATGCATGCACACAGCTCATGCACACACACACACACACACACACACACACACACACACACACACACACACAAAACGATACACACACAAACAGAGGAGGGTGAGCCCAAACTGGCTGAGCTGCATTCACAAGCCAGCGCAGAGCCTCTCTGACTTTTTCACCTCTCAGCTATGCTCTGCTTTCTTTTCAAAGGGGCTCAGCATCCCTGCGTACTCGCCTGCACAGGCAGGCTAACAAAACAATGTAAAGACATGTAAAGAATATTCAGAAAATTACAGCTGTGACGCAAGAGGGCATAATGTAGCAAGAAAGTCAGCACTGTTGGATTGTTGGGTTTAATAAATTCAAAGTATTTTTTTTCTTTTCCTCTGACATTTTTTTCTCTCCTCTGCTACAGTCGCCTCACTGGAATAAATTGGTTTATGAATAAATGAGCCTGCTTTCTCCCTCTTGTTAACATTGTTCTTTTGTGCAAATTTTCAGCATTTTTTTCCAGTCCACTTCAACTTTATGCCCGAGGGCATATATTAAAAATACATATGGAAAGAGATAATGCACACACAACGCTAATTCGTTAAGGATGTCACTCCCTAACAACTGGAGATAAGATGTCACACAAAAATAGCCCACAAAACTCAAAAAATATATATTCAGCCGCAAGTAAGTTATGAAGCGCAGTGCCATTAGATTGACAATATAAGTATTCAGCAGAGAGACTGTTTGGATATGCCCATTTACACACAGGCTGCTGCTAAGGACAGGCTCCATGTTATCCTGCTGGAACACAAGCCCACCCCTAAGTATTACACTGCTGTCAAAAAGTTTTCTCTATGTTGTTACATGAACTGCACCAAGAGGTCATTATATTTGTCTGACATATTGTAGTAAACATATGTGGTTCTGTCCTACATTGTCCACATGTAGGGACCGTCATTACAATAAAATAGGCCATGTTTTCATCTTACAGTCAATTAAAGATCTGCATCAGCGCCTCAAGCACAACATCATTTTCTTCATATACTACCTGAAAACCCAGGGGAGATCACACTTCCTTTTTCCATGTCTACATACTATAAAGCTTCACTCGATTTCCTGACCTCATGTACATAAAAAAAAGAAAGAAAAAACTTTTGACAACTGAATCCCGAGAGAATACAACAAGCCTTCAAAGAGACACTTAAATGCACAAGTGGCGTCTGTGTTATTTAATTCTGCTTCTGGATTGAATGAAGTATTATCTTCCGGGTGATCTTTCTCATTTCCATAATCAGACATAAGGGGCCTGAGCGGAGGAGAGGGGGTCTTCCCAGTCCGCTCCCAGTCCTGCCATTCAGCCTGGAACATTAAAGCCTGTGGCTGCCTCTCTGCGTCCTCAGACCAGCCACTCAAGCATATGGAAGTCCACGAATTTAAATTATTTAGCCTAATCGCTTCATTACTTTTTATGTCGGACTATCCAACTAATCCCTTTAATTTGGACACTGGATTTTTTTTCTTCTCCCCCTCTTCATCGGCGGAGATGCGTTATAAACGGGTCCTTTAAAACTCTGGGATAGTTTCACTTACTGAATCATTGTCTCATAGCCTGCAACCCTAACTGCTGCACAAATGACTCCAGCTATTAATGGCCGAAAATCCAGATTTGCATAATTCTAATCATCGGTTGCTGTTATCATTATTCAACGGCAGTGTATGGGCCATTAGGGTCATGGCTGCGCGCGCACTACAATGTCCCCGGAGTGCCAACAGTCAGTGGAGCACATAATGAAGGCTGTGGTTATCTCTGATATCGGCACAAAAGGGAAACACTCCCTAATCTACCTTTAATACCCCGAGCTTCGATAGCTTTTTGGAGGAATAAACCGTCTTATTGGAGCTGAATCTGTGCGCGAAATAAAGGAGGAGGAGAGGAGGGGTCTCGATAAGCAATGTGCACTCATGTCTAAGGAAAAATACTGACAAGACGCGTAATGAACCGTGAACTCCACAGTGGAGAAAGCAAGGCACCTCAGCCACAGTCTGCAGCCCATCCTGCTGCTGCTGCTGCTGCTGCTGCACAACAACAGAGAGTCGAGCTGATAATAGCGTTTGATTTAAAAAATAGACAGAGAAATAGGGAGAGGGGCTAAATTAAAATCGACATGAAACAGGTCAAGTTTATGGCGATGCTTTTCCCAGCTAATCTCCGCAGGTCGGTTCCGGGTTCACTTCTTAATGGGCCAATAATAGCGACATTATTCAGAAAAATTTCTCATTCCGATGGATGGAATGTAAAACGGCCTTAATCATATGCAAATAACAGCGCAGTGGAGAAGTGACCCAGAATAGCTGAATAGCCAGCAGGGAGAGCACATACACGCGCGCGTACACACACACAGAGAGAGAGAAAAAGAGAGAGATGTACCTGATCAAGGGCCACCGATGATCTCGTGATCTCCTCGCTGTCTGATTTGGAGCCTCCCTCTCTGTCATCTATGACCAGGTCGATGGGCATCTTTCCTTTCAAGCAGCTGATGTACCGGTGACAGAAATTATCACACAGCTCGTGCACCTTCAGGGAGAGGAGGCAGAAGGGTCACACACACACACACACACGCACACTCAAAACACCCCCTAAAATAAGCGACATCATCTAGTAACGCTGACATAAGCAGCCAAAACACACACACACACACACACACACACACACACACACACACACACACACACACACACACACACACACACACACACGCCACAGCCTTTGACATACAGAAAAGGCCCTGAAGACTTCAGAGGGCAAACCCGAGATCACAGCACAGTTGTTGCATCTAAAATACTGAAATATTATTTTAAAGTCAACACAGAGAATTCTGGGAATATATCACTTTTACAAATCACGCCAAAATTCCCCAAATGCATCCATGTGTTTTCCTCAAAATAGCTCTTAAAAGTTCCATCTTCACTCTAAAAATATAAAAATTACATTTATTTGGACACCCTTGGGCTCATTTGTGTGTCCAGTTCTCGTGCCACGCCAGACGCTTGCTCCGGACTTTGGCACTAACTTTATTTTTCTCCTCTCAAAATAGAGATATCGCCGAAAATTGACAGTGACAAGAGGGCTCAGGGGCTAGAACACACTCAACATCCGTGTTAAATTCATCATGGGTGCCCCGGGTAGTGGCCATTAGAGGAGGGTGACCCGCGTGACTGACATTTAAGGTAAACTGTTTAATTTCATCCGATTATTACATTATCACTGCCAATGACTGCGGCGCGTCATTACGCACGAGAAAGTAAAATGTCAGACTGCAGAGAGATAAAGAAGCCTGCAAACCGTCTGGAACTTTATTTTTGAGACAGAGGGCAGAGCAGGAGACAGAAGCTGTACAAACTGAAACTCTGAACAGCTTTGATCATGTTCCATAATGTTTGAGCTGAGGTTAGAGTTGACCTCACAGGCTACTGTAGTCCATGTAGTGATCAGAGTTTTACTCCCACTCTGCCTCTCTCTACAGATGGCCGCCTGGGGCCTTTTGCCCTCCGCAAAAAAATCGTTTTGAAATACCGCAAAGTTCGCCTATATGTTTCACCTTGCATGCAATTTGTGCCAGCATTAAACTTCATTAAAACACGCAGGGAGATTTGCGCGCACACACATCCGTTCCAGTTGTAACAGCTTGCGTCGTGATTAAACGCGGAAGAGAAATGGCCCCATGATTGATTCTGACGCTAATTATAACCGACTAGCAAAAATATATTTTCGCAAATACAGCCCATAGGTCTGGATTGTAGCAGGGTGGACAGATACGGTGAGAGGAAATTACCTTCTCCAGCTCCAGAAGATGAAATCGTAAAACTTGAATGGCTTGAATCATCTGAAAAATTAAAAAAACAATAAAGAAATGAGCTGCTCACATCTCTTGATATTAAACAGGCACGTTTTTCTCAATACAAGGAAGTGCAGACGATGAAAAAATATTCATGTGAATGGATTTTATGTGGGGCTGATATTAAAGTTGGGCGTTATTGCAATATGGAGAGCAGGCGTACAGTAGAGCCTGGCACTAAAATAAGCCTCAGAGTCAGAGATCTATTAGCAGCAAGACGTTCCCCTCACAGCCCATCCACGGAGTCAAACTGTACACAGTGAAAAAAGCTTGAATAAAATAACTTTGCAGGCTGAGTTCAAAGGTTTGTGACAGCTGTCTAACAGCGGCCCTTCATCTGCCAATACGACCGGGGGCCATCATGATATCAAACAGCCCCAAAAAGAGGAACCTCACCTCCAATCCTGCTCCAACTTTTCAGCCGCACATGACTCTCTGACACATTCCTACAGCCCACCAATAAACATGCACAACAGCTGTAGGATCATACAGAAAATGTCCTCTCATTTTAGAGAAAATACTGTTGATCTTACCAAATTATCCAATTCTGGATTCGATGAAAATAAAGGCTTTTCTGCCCGAATCTAAAAGCAAGCAAAAAGATGCATTTATGAGTCAAACACACCTTAAAACTATGAATTAATCAATATGTAAGACTAAATATGGCATGCTAGTATATGCTATGGTGGTTTATAATTTCCTACTTTACGCACAAAATAAACAAAAGCTCAAATGAAAACATTTTTAAAGAACTTTTTTCTTTTCTTTAAATGCAGCAGAATTGTCTTTACGCACAAGAGTTGGAGGTCCACACTGAATGCTTTCAAAGTTAGAGCTCCAGCAGCCCGAGCATGCAGATTACAAAGAGTCAAACTTTCCTGACCTGTTTTGCAAACACTGCTATGTCTTCATTGAAAGATTCCGATGAACAGACGTCTCCTCCCGCCACCCCGGGCTCTCTGGGGGTGCACGTCGCTAATTCACATTTCTCAAAAATCAGTGCAAGCAAGGGGAACAGGGGGTGCCTGGGAACACACACACAATAGCAAATGTCACCAGAGAGAACAGCGCCGGGGTCAAGACTACTCCAGGCTAGATTTAGCCAGCCATGCTACTCTTCAACAACTCGCCCATGGGGACCACTGCTGCAGCCCGCGTGCTATTATATTATGCAGAGGCTCGGAGAAAGGCTGCAAACAGCGCGCAGACTTCTGTGATTAAATCTCAGCGCCTAATAGCATAAAAGCTTCACAGTCAGTCGAACTAATTCTGTGCACAGACTCCGTTTGGATCCTTGAAGTCCGTGTTTCTGTATGCGTGTTTATCTGTGTGAGTTTGGAGCCACTAAAAAGGTGCATAATATATATTTGTGGATTATTATGTCTTTAAAACATCAGAGTAAACATGTGCAGACTGGTTATGCACTCACAGCTGTGTCAGTAAGGAGGTGCAGGATGGTCAAACTGTTCCTGGCGTGAAAACACCACGCAAAGATTTTCTCATTTACATTTATAAATTAAGAACCGACATGCAAATGCGAGATACGCTTTCAACGCAGTATTTTTTAATTTGATGGAGACCACGTGTTATTACTGGAAATACCTAACAGAGAGAATGTATTTATTTTACAAATAAAAAACAATTAAACTTTAAAAAACTGCACACGCCAAACGCTAAAATAAACGTTTAATGTCCTAATTAAAGTGAACTTTTTCTTTAATTATTTAAATGTCCTTTTTCTGTGTAATACTGGCGCAATAGAGACAGCATCAAGAGCTAAACTTTTCATTTTCACATGTATTTTTCAGTATTTATCCAACAGACACGCGTGATCCAAACTGATCTATTTTTGAAGAAACTTCTGAGTTGTGCAAAAATAAAATCAGAAAATAAAATCAGAAAAACATGGCAGCTCTGATCCTGCTCGCGCCATTGCAACACTTTTTAACTCCAGCGTTTTTCTTAAAATTTTTACATAAACGCACGAGCGTTCAAGGCACCACCCCGGTCTTTTTCCTACGGTAGGCTACTACCTTTGCGACCCCAAACCCACCCCGATTGCGCCCCCTCCTCCTCCTCCACCGGCCTGCCCTGCTACAGAAAGAGTGAGTCCCCCCGCAGGACCTACCCATATATCGCGTCTTTATCTCTCTTGAGAGCGTCGTTGACGGAGGAGCCCATGCTGGGAGGCATGGTGTTGGTGTGGGCGGTGTGCGGGTACTGGTGCGAGTGCAGCTGGGGCCCATGGTTGAGGTGCACCGCCTGCATGGACCGGGCGCCGTGCGGGTCTCCGTACATGGTGGTCGGGATGCCCACCCCGTCCATCCCGTAGTGGGGCAAGTCTTCGTACTGAACACATCAGAGACACAGGGCCACAGTCAAAACTCAGGAAAAACAATAGAATTAACTCTGGTTATAACTCTGTGTGTAAAAGACCATGTCAGGAATATCTTACTAAACACCTGAAGTGAGAAAAGTTAGGCTTCACATTTACTCTTCTTCTTAAGACACAGTAAAAACCTCACAACTTGGCGTAATAGTTTCATTTTTCCAAACCAAGTGAAGGTTTTTAAAATTCCCATTAATTAAACAGCCTTTTTTGTTTCTACATACAAAACTGAAACTACTGAAACATGCAAAATAAGAAAACCTAAATTAACCACAATGATCTAAAATTTGAAGTCATTTGAGGAAAACTTCTAAGGCCAGTGTGACTTATTGACTGGATTGTTTAAAGGAGGAGAACAACAAAACTTATTTTAGCTAGTTTGAACTAGTTTTCTTCTAAACTTCTTCAAGGTGATTCTTGTAACTCAGAAATAAAAAAAATAAATTAAGTCAATATGAATGATTAAGAACATGCTAAAAAATATTTGATGCTATAAAAACGTGAGGAGCGGCAGATTTTTTAATTTTATAATTTTCTGAGCAATAACTCAACTATAACGGCATCAGTGTTTACAACAACAAATGTGTTTCACTTCTAACTTGTCCTTATTTTTCTAATTTTAAGGCTCATAAAAGGGCAGCAAGTCTCTCTCTCTGTCAAACACAGATAAATGCTGCAACAGTGCATGGAGACGCGTATTGTGTGTTTAGAACGACTTAGAGCTGCAGCTCGATATTCAAACTTTTACATGAGTCAGTTTTGGTTCTGATATGGTTGTTTTGTCTATGCACGGCTGTATGGTAGTTATGAAACACTCAGTGGTGTGTTAAACGTGTCTAAATGTAAATTCACGTCGGTATACGCCTAAAATAAAATCTTTATTCTCGGTTTGCCCCTCTAACAGATTACAGAAGAGCCTTGAATTATTGATAGCGCTTTCTGGAAGTGTCAAACAAGTGTCGGGTTCAAAGTAAAAAGCATTATCACTTAAAGCTGAGCTTTTCGACCCTACAGGCAAAGAGGTGCAAACCCCAGCGTGGTGCAGCTCCAGAGCCGAACTAAGCAGCTAAATTTGTCCCGTACAGCTCTGCTTTTACACCGTTTACAGTCTGAGAGAGGGTCCCGGGCGCTGCTCTGAAGTTGTCCTCGGGAGTGTATGAATCAAAGAGTTTGTCGTCAGCCCATTAAGAAAATCTGCCTCACTGGCGTTTTTCTAATATCGCATGTTTTGACACATTTTGCGGAGCAGATTCATTTGGAATCTTGACGGAGCGGTCCGAGGAAAATGTGGAGATTTGTTTTGCTTCTATGCCCTCCCCCATTTTGCTTCCAGTAACTGGCCTGTCATAACTAATCTAAAAAACATAGCCGATGTGAGGTATGATCACGCTTCCAATGTCCCTCAGCGGACCGGTTCGCGAAGCAAAACGAGAGCGGCCGTGCGTAATAACGTGCCAAAAGACGCCGAAAATGAGATCGTCGTCTCCATGTGTCAGGAACAGGACAGAACTTTCGCCGCGAGTGTGTGTCCGTGCGGGTATGTGTGTCATTAAGCCACGTTACAGCGCACCATTGCACTCAAGCAGACACAGCAGACTTAGAGAAACTTTTTGTCGGGGGGATTGCCCTACGTACCCGTTGCGCCATAACCCTCCTGACTCCCTGGTCGTCCTTTCACTTTAGATAAATCCCCTCTGAGGCCAGGGTGGATACGAAATGAAGAAAGACAATCCGAATAAATTGGAGGATGTTTCAGACAAAATCCCGTACGCCTTTTCTCTTTCCACGGAACGGTGCAGCCAGCCCCCGCTCTCTGCGCAAGTTTAAGCCCTGGCGCGGCGAATAGGTCCTCGGCTGTCCTCTCCTCGGGGCAGCGGCGCCAGGCTCCTTTCCCAAAACCAGGATGAAAATACAACAGCCCCTCAAACAAAAGTGGCGACTCTCATGGCTTTTTGCCACTCCGCCTGTCAGTCAAAACGCGAGGGCTTGTCAAAAGTACCGGATGAATGATGGTCCGACGCGCGTCTCCACGGGCTCGGCACCACCTAAACGTTAATGGTCACAATCAGAGTTAAAAAATGAAGCAGCTCTCCTCTCGTTTTCTTTGATCACTCTCGGCTCCCGGCTTGATTTTCTTATGCAAAAGCGTCTAGAGGAGATCAAGAGGAGGTGGGGTGATAATTCTGGCTTAGGCTTTCTTAAAGGAGCCACGATCGATGCTGAACGTGTGTGCGTAGATTTGTGTGTGTGGCGGTGGTGGATGTGTCTGTATGTGTGTGAGTGCGTGTGTATGCATGAGCCGCCTGCCCCGTTTGTGTACAATGGATGTGTGTGTTGAGCTGAGGAGGAGCGGAGGATCTGGACCAGACTGCTGAAACCCGGAAGTAGTGGTGGCCATAACAGGTCGCGTCTTACACAACGCACCGGGCTGCAGCAAGTCGTGCGGAGAGCAGGGGGGGTGGGAGGACCCTGCGAGAGCCAGCGAGCCACGGCGCGAGATGATCAACACGGGGATACACTGCGAATATCCACCTAAGACTTCTGCAGCCGGGCCCATCCTAGGAAAGTGATCTTTATTCGTGTGTGAGCTCTAAAACCTCAGAGTTATGGGACTGACGCACTCGACATCACGTTGTGTGTTTGTAAAGTGTTTATGAGCGGCTTATTGAAGCATCTTTCAACTCTGACAGAGATATTATCAGGTATGTTACCAAGAGCCTGAAATGTCTGGATTGCTTTAAGCGTTTGGATTCTGCATCGTCAAAAAAACCTGAATTTAAAGCTTAAACAGCTCATCCGTATAGTTTGGATGAGGGTTCAACTTCCGAGAGGCTTTGAAGCACTTATGCAAGTTCTCCGCGGTGCAGTCTGGAAAGGCAAACATCCAGTTCTGCAGGTTTTGCGCGCCTGGTAGTTCACTTTCCAGTCCTATACCGTCTGTTTGCTTTTGTTGCTTGCATGCAACGGTGCACATTGAGTTCCGTAGACTACTATGGATGCATGGAATAAAGAAATGTGATTTAAGTGTCTATAAATGCAACTTTTCCTCCAGATTTTGATGCGCATTGGCTTGCTTAAAAAGGCTTTTTTTAGGAGTTAGAGTAGCATCATATGTCAAGATGTCGACCCAGAGTTTTGGTCTGTATGTTGATGGTTTTCAGTTCATCCTCTAGCCTGTCAAAGCTTCAGTTTGTTTCTGTCTGAATAACAGTTTCCACGTCGTCCGCTCCTCTCCCCCACAGCAGCGCTGAATGGGTCGCTCCAGTCTGCCCGGGCTGTCCAATGACAGAAAGGCTCAGGCATGGGAGCCCCCTATTGGCTCCCCGCATGATCGATCCGGGGTTGATTGATCGGTTGTAGGCCACATTTGCAGGGAGGCGCAAAACAAAACATCGTCCACCAGTCGAAAACACACACATTGCGTTTTCTGTCAGCTTCTAAAGGTTGTAAATTTACTAAAACACACTATCTCATAACTACCCCCTTTCTCTTTTTGTCTCACCCCTCTCTCCCCCTTTCTTATGCACACGCTCCGATCTTTAGGACTTTAATTACTTGTTTCTAAATGCACTCACACTGACTTCAGCAAACCCAAACAAGCTGCACTATCGTCAGTTTTCTTCCCTCAGAAGAGTTCACACTTCAACTTTTCTCTCTACAATAAGCCGTTCACTCGAGTCCCAGAAACTATAAAAGTTTGGTCAAATATTGATGAGCTTGAATTTATGGAGCAGAAAAGTTAGATTCTCCAGTCATTCGGAGTTAGGTGCCGGTATCAGTGAGTTATGCGAGGATGTAAATTAACAAAATAGCCTGAATTTACTGCGTTGTCTGGTTTGAGTCCTCGCCTGGATATGAAGCGGTGCAAATCTTATTTCATTAAGTCTATGAAACATTTTTAATTAAGAAGTTGGACTTCCTAAAATTTGCATGGAATATTTATGATAGGTTCCCTTGCATGAGAAGTTTCGTAAAAGAAAAGAAAAGTTTTTTTTTTTTCTGTGGGATTAAATTTGAGTGAAGACGCAAACATGAATTTTCTCATCACTTCTACTAGGTGTTTGTTTGTTTTTGTCTGTTTTCACGTGTTGATCAGGTTCACTAAACTCTTTATTTATTATTCTCAGCCCCTCGCAAGTAAACTGGGACCGTGCGAAAGAGCCACATTATCTCTTTATTATGCTCACAAGGTGTTGCTGCTCTGTGACAGCTTGCTTGAAGTTTTTTTTCCCCGTGCAGCGCGTCCAGTCATCGATCATCTGCCCCCGGTGCCAGAAATGGTGTCATAACATGATAATGCGGCTTCACACATTCGGTAGTGATTCCTGTGGTAAAACCCAAGCGATGAGATCCGAAGGGACAAATTTCAGAGGCATGAGAAGATTCTCAGAGCCTCCCTGCAGTCCGGCCAGGGAGGCTCCGGGGTGAGGACAGCAAAGGAGACTGGAAGCAGCGCAGGACGCACGGACCTATACGCACAGAGACTCCGAATCAAATAATAAGGTCGGCTGACTTGTGCTCGTCGAGGTTGTTAATTATTTACTGGTGAGTAAAGCTCTCCCACTCAATTTCTGTTTTTTTTTAATTATTTTTTAACTGCATTTTAAATTATTCAAAATCCTATTATTGTCTCTGATATATTCTCTCACTAGACACTTCTTTTAGAATAAAGTAAAAAGCTGCTATTTTAAATCCACTTCCTGCGAAAATTTGTGGGTTTAGTCAAACGCAAACAGGATTAAACGACTCATCCAACCACAAGGCACACTACATTTTAGAGGGTCATTGAGAAAAAAAATCTCAAGCTAAATTAACATGAAAGGAGCCCACATCAGCGCCTGACCACTGTAAAATAACTACAATGGCATTATAAAGCAATTAAGCTCCTTCAATTAGCGTCCATAAAAGCAGCGCGGAGCTGCACTTTCTCTCCCGGAGTCGCTCTCTCGTGAGGGTCAGCGCGTTTTGGCATCCCGTGAGAGAGCAGGGGGGCAAATACCGTCATTTCGGTTTAATCCTCTTTACGTTGACGGTAATGCTTGGAGTCATTTCAATAAAATCAGCAAGTATTAGTTTCAAACGGCTGGATGGAAAAAAAGACAGACGGTTTGACCGAAGAATCAAATAGAGGCATTATTGGATGGCCTTTGTGCGCGTGACTTTTGCTGTTTGGAGACAAAGAAGTTGCGGTTTTTATGTTAGTTTAGAAAATCTTCAAGAAACTTACTTCTTATCACTAATATTATTTACAGAGTAACATCGAAACATTTTAAAAGTCACCTTTAGTGTTTTTTGGCTTGAGGGATGTTCAAATAAATGATGCACATTTGAATATGAATTTTTACGCGCCTAAGTTTGGTTGGAAATAATCAATTCTAGGTCAGAGAATCAGAGTTTTCGCCTCTGCATTTGTCTTTATCTCTGCCTGTCTGTTGCTGTTTGAAGAAACATGGAGCAACTGGCAGCCCCAGGAGTCAAACTGAGGTCAAACTTTTTGCAGCCCCACAGCTCTGCGCGAAAACGTGTTGGGATCTGCAGAGGCCACTGAGCCCCAGTCTCTCTGCTTTGTGTCAGTGCTGCAGCGCTCAGCCAGACAGATACAGACCTGCTGCAGAGTTTTCACAGATTATCTAATTATAAGGTACCACAACTATATTACCGTCTGTCAGAAGAATCCGTCGGATTCAATAGGAGCTATACGAGATTTAGTCAGAAAGTATTCGGTCAGTAAAAAAGGCGCCTTGGCTCGGAAAGCAAATAAACCTTTGCCTCCAGCATTTATTTCTAGGAGTTCGTAAAATGAACTGAAACGCACCAGGTGTCAGGAAAAAGCGCACTTCTATCAAACCTCCTCATTGGACAACATAGTTTAAAATGAAATGATCATATGGTGAATGTTGGAATTGTTTCCAATCGCACTTTGGTTCAGATTATTGTAAAATCATGATCAAGTGTGTGTGTTTTTTTAGAATAGATTTTGAAATAATTCAACATGTATGTTGGAGTTTCATTACACGGCTTCGTGGAACAACAAAGTAAATACCTGGGCTTGTGGTCAAAGATGTAAAACTGACTTTATGTATTATGAAGAACTGTTTTATAATATGTGATCAGTTAAGTCCTTCTGCTAGGAGTTTTCTCTCCTGCTGCTGGATCTCTGTTTGGCCCAAACGCTGCTCTGAGCTGCATCTCCTTCTCACAAACATGAATGCTTAATCATGTGCGCCTTCTACCGGAGCTGAGGGGAATTACATCCGACCTGTAGTCATAGAAAAAGAGGATTCAGTCATTAAAAAATAAACGAAACTGTAAGAAAAAAAGAGAAACTTAACCCCCTGAATCCTAATTGCACTGATTCCCTCTTTGTATAAAACTAATCAGCATTATTTTCCGCAGTTTGCTGCACTAAAGATAAACGCTGTTTGTTTATATCAATATGTTTTTGTTGTTGAATTTTCCATTGCATTTGTTACACACAGTTTTTGACATGCTAATAAAATAAATGACAGTTGAGTCTTTGAGTTCATTGTCTTTGTTTGTTCTGCAAATAGCCAGTGTGTCTTTTATGAAGAGTTAACTCCAGATGTAGAACTGTTTAAGAGATCTGCTCATTTCTATTTCTGTATTTCACTATTACTTCAATACCAATGTGCTTGAATAATTAACAAGATACAAAAAACAGGGACTTGAATCTTTGATTATCCTCAATCAGCAGCTGTCTGCAGAACACAAAAGTAACAACATCTGTGTTTGGAATTGAAAACCCGTATTTTAAAGCTTTATTATTGTGCTCTCTTACACTCCTAAAAGACAAACCTTCCCTCTGAATGTTTCATACGTAGGTGTTTCATCAATGCGAACATGTGGACTGATGATAAAGACCTGCAAACTGCTGAACCTGAGCAGATCCAGGAGCTGCTGGGATGTGACAGTCACACCGACATCCCTGCATCACACCTACAGATACATACGTGATGAACAGCTGCTTTATGCTACACAGTGAGAAGTGTGTGAAATGAGATGATGCACACATAGGATACCCGAGTATAAATGTCTACATTGAATCACATGCACACACACACACACACATACACACACACACACACAGCCAAGGTTTGTAATTATAGCTGGTGTTGAATGCTGCCAGTCAATTTTCACATTGTGCCACCAGTCACCAGGTCAGCAGCCACGCTTTTACTTTGAAAGGATGCTGAGTCTGAATTAACCCTACAGATAGATAGATCACACACCTCCCTCTCTGTCTCTCTCTCTCTCTCTCTCACTCCCCTTCCCTCCTGGAGTCTCTCGCCCTCCCCTTCCAGCAGCATTTGTCACTCCTGCTATTATTTCAGGTGTGCCAGTTGTGTGGACGAAGGAAGAAGAGAGGAGACGGAGTGGGAAAAAAAGGAAAGGAAGGACAGAAGAAATGAGTCATCATCATCTTCTTCTTCATCATCATCATCATATAAATCCTTCCTCCCCCAATTAATCCAAGCTGATGGCTGATTTGGGAGAGAAAAGAAGTAAGGGGCACCAGCGATTCAGGTCGAGGCTGGCAGAGGGTGCATGGGTGAGGATGAAGTGGGAGGAGGGAGGTTCTCACACCTCCAAGGGAGACTGTGAATTGATCAGCACCTGAGAGAGAGAGAGAAAGAGAGAGGGAGGAAGAGAAGGAGGGAGGGAAGGAGGGAGGGAGTGAAAGTGAGAAAAAGGGAAAGAGATGAGGGATAACGATGAGGAGAGAAACAGGGTGTTGGAGCCCAGCTATAAAACCAGGACGGGGGAGAAAACAGGGAGATAGGGGGAAGGAGGAGTGAGGGAGGTGTGAAGACTCATCTAGTCCTGAACGGGTGTGAGTTTGGGCTGGAGTGCAGAGTGGCCGGGGAGCACAGCAGAGCCTGGTGGTAATAACAACACAGCAAACCCCAGCAGAGAAACAGAGCAATATCAGCTGTATAGGGACGAATATGAAGAGTATAGATTCACATCAGTATAGATCAGACTGAGTAAACTGAAGATTCCTCATTCAAGAACACAATCCTCATATCTCAACAATCAAAAGACCACACCTGACCAGCTTTAAGTTTCAAATAAAGACACCAAACATGACAAATACATAATACTTCAACAAATGCAAGTCTGATTCTATAATCAGTCAGAATTGGAGGCAGATATCTGAGATTAAATCCAGTGTAAATCAAAACCTGAAAAATGTTACTGTCCCTCAAAAACACCCCAGAGCACACTCCAGTTCTGCTGTACACATTAAATGGCAAAAATCCCCTTCAGATATTTGCCATGTAAAACAGAAGCTCCTTTATTTATATGCCGATTTCTTTATTTGACCCAGTTTACCCTCTTCAAGAAGAGACCAGCACAACAAGCCTGAAGTATCCAAAGAGCACCCGTATGACCCAGCAAAGATTCCACTTTCTGTCCTTTTAATTTATCATATAGATTCATGAACCTGTCATCCATCATCAGGTTTTTTTTTCTAACACACTTTATAAAAAATAAAATAAAAACAGTGAAGTTGGCTGTTCAGTCTCATGAACATCTTTGATTTTAAAAATAAAAGGTACACCTCCATTTTGGACAGAAAATGATTGAGAGAGCGTGTTTCCTTTCAATTTGATGTGGCTTATTTTCACTTTTTTAAAATAGTTCAAATTTAAGAAGAAAAACAAATCAAATACAAACACTAAGTGTGTTTTTCTATCTCTCTAGATATGAACACAAACTGTACCACACTCACTCTCTCTCATTCCCTCAGATGTTGACTCCACTCTGTCCCAGGTGTCTAGAGGATTATAAAAACCTTCACCATGACCAGTGTTTGGCTTGTGGCTGATCTTTATCGTCCTGCTTGCTGTAAACACACAATCACCATGAAAGTATACACACAAGCCCACACACCACAAAAGCACCATGGGAGGTGAGAAGTGCTTGATCCAGATGCCTCTATGAAAGAGTCAGGCTGGAGCAGAAATTGAGTATTTATTTGTTCTTATACACACTTGGATAACAAAGCTGATTGTCTTTTTTCGGTTAATAGAATCAAATAAAATAAAGTGATTAAAAATGTGGAAAGAATTAAATCAAGATGCAATGCAAGAGTGTGATTCAATGTTCAAAAAAAAAAGAAGAAAAAAAAAAGGAAGAAAAAAGGATATGCAAATTAATTCATGAGGTTGTTGTAGATAATGTCCCAGTGGTCATCCACATTTTTGTCAAGGTCTTTTAACAGACATGCTGCCCTCTCTATATTCAGGAGATCTAAAAGTATTCCCAACCTTGACTCTCTGGCGAAACATCCCGGTTTGTAAACTTTCCAGTTCATAAGAACAAGTCTTTTATGTATTTTATAAATATAAATCTTTACGTATCTAACACTGAGAATATACCATCAGATACAGGTGCCTTTGAGGACTGTGACACTCGCATTTAGAGCTTTCAGAAAACCTAAAACAGAGCTGTAGTAGAGCAGAAGTCTGATTAACATCTATGGAGTACCGGTCAGGAGCTTTACCACCTAGCAGTACATCCATGCATCAGATTGGGTTCAGCTCCTAGTATCTGCGCCCTGACAACTCACCAAAGTTAAAAAGCAGGTTTAGTGAAATTTGTAGCAAGGACTTCAAAATAAATGACATAAATACACATTTCAGGGTTCCGATTATTGAACAGTGGCTCAGCTGAGGGGCAGCCGTCCATCCGGGCAGCAGCGAATCAGATTACCAAACACACTGATTGACTGCAGCGGTCTCTAGTGAACCTGCGGCCATCTCTCCTAAACAAAGTTATCTCGACTGAAGTTCATGATGGGGTCAGCGGTCAAATTGTCTCATCTAAGATCCCTCGAATGCTGTACGACCCTGAGGGATCCTATAAAGAAGCTTTCAAAGCATAAATTCCTGTCATAACAGCAAATGTCAGAGGCACGGTGGAGTGCACACAGTACGCTAACTGTGGCTTTGCTGCAATAAATGGAAGCAATTATTCTACTGCTGCTGTGTGACAAAAAGAAACCACCAAGGATTTTCAAACAATGAGACACAAACTTGTCGAAAGTTCTTAAACCCACACGCAGACTGTCACCAGAATCAAGGCGATGTGATTTCTTGTAAATTTATTCTACTTAGCTTTTGTTAATTATCACAAGTGTCAAAGCCATCAAAAAACAACAACAGACGACTGGGTGCACACGCTAACGTTTGACACATCTATCTTTATAGCCTTTGTTCTGTCGCTCTGTCTTAACTCCTTTGTTTATCACACATTATACCACACCTGCCTCGCATAATTATTCTCCCCTCACACTTTGTGCTCAGTCCTTGATTTCTTACAATCAGAGAAAACTTGTGACTTTGAAGATGTTCTTGCCAAAGAGCCACCTGCTGTGGTTCAACTCTGTGGTAAATAAGAAGTCATTATATTGTCATTGAAAAACCTGTAAACACTGTGGACCAGGACCTGCAAAAGGCAGCACTGGCTCTTTTGTGATGGGTGAGCAGCTTACATGTCATGAACCAGTTTTAAGTTTTAATTCATCCATGAACTCCATGGCGCACTATTCCAATTCAATTCATCGTGTGTAACCCATGACAACACAGTCATTGTTAGATACACATAAAAATCCACGGCCTCCTTTGTCTGCAGAGATTGATTTTTCCACCTCAGGTTTTGTAGGTTTTGAAATGTGCCTGCTTTATAGCAACAAAAAAAGAACGATTAAAAAAAGAGAAAAGAATGTGGGGGCGAAAAAAGTTCTGTCAGAAGTTACAGTTTCAAAAACAGTTTTTGAGCATTAGAAAGAAGTGTTGTAAAAGTTCTGTCTGTTCTACTATTGGTAACTGGCATGGGAAAGTTAGAAATAATTCTCTGACCAAAAAACAAAAAGAAGAAAAGGAAAACACAAAACAAGCCCATATTTTTTAGGCACAGGACACTATTAGGTAGTAGATAGCAATCATTGAGCTCCTTTACATGTAACACCAACTTCACTTTGGATTTGTATATTTTGAAGAAACAGAACTGACCAGGAAAATACTAAACTCTTTATATTTCTGCAATTCAAATAAAACAGAAACCGCGCAGCTGTGGCTGACCACTTAAGCTTTCCGAGAGGGAAAAAAAAAAGAACAGGATTTCCGTGCAGAAACAGTGACAGAGTTAATCAGCGTGGACTGACATGTTAGCAGTGATTACACTGTCCCTGGATTTTCTCCTCACCACCAAACCACCAGAGCTTCCACTGCAGCAGGGTTTAACTCCCCAGATCCTGTTATTTTCAATAGATCCGGGAATCTATGCTAAAATCTGATTTACTTTGTATATAAAGTGCCATAATATATCACATAGACTTTTAAAGACTGGCAGGATGAAATACTTACATTTGGCTACTAGTATGACCTCTAAGCAGAAATGTCAAATGTATTCAGGCATTTGCTTTAGCTGTGAAGTCTTTGATACCATTAGTCAGACGGACACAATATTAGAAATGAAAAAGTGAA